GTATTCCCATTTCTGTAGCAGTTTGGATTAGTTTTATTTTATTGTTACTGTAATGACCAGTAATTAGTATTTTGGGATCGAGATGCTGATCCCAAGTAAAATAAACTAATTTGAATCAGTCAGTTATATAAGTGTTGACTTGACGTTCGATAGTTAGCCAGTGGGTTTACTGGGAGAAATAGCTGGATTTAGGCATATGTGTTTCTAATGCACTTTTCAAAAATTAAAATGGTTCATAATTGTATATGCCATTAGCAAATGAATTTCTTCTCTCATCTTGGAAACTTTCATACTGCTGACGGTGCTAAGAAATAGCATCATTTTGTTCCTTTTTCATCCTGCACCCAGGGTCTTTCCACACAGCCATATGACCCAGAATATCAAGGCAGAAAATCCTACAATATCTGCTTTGAACTGGGTTACCAATGAGTCCACACTGCCATATATTCCAGTTCAAAGCGGAAAATGTGGGATTTTATTCAGCTGTGTGGAAAGGGCCTTTGATAAGTGAACATTCCTGTAGTGAAAAGTAGAAGACGTCTTGGCAGGTTAATTGGCTCAAATCATGTGGCACCATTATTTTTTGTATTTACTATACAAAAAATGCTCCTTCTTACACCAAAAAGCTACAGTCTTGCTGCAGAATTAAATCCTGGACTGAAAACTTTTTGAAGGTTTTCTTGCAATGGGAATAAAATGGCTCTTTCCTTCCTTTGAGAACAGAATTAGTAAAGAATTACATCGCTAGAAGGCATTGGATTGTGACGCCATGGGCTTGTAAAGCGTGTGGAGGCAACATCCTTTCACACACAATAAGTTGACTTTTTCCATGTATATTCATCACAACCAAATGCAGTTTGCCATTTTAAAAATGCAACAGCAATATATTATTACAGAGCTTCCAAGTAGCTGTACTCCATACAGGTTGAGATTTGTCCTTTCAAATAGGCAAGCTTGGATTCTTTCTTCCTCAGTGGAAATACAGGCAGTCCCCAAAGTTATGAACAAGATAGGTTCTGTAGGTTTGTTCTTAAGTTGAATTTATTTGTAAGTCGGAATAGATACATTTTTAAAGTGTAACTCCAGTCAAATATATATAATTTTAGCTTTAGGGAAGGGTTAATACATGTGTGGTGTTTGTTTTGCTATCTGTGCCCCTGTTCAGAAGATGTCACCTCAGTTTTTGTCCCTCTGATAATTGGATTTTAAAAACATTACTTTTTATGGAAACTGAAGCTAAAGCTAAAACAGGGGTAGATAACAGAAAGTGAGAGAAGTCTACCCCTAGGAATTCCACTCCTGAAAGAGTTTCTATGGGTAGAAAGGTGTCTGCAACTGAAGCTAAAGCTTCAGTGCAGACACCTTTCTACCCATAGAAACTCTTTCAGGAGTGGAATTCCTAGGGGTAGACTTCTCTCACTTTCTGTTATCTACCCCTGTTCTTAACTATGGGTCATTTGTAAGTCAGTTGTTTGTAACTCAGGAGCTCCTGTACAAGGGATTTCCAGCCTTTGTATTTGGATAAAGACCACTGTAATTCAGTTTTATAACAGAAGCTGTTAGTGAAATGAGCATTTTACAAACTGAAAGTATTTATAGGTACTATAAATAGTAGCAAGTTCTTTGAGTGTTCAGTGAAAACAGAGGATGTTTCCATTTTCCTTTCCCCCAAACTATCGTAGTTCATAAATGTAGGCAACAGACTTTGTTTGGGGCTCAATGGGAAATTCATGTGTCCTCCAGTTTCCTCCCACGAGAGATTTCTTTTGAAAAGACCCCCTCCCCCCCGCTTTAACAAATCTATGTACCTCGCTGTTTTGCGGTGCTGCAGTTGTTTTTTCTAAATGCCAGATTCCTGTTTTCTCAATGTTCATGATGTCATGATAAATGGCTTGTGCATAAATGCCCTTGGCAGTAGGTACAAGCTGACTCTCATGCATCTTTGGAAATTGCATTGCAAACGTGATTAAGAGGGCAAAGTTCTTCTGGGCATTAAAAAGCACTAAGCAAATAGCTAATTTGGTGACAGGAGGGAAGCAATGAAATAATGGAAGGAAGGCGTGCAGAAAGGCACTAATGCAGGAATAAAGAGAGGCAACTTCAAAGGCTGCAGAGGAAAACAAAGTTTGTCCAGAGCTTTTTGTAACCCGTCTCAAGCTGAAAGGAGAGGTGAGTAATATCATCATCATCGTGATTTGAAGGCTTGCTCCTCTTCCTTAGAGGAACAGTAAAATTAAAAGAACTGCTATAGTACTTTTGGACTATGGTGTTGGAGGAAATTTCTGAGAGAGCCTTGGACCACAAGAAAATCCAACCAGTCCATACTCCAGGAAATAAAGCATGGCTGCTCACTGGATGGAAGGATATCAGAGGCAAAGATGAAGTACTTTGGTCACATCAAGGCAGGAAAGGTTGAAGAAGACAATGATGCTGGGGAAAATGGAAGGAGAAAGGAAGAGGGGCCAAGCAAGGGCAAGAAGGATGGATGGTATCCTTGAAGTGACTAGCTTGACCTTTGTTTATGTTTAACTGCAACCCAGATCCTGCCCTAGTGTTTTCCATATAAATTGCCAGCATTCTCCATAAATAACATCATCCAAGATTTTTGGAACACAGGCCAGCAGGAGGTATCATTCTGATTGAAGCATGGGTTGGTGGTCACAACTGGTCTGTATTCACTGACTATGCAATTTTTTTTCATGTTAGGAGTGAGTTGAGAAACTGCAAGTCTCTTCTGGTGTGAGAGAATTGGCCATCTGCAAGGACATTGCCCAGGAGACACCCGGATCTTTTACCATCCTGTGGGAGACTTCTCTCATATCCCAGCATATGAAGTTAGAGTTGACAGATGGGAGCTCACCCCACTCCCTAGATTCAAACCGCCGACCTTTCAATCAGCATTCCTGCCAGCTCAAGGGTTTAACGCAGTGGTTCTCAACCTGTGGCTCCCCAGATGTTTTGGCCTTCAACTCCCAGAAATCCCAACAGCTGGTAAACTGGCAGGGATTTCTGGGAGTTGTAGGCCAAAACACATAGGGACCTACAAGTTGAGAACCACTGGTTTAACTCATTGCGCCACTGGGGGCTCCATTGACTGTGCAATGGACCTCATGACTTCAATGTGAATAATTTGACCTGTGGCACGCTGGTTACTTTCCTTCCCTCAGTGCATGCTCAGAGAGATCACTCCACTATTCAGGAAGAGAAAAATAAGAAAGATAAAATGTCAAGATATATATCGGGCTTGTGTAGATGTAGGGACAAGACCACCTATGTCAAATTATAATACTCCAGTCACATACAGCACCGTGAGTCCTGAGGCTTTTGCCAGTCCAGCTGAGTGTTATATATTTTCCTGTCAATGACATACAATAAACTATTTTAAAAGAGGTAGTAATTTTATACCAACTTGGTTACAATTTTACTATAAAATACTTTGCTATATATACAACAGCACATAAAAATCCAGAAGTTTGGTCACAGCACAAGGGAAATATTTAAAAGGTACATTATATTTATATGAATATGCTTTCCTACAGATATGAGAGGCTCTCAGAGCATTACTAACCACCTCCTCATAGAGACATCCAAGTATGAAAAATATAACTTTAAAATGCAATTGCATTGACATTTCTAAAGCCCTTTCCATTTTTATAGGAATGTATAGGAAATTCAATTTATTGAAGGTTAGATTAGTAGAAGGGCTAACATTACATGTCTTCTATTTCCAGTTCCTCTTCTAAACAAGGTCAGATTGCTGACAAACCAAATGTGTCACTTCTGCTTCTCAACATTGTTATGCATCACACAGTCACTCTTTCTCCTAATATATTACATTAATTTGGACAAACAAGTATTGCAGTAGTAAAAAGCAGTAGGCTTTTGGGGAGAAGTTTTGTCCCAGCTGTGTTTTGTCTGATGTGTTGTTGAAGGCTTTCATGGCCGAAATCGCTGGGTTGCTGTGAGTTTTCTGGGCTGTATGGCCATGTTCCAGAAGCATTCTCTCCTGACGTTTTGCCCACATCTGTGGCAGGCAACCTCAGAGGTTGTGAGGTTGTTGGAAACTTGGCAAGTGGGGTTTATATACCTGTGGAATATATATATATATATATTGTGTATATAGTGTATATATAGTGTATATAGATATAGTTCTAGTGTATATAGAACTCTTGTCTGTTTGAATCAAGTGTGAATGTTGCAATTGATCTCCTTGATTAGCATTGAATAGCCTTGCAGCTTCAAAGCTTGGCTGCTTCCTGCCTGGGAGAATCCTTTGTTGGGAGGTGATTAGCTGGCCCTGATGGTTTCCTATCTGGAATTTCCCTTTTTTTAAGTGTTGTTCTTTATTTCCTGTCCTGATTTTGGAATTTTTGAAAAAAAAATACTGGTAGCCAGATTTGGTTCATTTTCATGGTTTCCTACTTTCTGTTGAAATTGTCCAGATGATTGTGGATTTCAATGGCTTCTCTCTGTAGTCTGACATGGTGGTTGTTAGAGTAGTCCAGCATTTCTGTGTTGTCAAATAATATATTGTGTCTTTTGTCTGTTTAAAAAAACCTTCCTGGACATGGCACATGGCTGAAACTTAGAAACATGAGCTGCAGTTCTTCAGGTGCCATGTGAGGAAATGGTGCCTATTTTGTATGTCTGTTCCTCTGTGAGTAGTGTTCTTCAGGTGAGTTTTGCAACAAAACATGCCTTGGAGACAAAAAAGTCCCATTTCAGAGAACGAGGGTGAATATCATTACCTTATTTTGAAAAGAAGCAAAGTATTTTATCAGTTTTCTTTTATGACATTAATAAATCCAAAGGGGGTATTTTGGTGGAACTATGTATTCCAGCAGATCAGGAATTTATTTCAGTTTATGTATTTAAAAAAACTGTGAATCTTAGACCCACATGTGTTTTCCCAGTTCTTAACAATATGATAATTTTAAACATTGTCTGTGAAAACTTAGCGCTTCATCCGGTGATTGAGTAACCTTTTTTTGGATTTGCAGTGAGATATCTCAGCCATGAGCAACCCATTTTCACACCTTGAGGAACCACTGGACCCTGGCCAGTCAACAAAGTTCTTCAGTTTAAAACGCTTGGGAGACCCCAGATATGGTAGGTTGACTGCATTCACAAGGAGTTGTTCCCCAAAAATAATGGCTTGATCACTGTGACTTTAGGTTAAGATTTTCTGAGGAAGCCCTGCTCTTGGTTCCACCACCTTTGCAGGTGTTAGGAATGAGTACGAGAGACAGGACCTTCTCAGTAATGGCCCCTTGACTGTGGAACTCCCTTCCTAGTGGGATTCGATTGGCCCCTTCCCTCCTGTTATTTCACAAACAAGTGACAACTTGGCTTCAGGAGCAAGCATTTGGCCCAGCATAATTATCTGTGCGATACAGTTGGAATTGATCCTGGACTGATGAATATAATTATTTGATTATCTGGCTTTAGATCTATGCACAAGAGTCATCTAATGTTTACCTATGTTGTTTAATGTTGTTTTATTTATTATTTTTTATTTATTTACTTTACTTGTATACCGCACTCTCTCAGCCTGTAGGCGACTCAGTGCGGTTTACAGCCAGGACAATATACAAAGTGCACAACATTAGCATTTAAAACAGTAACTAAAGCAACTACATCGATATAGCAATACAACAGTACATCAATATAACATCTATACATCTATATAACTAATCCATCACGTCTCATCAGTAAAGTCATAATCCGATCTCCTCGTCCATTATTCCAAGTTCCAAGATTAAACAATTAAAATTAAATTGTTGTTTAATTGTTTTTAATTGTTTTTTGGGCATGAAATAATGCCAATTATGGAAGTCGCCCTGAGTCCCCTTTGGGGTGAAAAGGGCGGGATATAAATGTCATAAATAAATAAATACATACATACATAAATTTAGAGCTGGGCTTTCTTGTGTATGCACACTGCTCCCTATGCCCATGACTTGTTTGCACATATTTAGAGTTTTCCCTTTCCTTCTTTTCCTGTTTATAGCAGTAGGTAATACGTCTAAATTAATGGGATAACACAACCTAATCCCCACTTTCATTGCATCATAGGGAGCGTATAATACCTTTGCATGTTAAAAAGAGACAGCATGATGTAATAGTCTGAGGGTTGATCTAGGATTTTATGAGACCAGGGTTCAAATCCCTGCTCAGCCATGGAAACCCAATGAATGATCTCAGGCAAGTGACATCCTCTTGGCTTAAAAGGAAGGCAGTGCCAAACCTCTGCTGAATAAATCTTGCCAAGAAAACTATAAGATAGGGCATTTGTAAGTCATATAACAACTTGTCAGTCATATAACATCAACAAGCATTTAAAAGGTTTGGCTTTTCTGTATGCTACTGATAGAAGTGTTCTAGATTTGAATAGTAATAATAATAATAATAATAATTATTATTATTATTATTATTATTATTATTATTATTATTATTATTTATATTCCGCTCTATCTCCCCGAAGGGACTCAAGGCAGATTCCAAAAATAAAAGGCAAACATTCAATGCCCGAATACAACAACAATACATAATAACAAAGTTTAAACAACCCAACATATAAACACGAATTATAACTTAACAACTAAAATTAAATAAAAAACACAGCCTGTTAGAACGGACAGAAGACAAAACATCATATAGATGTCTGACAGCCCTGTCTTTTCTTTGGTGACATGAGGAATTGATGTTTTTATCCTGCTCTATTACACTATGTAACAAAATCTGAAAAAATATGTTCCTAGTTTGTAATATTATTCCTTTTTAATTGTGCAGTACTTACTTTGAAAATAGATGTTATACTCCACAAACTTTGTTTTTTATGGCTGCCACAAACTATGTTGAATTGCTTGAGACTCTTATCAGATATTCGTTGAAAAACTGTAGCAAAATGATGTCTCACAAAAACAAAGATAATAAACTTTTTTCCATATTTTTATGATAGAACCAATTAGGGAATGACATTTATAACCCAGGAACAAAAATGTGTTACATAGTGTTATCTTTTTTCTTCTCATCTTCCTTCCAGAACGTTTACCATTTTCTATCAGAGTCTTACTGGAGGCTGCAGTTCGCAACTGTGATGAGTTCCTTGTGAAGAAACACGATGTTGAAAATGTCCTCAACTGGAAGGAGATGCAACACAAGAACATTGAAGTGCCGTTTAAGCCCGCCAGAGTCATTCTGCAAGATTTTACGTAAGTTATATGGGTAAAGGCAAAGGTTTCCCCTTGACATTAAGTCTAGTCGTGTCTGACTCTTGGGAGTGGTGCTTATCTCCATTTCTAAGCCAAAGAGTTGGCATTGTCCATAGACACCTCCAAGGTCATGCAGCCAGTATGACTGCATGGAGCGCCATGTCACATGCTTGTCAATATGCCCTTGCTTGCTTGTTATAAGGGATTTTTCTACACTTTGTGTACAGACTATTCAAGAGTTATAACTACAGTCACAAGAGATTATTCTGTTTTGAGAGCTGTTCTTATTAACCCACACACATCCTGCAAAGATTGTTCAAAATTCAGATCTCCTTCAGGGAATTGTAGAGAAAGTATACATTTTTTTTCCCAGAGAAAACTGCTGTTTGGGGATTATCTGTGTTCTGCTTTTTTTCCTTTTAGATAGGATCAGAAATGTACAGCTCTTGATCCAACTTTTAGTTGTATTTAGCTTTATATTTGCACTATAGTGTTTTCTTTGGAGAGTTTTGGAAATTTCATAGAGAACAAGTGATGAAACAGTCCTTTTGAACTTGCTTGTTTTAGTGTGCTGAAGCAACCCAAAAAAGTCAGCTTTAAGTATGTAGGATTTTGATAAATATGAATGTTGACTTACTAAGACACAGATCTAAAGCTAACAAATCCTTTCTTCTTCATTCCTCTAGCCTTGAAATGTGGTTGACAAACTATACTAAGTTGGTTAAACTGGCCTTCAAGTAAAAAAGTAACTATTCCTACTTCATTTTACGTCATTGGAATCAAAGGTTGCTGTTCTTTGAACTTCAGTCTTATAGGCTGGCAGAAAATGTTCACAGTGACAGTATATTTGTAGTGTTCATTTTAATTTCAAACCATATCTCCCAAGTGATTCATAAATCAAGCTCAAGAATCTCTCTCTGGCTGGTTTTTCTCTTTTTTTCTTCCTTTTTTTTTTTTTGTATTGGTAGTCTACATATTATGGGCTTCCTGGTGGCACAGCAGATTAAACCACTGAGCTGCTGAACTTACTGACCAAAAGGCTGGTGGTTCAAATCCGGAGAGCAGGGTGAGCTCCTGTTTTTAGCCCCAGATTCTGCCAACCCAGCAGTTCAAAAACATGCAAATATGAGTAGATCAATAGGTACTGCTTCAGCAGGAAGGTAAAGGCACTCCATCCAGTCATGCCGGCCACATGACCTTGGAGGTATCTACGTACAACGCCGGCTCTTCAGCTTAGCAATGGAGATGAGCACCACCCCCCAGAGACGGACATCACTAGACTTACTGTCAAAGAGAAACCCTTATCTTTACCTTTTAGACTCCCATAGACTTTAGAAGCCCAATTTTCCAGGGCCCTAAATGGTCTCTGAAGCCTAAACAAGCAGAGTAATCTTCCTGATTCAGACTTTTACCTTCCAGCTTATGGAAGATAGTGAATATAAAGAAGGATCAAAATGGAGTAGCACAGTTATTCCCACTCTCTCTTGCACAGTTCTTAATTCTTCCATATAGTTCATTGTATGAGGACATTTCATTTCTGAATGGAACTTCTCTTCTATAACGTACACTTAGATCCGTTTTGCACTAGATTATTATAGCACATTGATTCCACCTTAACTACAATGTCTTCATCCTCTGGAACCTGTGGGTTGAGTGAGACACTAGAACTCTATGAAAGATCATTCTAAATATTTCATGAAACTATGGTGCAAAGATTCCATGGGATGAAAACCAGACAGTTAACTGAAGTCATGGCACTTTAACTGGGTAGGGTGAATGGGTTCCAATTGCTATTCCAGTGATTCCCAAATTCTGATCTACTAGGTGCTTTGAGCCACTTTGACCAATGGAGATGAAGTCCAATACATCTGGAGCACCAGAGGCAATCATTGCTCTATTCTAGGCCTGCACAACATGTGGCCCTCCAGCTGTTTTGGCCTCCAACTCCCAGAATTCCTGGCCATTGGACAAGCTGGCTAGAGCTTGTAGAAGTTGGAGGGCCACACAGGCTGGAAGATTGCCATTCAACTCATTCCCTCTTTTGATCCCACTGTGTGGTATTTTCATAAAAATGAAACTTTAGTGTTGTTTGTTGCATTTGGAACCACCAGCAGCGCAGCGGGTTAAACCACTGAGCTGCTGAACTTGCTAACCAAAAGGTCAGCGGTTTGAATACGGAGAGTGGGATGAGCTCCCGCTCTTATCCCCAGCTTCTACCAACCTAGAAGTCTGAAAGTATATAAATGTGAGTAGATTAATAGGCATCGCTTATTAATCTACTGAATGGGTTGCAGGTGATGCTCCTGTGCAGCCAGGGACAAGCAATGGTGGGGGTGTCGCAAAGAGGGAGACCCCCTTCCTCCAAATGCGGGGCTCTGGCTTCCGGGAAAGCCCACGCAGGACTCACCTTTCCTGGCACCTGCAAGAGGAAGGGGAGACCCGCAGGTGCAGCCTGGGAGGGTGAAGCCAAACTCAGGCTCAAGGCAAGGGAGCCAGGAAGTCAAATGGGAGGGAGTCAAGGGCCCCTTCTACCCTGCCATTTAGTCCAGCACAAAGCAGATCATCTGAATGTTATAGGGCAGTGTAGATAGTACCTTAAGGGCCCTTCCACACAGCCATATAGCCCATGGCCCTTCCACACATCCCACTGTCCCAGAATATCAAGGAAGGAAATCCCACATTATTAATCATGGCATTGTAGTCATGCTGGCTGCATGGACTTGGAGGCATCTATGGACAACACCCGCTCTTTGGATTAGAAATGGAGATGAGCACCAACCCCCAGAGCCGGACATGACTAGACCAAATGTCAAGGGGAAACCTTTACCTTTGTTGCATTTCCCTGCCTTTCTGAAACCCACAAGTCCACATACAGCTTCAACTAGGGTGCGACTTCAGTTCATCTCACGAAATACCCAAACCTGTTCAAAGAAACCAGATTTGGATGTACTTCATCCAGATCTAATGCATAATTATAGTAAAAATGAAAACCTGGTGTATATTTAGAGAACAGGATGACTTGAGTGCAAGAATTGCTAGTTTCTATCTTAATCCTGGCTTAACTTGATGTGTGGTCTTATGGAAACTGGTAATGCATTTTCTGAAACTATTCCAGAAGAGTATAGTATGCTTAATCCAATCTGAAAACAGAGGCTTGACTACATGTACAAACTCATGTGCAAGAATTCTGTCCAGTTGCCCCAGTAACATTATTGTATTTGGACTAATTCAAGGTTGATATCATTGTTAAAGAGTTATTAAGGAAGACAGAGTTATGGCCTATTAGTAATGTACCGTCCTCATATTTTCTGTTATGATAGGTGTGTGTAAATACCATGACTTCAAATATAGGATCATCATCCTTGTGTGACCCATATCTCCCATCCCCACATGCCCCACATATTTTTCACAAAAGAAGAATTAACCCATGAAAATGATCAGTAGCAGCTTCCCTTAAAGCCACCCATTTTATAGTTCTCCCAAAGCCATGGTTTGAAGAATTGCCCGCATACCGTATATATCCAAACTCCTGTTCCTTTGGGGTCGGGAGTTTAAATTTTTTAATTATTTTATTGCTTTTCCAAATCAGTATGGCATCTGGCTTCCTGTCCATTTATGTATTTATATTCTGTTTATTTATTTATTAAATTTATATTCTGCCTTTCTTTCGATTTTGGCATTGAAAGCAGCTCTCACTGTAAGAGTGGAAAAAATACAATTAAGGGACAGAAATAATTCAAATACTAAACGCTATTTACTCAGACCATCTGGTAAAATGGCACTACCTAAAAGAATCCTCCACCTTGTGTGACTGTAGAACAGAACAGACAACTCCATATCTGTATGCTTGTCCACAATGTCCCACCTCATGTACAAAGGAAGAATTGTTTGAGGTTACAGACAATGCAGTTGCTGCTTTCTGTTTTTGGTCAAAAGATATTTAGCTGCATGTGCTCCTTCTATTTTTATCAGTTTTATACTCTTTTATGCAATGCTTTTGATACAAAATAAATAAACTATTTCTAGGTATGGGCAATCTATTGTTCTAAATGGTTCTAAAGTACTTACAAAACTAGGGGGCACTGGTGTTTTGCTTCTAAAATGTTTCTAAAGTAATGAAAACTTCAGAACTTTTAAGAAAGCCTTCAACATTTCGTTATAAATGGTAGGTCCTAATTGGTTCTGTCGTAAAACATCATCAATAACGAAATAATAATGAAATTTTGAAAGTTTCGTTAAGAGTTCTGAAACTCACCACCAGAACTTTAGCAAGTAAAGCACCAGCTTTAGTAACACTTTAGAAGCAAAGCACCAGGGCCCTCTAGTAAGTACTTTCGAACTATTTAGAACCATGGATTGCCCATGCCTACTATTTACTCCATCAATTCAGGCTTCTTCTCTTTAATATTTCCACTGCAGTGGTGTCCCTGCTGTAGTTGATTTTGCTGCTATGCGAGATGCTGTGAAGATGCTGGAAGGAGACCCAGAAAAAATCAACCCCGTCTGTCCTGCTGATTTAGTGATTGACCATTCCATCCAAGTTGATTTTAATAAAAGGTAAGGCATGGCAATGGATATTTACTCCACTGCAATTATAAGTTTAGTGGGGTTTTATTTTTTTTAAAAAAAATGAGATATGCTGTGCTGTAGATCAGCCCAAGACATATATTGCTGCCCAGTGCAGAATAGCTAATGTCACTTCCCCACAGATTGTGAAGACAAATAGTGACCAAGCTAAGCCTGATCATTTTGATCCCTATGATGGTAAATACCACTACCAACTTTCTTACATAATACAAATACAGTTAAATAACTAACAATTCACTCTCCTTTCATGATACTTATGTTCTTTTATCTGAGGCATCTGTTTTACTTTGCCTAATGGTAGAGCTGACTCTACTGTAAAGCATGAGTTGATGAGAAACTTCATTTCTCTTTCAGCTCAGCTTGTAGGAATTGTAGCTTATTCTGATTTTCCTTGCCTACTGAAAAAGTATACAGTTGGTATGTTGAAAATTGTTGCATTGAATTATTAGCTTTTAAACAGTTATTTCAGATGCATCTTCTAACGTAAGCATATCCATCAATGTTTAACATTTACACAAATGACCTGCCACTGCCAGAAGGAACAGAGAGTTTCATCTACACTGACAATCGTGCCATCACCACTCAAGCAGGGAGCTTTGAAACGGTTGAACAGAAGCTCTCTGAAGCTTTAGGTGTTCTTACTGTCTATTACAGGGAAAACCAGCTGATTCCTAATCCATCTAAGACAGTGCTTTTCATCTTAAGAACAGATAAGTATCTCGAGCTCTGAAGATTACCTGGGAAGAAATCCCATTGGAGCATTGCAACGTACGTGGGAGTCACTCTGGACTGTACTCTGACTTATAAGAAACACTGCTAGAAATAATATTATATGAAATATTGAAAGCTGGCGGGCTCTACCTGGGCATCACAACCAGACTCAGTGAAGACATCTAGTCTGGCACTTTGCTACTCTGCTGCTGAATATACATGCCCAGTGTGGAATACATCTCACTATGTTAACACAGTGGATATGGCTCTTAATGAGACATGCTGCATTATCACAGATGTCTATGCCCAACACTGCTAGAGAAATTATACTGTTTAGCCAGTCTTGCACCACCTGACATCCGCTGGGAAGTAGCAGCCAATAATTAAAGAACCAAGACAGTGACATCTCCGGCCCACCCCCTGTTCAGACATCAGCCATTGGCGTGCGCCAATGCCTTAAATCAAGAAATAGTTTTCTAAGACATACAGAGATACTTGCAGGAACACCTCAGCAAGCTAGAGTCCAAAAATGGCAGGCTAAAACCCGGGACCTCAACCAGTGGCTGAGATTGGATGAGAAACTTCCTCCTGGGGATACAGAAGACTGGGTGACTTGGAAGGCACTGAGCTGACTGTCCTCTGGCCCAATGAGATGCAGAGCAACCTTAGGAAATGGGACTACAAAGTGGAGTCAATGACATGCGAGTGTGGAGAAGAGCAAACCACAGACCACCTACTACAATGCAACCTGAGCCCTACCACATGCACAATGGAGGACCTTCTCACAGCGACACCAAAGGCACTCCAAGTGGCCAGCTACTGGTCAAAGGACATTTAGGATAATGCCAAGTTTTTAAACTTTGTGTTTAAAATACATTTTAACTGTACCCTCAATTTGTTTCTGGCATGATAAATTAAAATATCCTAGGAGTCCTGCTGGATCAGCCACACCCTGTATTGTTGACCAGTGAAATTCCTCTGGTAGTGTGATCACCCTCCCAGTATCTGAAGTGCCATTTCTGAAGTGCCGAAGGTGCAATTAAAATCATCAGAACGTAAAAGACATTTCTCCACAAAGAGCTTAGCTAAGGGGAAGGAGTAGGTGATATGTTTGGCATGCTATAGGATAAGCATGTGGTTGTCTAAATATTACTTGACCACAAGTCATATCAGTCCTAGCCAGCATGGCCAGTGTACAAGGATAATAGGAGTTGTAGCCCAACATAAGTTTCTTATCCGTAGTACAAATCATTTTCTTGATTTGAAGAAAATGTATAAACAGATGCTCTTTTCCATCTTACACAATGCTAGAAGCAGGGATCATCCACTAAAGGTGAATAGTAGACAATTCAGGACAGACAAAAGGAAGCATTTCCTCACCCAGGAGACTATGGAGTTTGTTGCCACACAATGTTTTGGTAGTTATCAACTAAACTTCAAAGATGGAAGAATAGGTTGCCAGGAGCTACTAGATAATGGTATAGAGAGGCAGGCAGCCTAGCTTCTGAGAATCAATTGTGTGAGAGAATTGTTTCCTTCTTATCCTACTTGTAGATTTTTTTTTTGTTGCCCTCTGTGAAAAACAGGATGCTGGGCTAGGTAGGCTTTTCGTTTCAGCCAGCAAATCTTGTCTTATATTCTTATCTTGGCTTATATTCAAGAACCTCTGAAGTACATTTACAGATTTGGTGAGCTCAACAGCATAGTATATTAAGGAAGGATTAATGCCTACCTAATTACTGTTTTTAGTAAACTTTCCATTGCTTTTTCTCTGCCACCTAGATTCTGCCAACCTGCCTACATACAGTATGGAATTAGCATTGGAGCCAGACAGTAGGAATTACTGCAAAAGCTTCTTAAGCTCTCTTCGCTGCTTCTCTCTAGATCCTTGGTGCAAAGTAATTAAAGTGCATAAAACAGCTGAGCTAAATAAATACAAAACTTGCTTTGTTCTTTTCTTTTTGCCCACACGCATCGGACCACCTGCTACATCTTACTCAAAGTCTGCCATGCTGATAATCCATTTTTTTTCTTTGCAGGCCAGACAGTTTAGAAAAGAATCAAGATCTAGAGTTCGAAAGGAACAAAGAACGATTTGAGTTCTTAAAGGTATAGTAAGAATTTTTCCAGTTTTTCCTCATCACAGAGGAAATAGCTGGGGAAATGGCCCTCTCTTGACCCCAGAAAGTGTAGTTGAGGAAGGAAAGAACTCAAGTTTATGGCACAACATACAGAGTGTTTCTACCTTACCCTTTGCTTCAACAAATGGCACAATGTGACTTAAAACAAGGCTCATGGGGGCCATGTACTATGCACTTTTAGAAGCCTTGCAGAATCTATTTGAAAGCAAGGCACCTCACATGCTTTGTTTAAGTGCATATTGTGACTTTTTGTTGCACTAAAGGTAGCACAAGTGAGTATGGAATGTCCCACAAGACAATGAAGATACCCACCTCAATTTGATTATCATATAAGTAAGCCGGACAAGAGATGGAAGACCAAAAGAAAGCAGGCATTTTTTACACAGGACTTGATTTTTGATTATTTTACATAGACATACATTTTGGACTTTGTAATTTACAGTTGATTTTTGATTCTGTGTAAATGCAGGCTATTCATGACAATTTTTTTTGTGCCAGGAGTGACTTGAGAAAATACAAGTCGCTTCTGGTGTGAGAGAATTGGCCGTCTGCAAGGACTTTGCCCAGGGGACGCCAGGATGTTTTGATGTTTTACCATCCTTGTGGGAGGCTTCTCTCATGTCCCTGCATGGGGAGCTGGAACTGACAGAGGCAGCTAATCTGCGCTCTCCCCGAATTCAAACCTCTGACTTGTTGGTATTCAGTGTTGCCAGCACAAAGGTTTGACCCATTGCGCCACCTGGGGCAATAATTAATCTGGTGTGACTAAATGCCAGTTCAGTTTCCCCTTTCATATTTTATTTCACAAAATAATGAGGCCTAGTGTATATCTCTTTGAGTTGGATGATGAAGTTTTAGCACAGTGGTTCTCAGCCTGTGGGTCCCCAAATGTTTTGGCCTTCAACTCCCAGAAAACCTAACAGCTGGTAAACTGGCTGGGATTTTTGGGAGTTGTAGGCCAAAACACCGGGGGACCCACATATTGAAAATCACTACTTTAGCAAAACCCAAGAGTTTTAAGATTGGAGCACTTTCCTTATCTCATCTTTGTGGACTCTTTGGATAGAAGTGGTCTTCTAGTAAAACAAAAAGTACATGTTGGCTTGGCCTTAATTCAGTGGTTCTCAACCTGTGGGTCCCCAGGTGTGTTGGCCAACAACTCCCAGAAACCCCAGCCAGTTTACCAAGTGTTTGGATTTCTGGGAGTTGAAGGCCAAAATATCTGGGGACCCACAGGTTGAGAGCCACTGCTTTAACTTCTCATGAACCTAAGAGGTGTTTAACTTTTTTCACTTTTGTTTTCTAGTGGGGTTCCCAAGCTTTCCAGAACATGAGGATTATTCCTCCAGGTTCTGGGATTATCCATCAAGTGAATTTAGAGTATTTGGCAAGAGTTGTCTTTGATCAGAATGGATACTATTATCCAGACAGTGTTGTCGGCACTGATTCACATACCACAATGATCAATGGCTTAGGAGTGCTTGGCTGGGGTAAGTCTTAACTTCATACTTAAAATGTGTTTGGCAAAATTTTGTTTTGTAGGTCCACGTATTATTTTAATCATATACCTCTTTATACACATAACCTGAAAGTAATTTTATTGAATTATCCTTAAGAATTTTGTGTCTGAAATAAAGTTTGTGTAGAGTGAGACATGAGTAGCAAAGGTGATGCTATTTCAGCTTCCTTGGGTTCCTGAAACAAACTGATTATGTAAACTCATTTCAGTCTGACTTTGAATTTTGATTATGGAAAAGAGATGCTTTTTGTGGGCTTGTGACGTGCACAAGTTGTGTGTGTTCCCATTGCTTCTGCAAGAGCATGATACCAAAGCTCTAAATGTGTCAGTTATCAGAAAATTATTCCAAAAATCTCTAAGCAATCTTAGAATTATTTAAAATGAAACTTGGGAGAGGAAACAGATTTTTTTCCATTTTTTCTAAATTTTTCCAGGTTTTTTTTCCCCTGCTTAATTTTCAGGGTTTTTCCAGGCCTTCCCATCTTTAGTTGGACCACATCCCATTCATGGCTTTCTACAGGTTTCTAGTTGAAACAGAAAATTAGACTACATGGACATTGAGTCAGATTCTGTATGGTTGCTTCTAAGTTCTAACAACCTATATAATTTCTTACTGAAGATCAATACTCCTTAAAAATTCAAGATATCAAGAATGTTTACACTGTTGATGTTTTAGACTGATCCATTTTGGTTTGATCACTTGGTGTCTCCCGTGTTGTCTCGGCTAGCTTTTTCTTCTTGTTGTTTGGCTGTCTGCAAAGAAGGCTGTTTTGTTTAGTGATTGCCTTCTTGTTCATCAGGTGTGGGGGGCATTGAAGCCGAAGCGGTGATGCTGGGCCAGCCAATCAGCATGGTGCTCCCAGAAGTGATTGGTTACAAACTGATGGGAAGTCCCGATCCACTTGTCACGTCTACAGACATAGTGCTAACAGTTACCAAGGTAATACTATGATTTCACTACAAATAATTGTTTGCCCATTTCCAGATAGCACAGGTGGGGCTGTAGTTTGCAAAGTCATTGATTACTGGCCATGCTGGGTGGAGTTCATGGCCAAAACACTGGGATGATTCAAAGTACTTCACCCTGTTCTACCATTAAGATTTCCATTCCAGGGATGTTAGCATGAGCAGAAATACAGTAGCACATCAGTTGGTATGGTGACGAGCCTTGTAGTCATTTCACACACAAATGCCTTAGAGGAGTTACCATCCTAAGTTTCTGAGAAGTTTTGAATAGGAGATCACAATTCAGGCACATCTGACTATGACTTTTACTTTTAAAAAATAGAATTAAAGCAATGTCCTGTATGACTGGTCTTAATTTATTCCAGCATTTACGTCAGGTTGGAGTTGTGGGCAAATTTGTAGAGTTCTTTGGGCCTGGGGTTGCTCAGTTGTCCATTGCGGACCGAGCCACAATTGCCAACATGTGCCCAGAATATGGTGCCACTGCAGCCTTCTTCCCAGTTGATGAAGTTAGCATCAGATACCTCGTCCAAACAGGTGAGTAGCAGCAACACGTCTCGAATGTTGAAATGGACCATTTAATGTAGAGCTGGATTGAATGCTTTATTTTAAGAATAGTCAAAGTAACATCTGTAACCACGTGGCTCACTTTAGATATATTAATTAACCACAGATTGCCATTATAGAATGAATATATGCTCACTAGCCTCTGCACAACCCCATTTGTGTATTGAGTGGAGTGGAGATAAAATGTTTCTGCTTGAAGTTGTTTCTCATTTGCATCCAAATATTAGAAAATGTCTTGCAGAAACCATGTTTCGTTTGTTTTTCTGGTTTGCAAACAAATTATGGTTTTTAAAGTCTGTATTTTGTCATATTAATAATATCACTTTAATCTAGAAACTGTCACTTAGTGCAAACAGTAGTAGAAAGCTCATCTTCTTTCCTTTCGGCTTGACGCAAATTAGAAGGGAACAGGACAACACCAGCTAGTTTTCATAGCCATAAACAATGTTTTGTTGTTATATCTGAATTAGGACTATATTTCCTGTTTAATTTTTTAAAATATATATATAAAATTACATTTATGAGCCTTCTACTGTGCTTTAGTTTGTCGTTGGAAAAGATGGGCGTTAGGTGGCATTACTTCATTGCATTGACTATAACAACCAAAACGGACACAGTTAGAGATAAGAAAAATAAGCATACAGCCCCCAGGTTATTAAAAAATGGCTTGACAGTTCCTCCTGACATGACATTTTTAAACTTTTAGACAACAAATGTTGTAATTCTATATAGATCAACCTAATGTGATTCATTGAAATGTATTTTTATTATGCCTATTATGTTTTAATGTTTAACTTACGTTTTAACTGATGTGGTATATTTTAAGGCACCATGGAGGTGTGATTGTAAGCTACCTTGAGTCTCCCTCAGGATAGAGAAAGGCGGGATATAAATAAAGTAAATAAATTAATAATTAATAAACTATTAAGGCCTGTAAAAAGTAATACTACTTTCAAGGGCAAACTCTTAGATAACCACATCAGTAATGGCTAAGGAATTTTAAATGTATATTGAATACAAAGATGGGAAATCCTCTTTCACATATGATGCTGAAAAATCATATTTGTCATTCATACTTCTAGTTTGAAAAACTTTCCAAATTATTTGGCTATGTTACTAAAATCTTGGCTATTTAAATATGTTTTTTTTTTCAGAGTAAGTATAATCAATTTTTACATACAACTAATATTTTAATAATTTATATGTCATCTAATTATTATGTCTCAATTGTTAGATCTTTTAAAAAATAATTTCCAACACCTTGAATGGTCTGTTCCATAAAACAGTGTCCTTGACACCTCAATTTGGTTGTTACTCTTCCTGTTTCAGGACGGGATCAACAAAAGATTCAGCATATAAGAAAGTACCTTGAAGCTGTAGGAATGTTCAGAGATTTCAATAATTCATCTCAAGATCCAGAATTTACTCAGGTTAGGTTTTCTTTACTTTATACATTGCTCAAATAAACAGTCATACCTCTCAGAATCTTGCCTACTATTTTTTTGTAATCTGGGAAAATAAAGATCTAAAATTGTGGAAATTGGATGAGCTAGTCATAACATCTCTATACTGGGAAAGAACCAGATAGCAAGGAATGTTTTTGCTATAGTTTTTCAGTGAATATTTCATTGAGCCTCAACCAATTCAACATAGCTTGTGTCAGCCACAAAAAATGAGTATTACAACTACTTTCAAAGTAAGTACCACACAATTAAACAGGAAATAAAACTTTCAAACCAGGAACTGAAAATTTTCAAATTTTGTTACATAGCTTTATTTCATTTTTTTTCCCTGATCTGACAGCTTTTGGCAAGAATACTATGAGATCTTCATTGGAGAAGTTTTCATTCTTATTTTTAAACATAAAGTAATCATCCTCTACTGTTGTTTGACATAGCATTTTACTGATCTACTTTATCATTCCCATCCCATCCCAGTCATTAACTATTTTGAGGTGGGATAGCCCCAAATATATTGTATTATAATATAGCAAAGGAACATTTCTAATCAGACAAAAATAATAAGAAAACTCTTTTTCTGCTGTTAGCTATAGAACAACCATACCTTGGACAGAAGAATTGTAACTCGGCTTTATCCCACATATACCCAAAATAATGTCTCTCTTTTACATAGATTATAGAGTTGGATCTCAAAACTGTAGTGCCATGTTGTAGTGGCCCTAAAAGACCACAAGACAAGGTTGTGGTCTCTGACATGAAGAAGGATTTTGAGACATGCTTGGGAGCAAAGGTAATGCCAATTTTGAGAGCGATAATTTATTTTTTTGAGCCACTGTCTATCTATTTATTCCTTTTGATAGTATATTTATTTTGCCCATAGAATATTAATGAAGTCTGCCTTTTAAACTTGGAATTATTTTAAATATATAGTAGATAATTTGTAAATGCAATCATGCAGGCCACATGACATTGGAGGTATCTATGGACAACAGCAGCATCTCTTGTGCTAGTAAAGCATATGTCATATGTATGATGTTCTCATGTTTACTTACGGATCTGCCTTGGAAAAATAAATACTTTCTTCTCCAGATTATATTAATTCTTCACATCTTGCTTTCATTGTTGATGTTTTGGGGTTTGTTTGTTTTTTTTTTTTTTTGTCATCTTCTAAAGAGGAATCCCTGCCCTTCTCCCTTACTTCTCAGGGCCCCATACTGTTTTTGATCTATTTGGAATTTTGTTTTGCTGTTTATACTGCTTTGGGACATTATACAGACAAGAGAGTCCCAGCAGCTTTTTCTGTAAAATACTACATTTTGGGAAAACCAAAGGGTCCCCCTTTCCTGGTTCTTCATGGAGTATTTCAGCTCCCAATTGTCATTTTATTCTTTGACACAATTGGTATTGTTTACTAGAATGGCTGGAGCTTCCAGAGGCACAATGGGTTAAACCCTTGTGCCGGCAGGACTGCTGACTGAAAGGTTGGTGGTTCGAATTCGGGGAGCGGGGTGAGCTCCCTTCTGTCAGTTCCAGCTTCTTACGTAGGGACATGAGAGAAGCTTCCCACGGGATAGAAACCATCCAGGCATCCCCTGGGCAACATCCTTGCAGATGGCCAATTCTCTCACACCAGACGCAACTTCTCAAGTTGCTCCTGACATGGAAAAAAACCTAGAATGGCTGTGACTGCCTTGCTCCCTCTTTCGCATGAGCTCTCTGTTGCTTTTCTCTTTGAAGCATTCCTCCCCTCCTCCCCCCGCCCCCAATAATTTAAAATATTTCTGCTTCCTTGTTTGGTCTTTCTTGTAGCAAGGGTTCAAAGGTTTCCAAATTGCCCCTGAACATCATAATAACAAGGTGAACTTTGTTTACAATGACCTGGAGTTTGAACTTACACATGGGTCAGTCGTGATTGCTGCCATCACCAGCTGTACCAACACAAGTAATCCGTCTGTTATGCTAGGAGCTGGTAAGTGTCTTGTCCTGGTGTACAATTTTCTATGCATTTCTTGAGAATCACTTCACTACTCCCCCCCCCCCCCCCCCCCCACCCACCCTCCCCCTAGCGTTCAGCACTCGGCGCTCTTCTTCAGGGCTTGCTGGCACTCCACTACAGGGCCTGGCACGCCAGACACAATTTCCTTGGAAAAATAATGTGTTTGGTTAACAGGCCTGCCAGCAGGCCCTAAACCAAAGCACCAAATGCCAAGTCCATCTTCAGGGTCTGAAGCGAAGCCCCGAGTAAGATGCACCCCTGACAGACATGAAAATCAGATTACAAACAGTTACCGTTCCCACTTTTCATTCATTTCACTGGTGTTTCTGTACTGGAAGGTGGTGTACCATTTTGTGTATTCCGAATAAATAGAATGGTACAAAAACACGAATGAAACAGATGAAACAGTCACCGAGCCCATGTCTATTACACACCCACTGGATCTCTTAAATCCACATTCTGATTCAGATTAATTGCCTCCCTAAAAACTCAGGAGTTTACTTTGCTTTTCTCCATATCTCCTGGCAAGGAGCTGTACCAACTATGGCTTTAACACAAGCATGGGCAATCTTCGGCATTTTGGACTTCAACTCCCAGAAATCCCAGCCAGTTTACCAACTGTTACGAATTCTGGGAGTTGAAGCCCAAAACACATGGAGGGCTGAAGTTTCCCCGTGCCTGCTTTAGAAGCTCCTGAAGGATAAGGCATAGAGCTTCAGCAATGCTGGGCCAACAGGAAGAGTCTCCCTTTCACTTCCTGGGCTGTGCAGCAGCCCTATTCCTTTTTAAAAAGGAGTTTCAGGGTGGATGAGATTTGAGGCTCATATGGGGGTGGGGGTGGAATGCCATCAAGACACCCCCCTCTTGATCCACTTTAAAATGCATTATAGTCTTTGTGTGGATGGGGCATTAGTTGTTCGGGTCTTTCACTTGCTTCTCAGCATAGTTGATGTGTTGAACTAGGAAAGCAAGTAGTGTAACACTCTTGGCAAGAAATCAATAAAGATCTCTGCCAAGCTTTGGAGAGCCCTGGCCTGAATGACAAGACTCAATGCAGGATCTGGTTTAGAGAAAAGCGTCATCATATGAATATTGTTATATATATGACTGGTTTTTTTTTCTTTAGGATTGCTTGCAAAGAAAGCTGTGGAAGCCGGTCTGTCGGTGAAACCATACATCAAAACTAGTCTGTCCCCAGGAAGTGGAGTAGTCACGTACTATCTGAAGGAGAGTGGTGTTATGCCTTATCTTGCTCAACTAGGGTATGAGGTTATATTTTTAATCATTAATTTTCTTCAAAGACTTGAGTTGATTTGTATTTCAACACACTTAAAGTAAGAGAACAAATACATGCATCTGGGGTGAGGAAAGGGGGCCCTGTTCTCACTTTGAGCAGCCTCTGAAGCCCCCACCAGTCTCCCAAAGTCCCCACTGCCAACCATTTTAAAAAAAAACATAGTATGCCCAAAGCAGTTGGGGTTTTTTGGGAGGCTGGGGTTGCAAAACTAGCCCAATTTTTCTGCCATTTTGTAATAGAGGGCAAAGGTACTGGATACTTCCTTGCACAGTGTCCAAGGAGATGTTTATGGTAGTGTAACCCTCAGTTATGCCTTTGTAAGTCACCAGGACAGTTCCAGCTCTGATTTCCACAGTCATATCTTAGAACATGAGTAATGTTATGCGTACCAATATGACTGACATTTTGGCAATCTGTACATTGAACTTTGACAAGGTTGGATGCTTCTCTCCCACCTTGAAATCCTCTAATAACATAATCTATTTAATATTCTTCTTAGGTTTGATGTGGTAGGTTATGGATGTATGACATGTATTGGTAACAGTGGACCACTACCTGAGACTGTTGTTGAAGCCATTACTGAGGTAAGCCATATTTCTGTGCAGTTTTCGGCTGTAAGATATATTAGCACCAGGGCTTAAAGGAGTTAGAAAAGATCTGCTGGGTTTTGTGTCTACAAGATTTATGGCAAAGTGAGGAAATGTTGTTGTACTATGCCATCTATCCGCCCAGCCAATATAAGTTAGGGATTATGAGAGTCGTAATCCAGCAACACTTGCAAGTGACAGTTTCTTTCCTTAGTTTATGTAGAAGTGATTATAAATTTTATTAAATGTGGCTTCCAAAACAGAGCTCTGCTATTGGCAGGAATCTTTTATTTCAAGAATTGGAAATCAGTTCGTCCACTTTTGCCAATAAATGATTAGACCTCTATTCTCTCCTCTTGTTATTGTTATGTCCTCATAGGAATTCCCTTGTTGGAAGACCTTTAGGCAAGTATAGGTAAAGTGTGACCCAAGAGCCACATATAGTCCTCCAAGGCCATTGTTTTGGTCCCTAGAGCCCCCAAGAGGATTGCTTGTGAGTTTGCTAGGGATTGTTTCTAGGGATTGTGGAGACCGCTGATCATTTAGTGCATAAAGATCATCTTTTTCTTCATCATCATCATCCTTATATAACCAAGATTTCAAATGACATTGTGCTGTGTTGTTAGTGAGCTTTTGCCCCTTGAAGACAGTTCAGCACAACTTGCAACCTCTCAAGCTAAAGACCAGCCATATATAGCAGCTTGTTGGGACATTGATAAATAGCCAGTTCTGTTATAGTCTACTGTTTTAGCAAAAGTTGGACACACTTTTGAATGAATCCTTAAATCTTTTCTCCTTTAGATGTTCCTTACATTTCAAAGAGAGAGAGAAAGCATAAACACTACATATTGATTTCGTGCAAGGTTTAGTTGTTTTTCCCCAAAATGCTCTTTTTCTCATGACCAACACCATTCTCTTTGCACAGGGAGACCTTGTTGCGGTGGGTGTCCTTTCTGGAAACAGGAATTTCGAGGGCCGTGTCCATCCAAACACTCGTGCCAATTATTTAGCTTCCCCGCCGTTGGTCATAGCCTATGCTATTGCTGGGACTGTAAGGATTGACTTTGAAAAGGAGCCTCTGGGTAAGGCATAGCTTCAAACTATACATTGTCTCTTTGTATTGATTGATTCGGAACAAGGCAGAACCCAAAAAGATTGTATAGAATTAGAAGTCACTGTTTTCTTTCTGTAGTTATATGAGTCTTCCCCTGTGCCAAATATATCTCAAGTTTAATAAGTTTTCCTATTGTGTCCTGGATTTGGATGTGGGCATGTAAACCCTTTTTCCAAATGTCAATACAGTTTCAGCCCATCTACTCAATTTACTGCAGGTGTCAACTCACAAGGAAAGAAGATCTTTCTGAAAGACATTTGGCCCTTGAGAGAGGAAATCCAAGCAGTCGAGCGCCAGCATGTCATTCCAGGGATGTTTAAAGAGGTCTACCAGAAAATCGAGGTAACACTTTCTTTTGAAAGATAGAGGAATTTTATAATTTATTTCTTTCACTCTGAATGTTTTGAGTGTACCTCAGAAATGTGTTTTTGTGATTCCACATTCTGCTACTGTTCAGTATCTTATGGATTTTAATCAGAGCACAAAGGTTATGAAATCCTAGTTAGAAGGGGTGGAAAGTTCACCTTGTCTCACTTTTCAGGAACTCTTAGGTTTCCAATTCCCATGCTGGAGTTCACCGTATGAATATCTGCTGAGCAGCTCTTTTAATGAACAGAAGTTTTTTTTTTTTCCCTCAAACTCAAAAGCAGCTCAAATCTTCTCCAGAGACACACCTACATTCACAGTCCACACTTAGTGAGCTGTGAAGGGTCAAATTAGGAATACATACATATAGAGAGAGAGAGAGAGAGAGAGAGAGATTGTGTCAGAAGCGACTTGAGAAACTGAGAAAATTGGCTGTCTGCAGGGACGTTGCCCAGAGGATGCCCAGATGTTTTACCATCCTGTGGGAGGCTTCTCTTATGTCTCTGCATGGGAAGCTAGAGCTGACTGACAGGAGCTCAACCCATCCCGCAGATTTGAACTGCCAATATTCAGGTCAGCACTTCAGCCAGCACAAGAGTTTAACCCATTGCACCGCCGTGGCTCCTACCATAAGGATTACAAACATTGTTTAAACTGACAAAATAGAAAGTTAGGAAATTGAAAGAAAACTAAATTATAACCTCAGTAAGACACTCTGTCTGTCTACACACAAAGTACTCACAGAGCCCTGGACGAACTGGAGACTTTACTAATGGAGGAAAGCTTGACATAGACCATATATTTGTTTATATGTATATTATATGTAATGTGCATCATTAACATTATTTATTGATAGTATGTAATGGCGCTCCATGCAGTCATGCTGGCCACATGACCTTGGAGGCATCTATGGACAACGCTGGCTTGTTGGCTTAGAAATTGAGATGAGCACCACCCCGCAGGGTCGGACATGACTAGACTTAATGTCAGGGGAAACCTTAGCCTTTTCATGAAATGTAATACATCCGTAAAATGTTTTACATAAAGCACTTATAAAATCTTGGCCAGCTAGGCTATTGGCTCAATTGAATTTGACACAGGGATAGTGGGTTTATTGGAAAATAACTTTCTGTGTGGTTTTGAAACTGAAGTGAAATGGTCTCACATTGAAAATACTTCAATGGTAGATTTCTGTCAGGGCCACAGATGAGGACTAGATTATTTTTGTATCCCTGGGGTTTTTTTTGTTATGTAAAGCATGGGATCAATGATGGACTTGGCTTTCTGTTTTCTACTGAGCAGTGGAGAGCAAAATGTGCAACTTCTCTCTGCTTCAAGTTTCCAACACTATAAAACACACCAATATTGGCCATTTTTATTCAATAACTGTCATAAGGATGCATTTTGAAATGTTATATGTTTTATCCTGTGTCTCTCTCCTTCTGTTTCCCCCCACAGACTGTAAATAAAGCCTGGAATGATTTAGATGTTCCATCAGACAAGCTATATGCTTGGAATCCAAAATCCACATATATTAAATCTCCTCCGTTTTTTGAAAACCTGGTAAGTATAGCTCTCCCTGCTGCCTTTTCTGATATATTTTCTAGCTGTTCCCCACCTTGCATTATTATTGTATGTGCACATGATCACTTGAGGTGTTTTGCTTCAATTATTATATAAGCCTTAAGCAGTGTCCTTAAAGTGAAAATGATGAAACATTTATCTGTGGAATTATGTTTCCTCTCTTTGTTTCCTTATGAAACCTTTAGAAGCAATTGTTCAAACCAAGCAAATCAGAAGTCCGAAGGGAGTTGGAAGAGATTTAAATGTCATTCTTTAAACTGCATTTAGCAAAAATATCAGTTGAAAAAATATTAATTTCATGGCCTTTGCTATAATTCAAAACAAAATTGAGAGATAGCTGGATAGACAGACAGACAGTCACACACACACACACACACACACAGAGTTGGGAAACTTAAGTAGGGTTGGATTACTATGAGTTTTCCGGGCTGTATGGCCATGTTCCAGAAGCATTCTCTCCTGATGTTTCACCCACATCTATGGCAGGCATCTTCAGAGGTTGAGGGGCCTGTTGGAAACTAGGCAGGTGGGGTTTATATATCTGTGGATTGTCCAGGGTGGGAGAAAGAACTCTTGTCTGCTTGAGGCAGATGTGAATATTGCAATTGACCACCTTGATTAGATTGAATGGCCTTGCAGCTTCAAAGCCTGGCTGGTTGCTGCCTGGGGGATAGCTGCTATAATCCTTTATTTGGAAAGTAGGGAAGGTATATGAATAAAAATAAGAGATGATATTTGAATTGACTGCATGCTTTCCATCTCCAGGTCATGAGTAGGCAGACATGAGCATCTGATCTGTTGATCAGAAAACAAAGAGCAGTTACTGCTTTGGTTTTATGTTTCAAAGCCAGGCTGTGCTATGTGATCCTATGAGCATCTACTCAGAAGTTAGTTTTACTAAGTTCAGTGGACTAAATTTAGTATGAAGGTACCTCTCAAATATCTGTTATGAAGGACCAGCAGTTTTTTCCCTATATGCCATCCTCCATTACTATGTTGTGCCTGTTGGCTATAATTTCTTTCTCATTTGGAAACCTGGCAGGGATCTGCAGCCAATGGAGCACAGCTTTGAATTGGTGCATGGGATCAAAGCCTTAATGGGCCAGATGAAGTTAAAAATCATTATTATTTTTCCCCGATGTCACCACAGATCTATTTCTGGAGGGATGACTAATAGGAGAATGAAGGAGGCAGAAATAATTTGATTTTCCTGATTTCATAAAAACTGTTTCCTTTGTTTGTCATTGGGATGAAGGCAACATTTGCATGTCTGTTTTCCCACATGCGCTTTATTCAACATACTCTGACTCAGATAATGGAAATCTACCTCATCCCTGTTGGCTCGCCACAAATTGCATTACACTTCGAATGTTTTAATTGTTTGTTATTATTTGATTTATTAGTTAAACATGTCTCAAATGTGTATCACTAAATTTCAATTTTGTTATTTTTGGGTCGTTTTGATGTTTGTTTTACTGTTTATGATTTGATCTGTTTTGTTATGTCTTGTCGGCATTGAATGTTTGCCATTTTTTAAATTTTATTTATTTATTTATCTATTTTGCTATAAACTGCCCTGGGTCCCCTCACGCAGATAGAGCCAGATAAAAATAAAGTTGTTGCTGTTGTTATGCTTCCTCATGCGACTGATTTTTTAAACATATTCAGACTCTGGAGCTTCCTCCTCCCAAATCCATAGTTGATGCTTATGTCCTGCTCAATTTTGGTGATTCTGTAACTACGGATCATATATCTCCAGCCGGAAACATAGCAAGAAACAGCCCAGCTGCTCGATACTTAACTAGTAGAGGGTGAGTCAAGGGAAACTTTGGGGGTGACTTTCTTCTCTTCACTTGTCTTCTAGTCAGCTTTTTATCTCTTCTGTCCAATTGGAATACTTTGCACTCATATAAAATATCAGAATCATCTTACTTATAATACATCTGGAAAACATGGCTGTTGTTCCCAAAAAGGTTATTGTATGCATATGCTTAATCCTGTCTTCCCCAGTCAGATGACCTGCAAACATCTTAGGCCCCTTCCACACAGCTGAATAAAATTCCCCATTATCTTCTTTGAACTGGAATATATGGCAGTGTGGACTCAGATAACTCAGTTCAGAGCAGATATTGTGGAATTTTCTACCTTGATATTGTGGGATATAGGGCTGTGCGGACGGGCCCTCAGACCTCAGTTCACATAAGCCATTGACCAGCATTGCCGACTGCTGGGAGTTCTTACAGTGCATTGCTTTTGAAAGGCACCAGACTAAAGGAAGCTCGTTGAATGGCTCTTGTTGGCTGTTCTTTCCCTCAAAACAACTTACTTACATAGTTAATGACTATTCCAAGTCAGATCTAGTGAGATTGAGGGTGCATTTACACTTTAGAATTAATGCAGTTTGACATCACTTTAACTGTCATGGCTCAATGCTATGGGATTCTGGGAACTGTAGATTTACAAGGCCTTTAGCTTTCTCTGCCAAAGAAATAGTTTCACCAAGCTACAACTCCAGGATAGCAGGAGCCGTGGTGGCGCAATAGGGTAAACCCTTGTGCCAACTGAAACACATCGCATACAGTTCAAATCCGTGAGATGGAGTGAGCTCCTGTCTGTCAGCTCCAGCTTCCCATGCAGGGACATGAGAGAACCCTCCCACACGATGGTAACACATCCGGGTGTCTCCTGGACAACATCCTTGCAGATGGCCAATTCTCTCACACCAGTAAGTCGCTTCTAACACATTTTTAAAAATCTCCTAGGATTCCTTAGTATTGAGCCATGGCAGTTAAAGTGGCACCAAACTGCATTAATTCTACAATGGAAATCAGTGGTTCCCAACCTGTGGTCTATGGACCACCAGTGGTCCACAAGAACTAAATTATGGTCCACAGCTTCACTGTTAATACACTGTTACAGTGAGATCAACGGTCTCGCGAGACCCTCTTATAGTGCCGAGGCTTATTAAATATGGTTTTCTGTGGGTGAGCAGACGATGCCTACTGGATGGCATATGTTCTGTATCAGAAACTAGAGCTGATGTGGTCTATCCAATGCAATTTTCTGAATCAGCACCTCAAATAAAAATGTAAAGTTGACCAAAAACCCTTTCGTAACCCTTTTGATACTAAAGTTGGAGAGCGGTCCCAGGTCAAAAAAAAGTTGGGAGCCACTGGTGTAAATTGTAAATGCGCCTTTACTCTCAGGTAAGCCAGTATGTAGGATGGTAGCTTTTAAGATTCTTTCCTCTTTCCAGGGAGAACATAAATTCTGCCTTGTATGGGTTTTTTGTGGGGGAAGTAGGAATGAAAATGGTAGGAAAATGATATGGTGCAGCCCAAAGTGGGGGTAAATATTGTGCCTTACACACCCCAGTGTTGCTCACTATGGATTAGCATGCCTTGTTGTGTAGTTGTCTAGGCAGTTGGCTGTCTGAAAAGACTGATGACACCATTGGTCTTAAAAGCCAGAAATAAGAACTGGAGCATGTTTTGACTGTACTTTGAAGCATGTCCCATGCATTAAAGTTGCATCACACTTTCATTAAATTAAAAATCTCTTTGTTTTTTAAACTACAAGTTCCTTCTTTTTTTTTTTTTTTATCTGGGCAGCCTAACTCCTCGAGAGTTCAATTCTTATGGCTCACGTCGAGGGAACGACGCTGTCATGGCAAGAGGGACATTTGCAAACATACGCTTGTTGAACAAATTCCTTAACAAGCAAGCCCCTCAAACCATCCACTTCCCATCAGATGAAACAGTGAGTATTCTCCCGGTCTGTCTTAGATTTAGGGTTGTGTAAGATAGGGCTGGCTTTTCCCCTGCACTGAGCAATCTCATTTCAGAAGTGCAGTATGCATCTTGAGCTGGGCTAAACAGAACTAGATTGATCCAGTAATTTAATAAATGTTGAATCTAATTATGCTTGCAAGTTTACACTTTAAAGCTAGGTTTTAATGAGTTTAAAGGTTTTAATCTCTTTTTTAATATTGTTCATGTTTGAGTATATTTTTAGATTTTAATTGTATTGTACTGCTTTGAAGCTCTCTTTCTGGGGACAGAAATCAGGACCATCATCATCATTAACCACAGATTTATTTGGGAGATGGGGGAGATGGAGGAAGATTAGATTTATTTATATCTTGCTTCCCCCCTTACAACGTGGGACTCAGTGTTGTTTACTGTATTGCTATAAATCCATATTCAGGTGGCCCAACAGGCAGGAGCCGGGTTCTTCACTTGAGTGGCGTACAGGGAGCACACAACTCCCTGTTACGTCAGCTCCACTGACTGCCAGTTTGCTACCAAGTGCAATTCAAAGTGCTGGCTTTAGCCTATAAAACCCTAAACAGTTCCAGCCCAGCTTACCTGTCTGAACGTATCTCCAAAATCCACCTCAGAGGAGGCCCTGTTCTTGGTTCCACCTCCCTCGTGASTGTGGTTGATGGGGACAAGAGACAGGGCCTTCTCAGTGGTGGATCCTCAGCTATGAAACTCCCCCCCCCCCCCAGTGATATTTGATCGGCTTCTTCCCTTCTAGCCTTCCGAAAGAAAGTTAAAATATGCCTGTGGGACAAAGCCTTTGGAGAATAACTGCAGTGCAATAAATGAATGTAGAATTGGAATGGCCCTGGATTATGATTTTGGATTATGCAATTTTAATCATTGATGAAATTGTTTTTAGATATTTTAATTATCTGGTTTTAATATAGATGTTTACCAGTTGTATGTTATTTTAAGGCATTGAATTGTTGCTGATATGTGAGGCCCCTCTGGGTCCCCCTCAGGATTGAGAAGGGTGGGGTACAAGTAATGGTAAATACATAAATATTAAACAGTAAACATGCTTATCTATTGAATATATTGTTTGTTCAATCTGACAATAGTTGCATTGTGTGATTGTAGCTTGACGTGTTTGATGCTTCTTGGAGATACCAGCAAGCAGGTCACCCTCTTATCATCCTGGCTGGTAAGGAGTATGGCTCTGGAAGCTCCCGAGACTGGGCTGCAAAGGGACCTTTTCTGCTGGTGAGTGGGTAGTTTTTTCACAAAACATTTTATTTATTTTGTGCCATGGGCCCCCTGGTGGCCCAGTGGGTTAAAACTTGCTGACCGAAAGGTCGGCAGTTCAAAACTGGAGAGCAGGGTGAGCTCCCACTTTTAGCCCCAGCTTCTGCCAACCTAGCAGTTTGAAAACATGCAAATATGAGTAGATCAATAGGTACTGCTTCAGCGGGAAGGTAAGGGCGCTCCATGCAGTCATGCCGGCCATATGACCTTGGAGGTGTCTATGGAAAATGGCCTGCTCTTCAGCTTAGAAATGGAGATGAGCACCACCCCCAGACTTGGACATAACTGAACTTAATGTCAGGGGAAACCTTGATATTTACTTACGTATATATTAAAATACACAAAACAAAGACAGTCACTAATACCAGTAGTATACAGGTTAAAATTCACAGTTTGAAATTGACTGTTACTGTGAAATATAGTTCAAATTTCAGTTCAGCTACCCCTAGTTTTTGATTTTATGAAGATTTTTTAATATTAAGTTGAGTTCTTAATATTTAAAAATAAGTGAAAGCTTACACAATGATTTACGCTCCCTCCAATTACCAAAATCTTTCTCGAACATGGTGTGTTAGTGGCAACTCATTGACTTTCCTTCAGAGGAGTACCTAGAAAGTAGGGAGACGGGACATTGGTGCTTCTTTTGAGTTTTCCTGTAACAGACTAAGGTTTTGCCTTTTGCCACACAGAGAAGTAGATGGTTTCATTTTTGACTGAATCTTTATTTAAAAAGAAACTATCCCTTTCTTTCAGTAATGTCCTCCAAGTATCCCTCCCAAATCATGATCCATTCTCATTACTATTTTTCTAAAACTGGGAGGAAATATCCTATTGTTTTTATCGTATTTTATCATAAATGGAGTGCTTACAAAGAATAGGGAGACATGAGTCTGAAATGAAATCGCCTGACTTGGTTAGACTGGTTCGCTGATGGGCTGTTGAAGGCTTTCATGGCCAGAATCACTGGGTTGCTGTGAGTTTTCCAGCTTGTATGGCCATGTTCCAGAAGCATTCTCTCCTGACCCTTCACCCACATCTATGGCAGGCATCCTCAGAGGTTGAGAGGTCTGCTGAAAACTAGGCAAGGGAGGTTTATATATCGATGGAATGTCCTATGCAACACATAGCTTGGGATGTTCTATTCTACACATAGAAGCCATTGAAAAATCCACAAGAATGTGGACAATTTCAACAAAAAGGAGAAAACAAGGAAATGGACAAAATCTGGCTACTGGTATTTAAAAACTCTAAAACCAGTACCGTAAATAAATAGCAACATTCAAAAAGCAGGGGAATTCCAGACATAAATCAGTCAGGGCCAGCTAACACCTCCCAATCTCAGGTAGCAACCAGCTAGGCTTTGAAGCTGCGAGACCATTTAATGCTAATCAAGGTGGCCATTTGCAGCAGTCACACTTACCTCAAACAGGCAAGAGCTCTTTCTCCTACCCTGGACATTCCACAGATATATAAACCTCACTTTCCTAGTTTCAAGCAGACCCCACAACCTCTGAGGATGCCTGCCATGGATATGGGTGAAACGTCAGGAGAGAATGCTTCTGGAACATTGCCATGCAGCTCAGAAAACACACAGCAACCCAGGGGTTTGTTGATGTTTTGTTTCACATATCAGTTATTATGTTTTAAAGGGCTGTCTCTTGTGTACTGAAAAGATTATAAAATTATTTATTTATTTAGTGTGTCAGAAGCAAACCGAGGGTACAGTTGTAATGTATTTAAAAAACAAAGTTTTTTTTAAAAACTTGGCATTATACTAAAATTACTGAAAGAATAAGAGTTACATACTAACTTGCCCCTCCATCTTGCTTCTTCCATTCACTCTAACTCTAAGATGTATTTGAGTTTTGCTGTGCCTATTTTCTTACCTTACACCTTCATCCCATCTTCAGATCACTTCTGATGAGGTGAAAATATAATCTCAATGTGGATTATATTTTGTTTGTGTTAGGCAATTGTAGTTTTAGAGTTAAGGGATCTGTTGCTTTGCAATATTATTTTTATTTGATGAGTGTTTTTAAATGTTCTTTATATAGTTTATACTCTTTTTTTGAACTGATAAGAGTTAGTATCTAATGCTTGAGCAGTTGTTAATAAAGTGCTTTTTTCAGGGCATCAAAGCAGTCCTTGCCGAAAGCTACGAGAGGATTCACCGCAGCAATCTGGTGGGGATGGGAGTGATCCCTCTGCAGTATTTGCCTGGTGAGGATGCTGAGAGTCTTGGGCTGACCGGCCGTGAACGCTACACAGTCATGATGCCTGATGAGCTGGTGCCCAGAATGAATGTACAGATCAAGGTAAGATTTCACAGACCGATCCAATATGGCTGAGTTCCAAGTGTAAGAGAAACAAAAATATATTTAGAGTCTTGCAGAGGCCGTATATGAGATAGCAGACAAAGCTGGGGTTGGGGGAAAGCAGGACCCAAGCCAAAAATAGGCCATGCTAGATAAATTCACCCTCACCAATCTCCAGCCTGTTGTAGCTGGTGAGGCAGGGAGGACAAAAAACCTAATTATCTGATTGGGGCTGGCCTACCATCTACTTAGTTATATAGTTTGAGTATACTTAACTAAGTAACTTCTGTATATATCTTTAAAATAAAATAAGTTGTGTGGGGATTCCAAACATGGAGTAATCATAATTGTTACTAAGTAACAATTATGAATACAGAAGTTACAATTAAGTAAATCTACATTAAAAGTAAAGGTAAAGATCTCAATTTGACATTAAGTCTAGCCCACCAGGGGGCCTCAACATTTTCCACCTGGGACCCCTTTTGGCCCAAGATTTATTTTACGTGACCCCAGGTATTTGAAAAAGGGAATAAATATGACGTATTTGAAAAAGGGAATAAATCGGCCAAGTACGGAGTGTATGAGCACACATTTATTGTACCATGCGTTGTATTGGACTGGGATTTTTGTATCTGAACTTTGCAGTGCAAGAAAACTATGAGAATCAGAATGGCTATGGTATATTATTTTTGGATAATATTTATACTAGGGTGTTTTAATGCTTTGTTTAAATGTTTATGTGTTGTGTCTAATGGTTTTAATGATTATGTTTTTTTTTCTTTCTATATGTATATGGCATTGAATTTTTGCCATTAATAGATGTTGTAAACTGCCTTGAACCCCCCCCCCCCCCCCCCCCCCCCCCCCCCCGGGTGAGAAAGGTGGTATATAAATATAGTAAATAAATAAGTAAATTATTTTAATGTTAAAGTGTTTTAATTGTTTTTATATTATTGCGGGCATCAAATTGTGCCATTTGTAAACCACCCTGAGTCGCCCTCGGGCTGAAAATGGCGGCATATAAATATGGTAATAAATAAATAAATATAAACGAGACGATTGGATGCATGTGTTTGCTCTTTTGATCATCACCATAATCTGTAAAATTATGTTTTTTGGGATGCCTCTTTATGTTACCTGTGATGAACAAGATTCATATTATGTATTTGAGTTGTATGGTGTTTGAAATACATTCTGAGAGTGCATCCTAGTGTTCAGGACATCCTGAAAAGCCTGCTGCTTTCTTTTTGGGGAGAAGAAGCTTGCTTGCAAATGATGCCATCTTTTTATGTCCTCTCAACAGTTGGATACTGGGAAGACCTTCCAAGCCATTATGAGGTTTGACACAGATGTGGAGCTCACTTATTTCCGAAACGGGGGCATCTTGAACTATATGATTCGCAAGATGGCATCCTAGTCCCTGAAACTGGACTCCGCCAGTTTCCATTTTATCATGAAACCTGCCTTTTTTTCTGATGAGAATGCACAGCAATTGTGAAAAACTATATATGTCCAAATGCTGAATTAAGTATGTATAGGTAGCATTATTCAAATTTATGTTTATGCTGTTAGAATGTGTGGCTAGGTGCCTTACCCACCAAACAACCTTGTGTTGTGTGTGTGTTTTTGTGTGTATTAACTCATCCTGCCCTCCCATATCTTATTTCATCAGTCCATTGTATATGGGTGGGTACAATGTGAAACTGGTTAACACAGTGCTACATTAAGTGAAATCCAGACACCACTTTACCCTTTTCAGTGTTTTATACAGCAATTGATGATAAGAGTTGATAAATTAGAATTAAATGACTAAAATCTGCTTCCTTTTAAAACAGTTAATCAGAATTCTCCCTTGAAAAATGTAATCATGCTAAAATTATTTCAGTGGCTTAGCACTTCCGTCTTACAGATTGAATGTTCTCTGTTATGCTTCCTCCTCCTTCTTTGTGAGGGAAGGCCAAAGTAGATATTATGTTGAAGGCATAGCTAGCAGCTATATCTTTTTTTACTCTAGCAGTAACTCAAGGGCTAATGAACATTGGTTGGGGGCTTTAACCTCCCCAGTCATGCGTGTTGTGACTGCACTATGTCCACTGAAAATGGTATATAAGAAACCAGTCGCTCTCTGCACAGCAATATAAAATGTGTGTGTTCCTAGAGATAGGGGAACCACAACAGAGAGAAGGAGTTAAAGATCCTCCCCAGTCCCAGATCAGGCACTTTATGCTTGAGTTAGAGCAGTGGTTGTCAACCTGTCCTGTTTTGGCCTTCAACTCCCAGAAACAGCTGGTAAACTAGCTGGAAATTCTGGGAGTTGTAGGCCAAAACATCTGAGGACCCATAGGTTGAGAATCACTGTAGTGAGAGTTTTAAAAAATGGGGGGGGGGGAGGATATGGCTACTTAACATTTTAAAGCATTGCGTCTTTGATCTAAAGTCTTTGGGGTAGGGAGATTTGAAAATCATTTATAATAAAATCCAATTTATTTTCAAAAAAGGCTTAGACTCTTTTTTTAGATTGCACAGTTTGTTTTGCTTGTGAAACTCTTGCAGGAGCATAGCATCGTACATACCAAGGAGGTGAAGGTTGGCCTGCAAGCAGCATTCATCATATTTTTGCTTGCACAGATTGTCAACATGCAGCATTTTTTACGTTCTTACCCCTCACCTGCTGGATGATATAGCCCACTAAGTAGATCACAGAGCAGAAACTAATTCATACCACTGTTTTCCATCAAGATATATTTCCACATTCTTATGTTCAATTTCAACCATGCCGCGTTCAGGAATTCTCTACTGAAGACACTTTGGGCCTGCAAGCCACACACACACACACTTGAAAAAGACCCTTTAGCCCCAAAACAGGGGAAAGGGAGTGTGGGAAGCTCACCCATTGCTGCCAATAGCATGAAAATATTCATTTTTTCAGACATGGGGCAAAAAAGCTCATTTAGAAAGGCGCCCGTCTTCAGGAGAGACACTTGAAAACGAAAACGGAGCCTTATGAATGAAACAAACAGATAGTGATTCTATACAAATGCACAAGAGTAGTTAACACCTCTGTGGTGATGGTTTTGCTTTCTGTGCCCCTATTCAGAAGATTTCACCTTATTTTCTGTCCCTGTGATAATTTTGAAAAAAGTCACTTGTGGAAACAAGGATTGGTGATAATGTTTCAGTGGAGACACCTTTCCCCCATGATAACTCTTTCAGGAGTCAATTTCCCTTCCAAACAATAGTTTCTTTTCACTTCCTGGTGTTTCCCCCCCCCCCCCCCTTTCTTAATTATGGGTCATTTGTCAGTTGGATGCTTGTAATTCAGGGACTGCCTGTACTACATTGTATCAAAGAAAAGCTATCTTCCTTCTCTGAGTAAAGTGGCAAAAGGTGAGAGCTTGGTCTCTCACACAGCACCCATTTACCTTAGTCCCCTCATTCATCTAGCCAATCATGGCAGCTGATATGATTTGGTTTTGTTTTCCTTTGCTTTGTCCTTTACATCCTTTGTTACATACTCCAAAGTTTTATTAATTTATCCTTGGATGATATCAAAATAAAAATCTGCTCCGAACATATACACACATTCCACTTATGTAGAAGTTCATAGGGTAATCTTTATTATATGGCTTAACGGTGTAATGCCGGAAAATGCTCACAATTCCTGCTACTTTGGCAATCACCTCTCCACAGACGTAGACACTGACATTGAAATACAACACCATCAGAGCTCTGTGAGTGCAGCATTTTTTCAAATGAAGCAGGGAGTGTTTGAGGATCGGGACATTTCTAGAGATACCAAGGTGCTTGTTTATGGTCCTTCCAACTCTATGCCTGCAAAACATGGACCATCTACAAACATCACTCTTGACTTCTGGAACGATTCCATCATCATAGTTCTGAAAAATCCTGCAAATGTTTTGGGGAATACAGGCAGACAAAATCAGCTTTCTAGAAGAAGGAAATACTAACAGCATTGAAGTGATGATCCTCTGCCATCAACTTTGCTGGACTGGCCACTTTGTCCGAATGCCTGATCACCGTCTCCCAAAGCAGTTACTTTATTCTCAGCTTTGCTGGACTGGCCACTTTGTCCGAATGTCTGATCACCGTCTCCCAAAGCAGTTACTTTATTCTCAGCTCAAGAATGAAAAACAGAAGGTCAGTGTACAGCAAAAGAGATTTAAAGATTAGCTTAAAGCTAAGCTTAAAAATGTGGAATGAACACCAAGACATTGGAAACCCTAGCTGTCAAGCATCCTTACTGGAAGTCTGCTGTTACCAACAGTGCTATGGATTGTGAAGAAGAACAAATAAGAGGGAGAAAGGGAGAAACATGCACGAGGAAAGCACATCAAACAAATCCTTGTTGGGACCGCCTTCCATCTGGAAATATATTCCCAACTGCAAATTATACCCTTCCAGAAAATAATCCTCCCTGCTAATCTCAATATATATTCACATTTTTGCATTCAGTAATCAGCATACAAAGACAAATGACTTACACATGTTGAATCCTGGCAACTGTGATGATGGATTATTTTATGGAAGACAACACTTGATCTTAAGCAAAAGACTGAGAAGGGATATTTTAATCAAAATTACCACAAGTACTAAAAGAGACACTAGTCTTTGTTAGTGAGGAAACAGGCATAAAGGGAACCAAAGCATTCCTTGAAGAATATAAAAGTGTTTTATATTTTTTTGTCATGTTAATTAAAAGGCAAGATGACAGCAATGTGAATACTGCATTTGGAGCAGGGAAACTTGGGAGTCAGCTTTTTGTTCAACTATTAATAGGTGACCTTAGCAAAACATCTCCTAAGATGTGTTACAAGAACATTCCCATCTGTTGTACTCTGAGTTTCTTGGAAAAACCAAACCGGTATGACAAAAGTTCTTCCAACCCCTCACAAACTCAGAGCTCCATGTTTTAAATAATTGTGTAATGTTATTGAATCACAGAGTAAAAAAGATACTCCACAAAACTCACCTCAAGATACATGTACAGGTAACAGCTATAGGCTAACAGCTATAATTTAATAACTAACCATGGATTTCTTTAAAAAAAATTGAAAGTATTATATGATTCAGTCAAATTGTCATGTTTTCAGGGGTATTGCAGAAAGAAATTAGATTAAGCTAGGCTAAGCGACATTGAAATTAAAATCCTATGAGAACTACCTTTATACTGGATCTGCAGCTGCTGAAATACATTTAGTGCCATTATTTGGAAACATATCAATGTGTTGTCGATGGCTTTCATGGCTGGAATCACTGGGTTTCTGTGAGTTTTCCGGGCTGTATGGCCATGTTCCAGAAGCATTCTCTCCTGACATTTCACCTACCTCTGTGGCAGACATCCTCAGAGGTTGAGGGGTCTGTTGGAAATATGTGAGGTTTATATATCTATGGAAGGTCCAGGGTGGGAGAAAGAACTCTTGCCACCTTGATTAGCATTTAATGGTCTGGAGTTTCAAAGCCTGGCTAGTTGCTGGCTGCTACCGTGTGACCTTTCATGTTCCTTGATTTGTGTCTGGGCAATGCTGCATTTGGTGGTCCATATGTAGACTTGTCCACAGCTGCAATGCATACGGTACGTTCAGCAAAGGACAAGAGTGGTCCTCCCACCTTTGCAGGAGTCTACCGTATACCATGCAGCTGTGGACAAGTCTACATAGGGACCTCCAAACGCAGCAGCATTGCCCAGACACGAATCAAGGAACATGAAAGGCACTGCAGACTACTTCAACAAGGGAAGTCAGCTATAGCAGAGCACCTGATGAACCCACCTGGACACAGCATTTTATTTGAGAACACAGAAATTCTGGACCACTCTACCATGTCAGACGACACGGAGAAGCCACTGAAATTCACAAGCAAGTGAACAATTTCAACAGAAAGGAGGAAAATGAACAAAATCTGGCTATTACTATTTTAAAAAACTCTAAAAACAGTAAATAAATAGCAAGACTCAAAAAGTAGAGGGGTTCCAGACAAGAATCCATCAGGGCCAGCTAACACCTCCCAACAAAGGATTCCCCCAGGCAGCAACCAGAAAGATCTGAAACTGCAGGTCATTAAATGTTAATCAAGGTGGCAGGTTGCAACATTCACATGTACCTCTAGCAGAAAAGAGTTCTTTCTACCACCCTGGACATTCCACAGATATATAAACCTCATTTGCCTAGTTTCCAACAGACCTCACCACCTCTGAGGATGCCTGACATAGATGTGGGTGAAACGTCAGGAGAAAATGTTTCTGGAACATGGACATACAGCCCAGAAAATTCACAGCAACCCATACTTACGTCAACTATCACCTGCTAAATTTTGAAACAGAAAGATGTTCATATTCATTAAAAACTAAGTTAAAAGTGAGTGGACTACTCTACGACTAAATTGTACATTTCTTCGATATCAAATTCTTTCATTGCAAAATTAACAAGTTTCCATTTCCGAAAATAAAGCTGCCTCCCTGTGGAAACATTTTCTACCGAAAAGCTTTCGATCTTTATGATGGGCAGATCATCAAATGCCTTGTACTTCACTGTGATTCCCCAGTCATTGTGACATTTCTCACAGTACAACTTGCACCTTTTCTGAAAGTTGCCGTAGCAGCTCGGTTTCCCATGAGGCTCTGTTATGTACCGTCGTATAAAGTTTTCATCTACGACTGTGTGGTGGGATCCCTGAAACAAACCAGAAGGAATTATATAAATTTTTCTCCTATTTCAACTTAGCCCATTCAGCATCAAGTCATAGTTTGGATGTGTAAACAGGCTGAGGTCACGAAGAGTCAGAGACGACTGAACGAATGAACAACAAAACAGGCTGAAGCTGTGAATCCAATCTAAGACTTTCAGTTCAGATCAAACGATTGCAACCAAATCATTTACTACATACTAAATGTCTATGTGTAAAGGTTTATTTCCACATTCTCATGTTCACTTTCAACCAGGCTCTATTCAGGAATTTTCTACTGAAAAGTGCAAGAACTGGTGCAGATTGACACCAGTGACACCACTCTAACTGCCATTGCTCAATGCTGTGGAATCATGGGAGCTGTAGTGTCACAAGGTCTCCCTTCTCTCCCAGAGTGCTGATAACTCATCAAACTATAATTCCCACAATTTCATCTCAAGTATCAACCAGATATCAATCAACTACCACTAGACAAATTCCCATCTATGCCCAGGACTTTCAGTGAAAAGCTACAATATGTTGAAAATTATATATGTGTGTGTATTCTTCCCTTGACTACAAACAATGCATATAAAAAGCATTAAAATGTGGTTACTTGTATTCCACTTCAGCATGAAATAAAACTCGAGGTGAATGCAAACAACAATTTGCCAAGCAGTAACAATCACAGATTTAACTGTTCTGATGAATCTGACCCCATTTCTCCATCTGAATAGAAATTCATGGAAATAGCAGAGCATTCGGTATTTCCACAGGGCAGTACAGATGTGTGATTAGAAGGTCAAAAACATTCCCAGATGTTTTTAGCCTTCCAACTCCCAGAAATCTTAACAGCTGGTAAACTGACTGGGATTTCTAGGGATTGTAGGCCAAAACAGCTGGGGACCCACAGATTGGGAACTACTGCATTAGACGTATGGCCACTGTGGGAACATTTATCACTTAATAAGAAAATTTATGTGTATTTTTAGAGGCAAGATATGTTTTGTTTGAAATTGTACATATAATACATGTAAGGGAGAGTGTGATGAATCTAACCTTTTGCCAGGAGGCCGAAGCCTGGAAAGTCAGTGGCTGACATGTTGAGAGATAGGCAGGAGAGCTAAGAGGCAAGAGGGAGGAGTCARCCGACTCCTGATTGGCTAGAGCAGTCAGGGGAGSAGTTAGSTTTKAGAGGGRAAAAAGGCTRTRTCTTTTTGACAAGCKDGAGRGRGHWGRGMTTTAAAYATCRWAGMGTGWAGAAGKATWGTTAGGRAGAGGGAGCTGWGARGAATKTAGACAGGGARRGARRACWTTTGAAGTGAGCMTTGDRRKTTAGAGCATAGGRWAGGCAAAGGTTCCTGRDWCACTGTACWTRRWAGGGTCAGTGWAGGAAAGCCTRKTTTGCTCTGTGAGGCAGTCAGTGGGCTGTTCTCAGGGACACACTGTGTCAGTGTAGTGAACAGTGTGAAGCAAGGAACTCACAAGAAACAAAAGTTAAAGTCTTAAAAGAAAGACTGCCTGTCTAAACAGCTAAGCCTCTGAAACRCATTACGCTTTTGTACCACTCTTGTTAAGAGTTGATTTGTTCACCAAGTTTAAATAAACCTGTTTATAGTTTCATCTTTAAACTGGTGTCTGCCTCGGTCTGTGTAACTCATTAGATCTCAGCTAGTCTAAAAACAACTTGAATTCAGTCCAGTCAGCGATAGAAGCGTCCATTGAAGAAGAACTAAGGGCTTGAACGAACTTTACCTATTTCACATTCACACTTATGTTTTCCTCAGACATTAATTGAGGTGGTGTCGGCAAATCTACCAATTACATCAGTCATTAACAACGTTAATACAGTTGGTCACTGAATAATATTACTGAGGTGGGATAAGAGAGTCTTTCCCCCTCATCCTAGTCATTTATCGTCGTTAAAGTAGTGTCCAGCTGAACATTAACCATTTACACTGGTGGGCAGTGGGTGTGATTTGTTTGTCCCCCCCGCCCAAGATTACGTTTATCTTTGTTATAGAGAGCAAGCACAGTGAAGTGGTTTGAGCATTTGACTACAACTCTGCAGACTATGATTTCAATCCCCGTTCAGACATGGAAATCCACCATGGGACTATACAGCCATCAAGTTTACTTTAACTTATGGAAACTCAAGGAATAAGAGACCTTGGAACAAATATTGTAAAGAAATCCCTATGATGAGTCACCATAAGTTAGAAACAGCTTAAAGGCACACAACATCATAAATACATAAATGTAACAAATCTGTTTGGCACAACTTCTGTGGATGTTATACTGGTATGGGACTGCTTCGTTTCTTCAGAGTAGGAGGTGTTTCAGATTTGGATCCAAGAAAATGTTTCTATTAGTAATCCCTCCGCCAGAACTTCTCAAACTGTGACAAAACTGGACAAGGAGAAGTGTGCCCCACACTAAAACACAGTGTAAAGCATCACAGCACTCCACTGTGGGCTTACCTCAATCACTCTGATGTCATCTGTGTTACAGGCAAAGCTTTTGCATTTGCTGCACAACAATCTTCGATTGCCCGACAGCAGCGGTCGCTGGGGTTCTTTCTTCTTGGAATCTTGCAGCTGCTTTTCTATTTTTTGCAATTCTCTTATCTAAAAGAGAGTGAGGGGAGGAAATGAAAAAGCAGAGCATATATATATATAATTATCTCAATCCAGAGGGAGGAGAGGCAGGTTCTCCCCTCCCCCTCTCTCTCCATATATATATATATAGAAAACTTCTCAATCAAATAAATTCATGGGGAGCCCCCGGTAGCGCAATGGTTTAAACCCGGGGAGAGCGGGTTGAGCTCCCTCTTTCAGCTCCAGCTCCCCATGTGGGGACATGAGAGGAACCTCCCACAAGAATGGTAAAATATCAAATCATCTGGGTGTCCCCTGGGCAACGTCCTTGCAGACGGCCAATTTTCTCACACCAGAAGCAACTTGTAGTCTCTCAAGTAACTCCTGACACGAAAAAAATGAAATAAATCTTAACCAGTAGCTCTTAAGCAGTCAATGTTTATATTCTGATGACCACTCAATGGTTTAAATGACAAGATTATAATTCCACCCACTTTAAGGGTTTTAATTTTATAGACAGTCCTCGAGTTATAAACATCCAAATTAGAAACACCTCATAGTTAAGAATGGGGATGAAACAACAGGAAATGAGAGAAATCTATCCCTCAAAAGGGAAATTCACTCTTGAAAGCATTATCAAGCTTTTTCCACAAGCCAAGTTTTTCAAAATCCAATTCTCACAGGGACAGAATGTGAGGTGAAATCTTCTGAACAGGGGCACAGACAGTAAAACATACACCATAGGGGTGTTAACCCTTCCCTAGACTATCCAAAGCTTATATATTGGCTAAAATTACACTTTTAAAATTTACCTGTTCCAACTTACGTATAAATTCGACTTGAGAACAAACTTACAGAACCGATGTTGCTTGTAACTTAGAGACTGCCTGTACTTTTGTTTTGATGGGATGAGATATTCCTGGGTCTCACAAATTGTATAGAAAGGCTTTTATGAATAACATCAACCTAAATTTCCAGAGGTTGGATACTTTTGGACATTTTTGAGGGCCCTAAATCAGCTCAATTATCCTCTAACATACAAACTTTGGCAGCAATGAATAAACAGAAAGTCAGGTGTAGGCAGTCGTCCTGTTTGCCATTGAATATCCTTCTGTTTGCCTCACTCATCGGGCTCCTGGTGTGAGCTACAAAATGCACAAACATGATCAAATGAAGTAAGCTAACAACACACAAAAGAAATGAAAATCACCTTCTGCACAAACACCTCCTCTTTCCAGTCTTGCACTTCCTTAATGGCTTTGTTCATCATCTCCTCCTTCATCACGTTATATCTCTCATTTTCCTCCTGCTCCTTTTTGCTAGTTACAAGGATGCACTTGCTATCTTTTGCCCTTCCACGACCTGGAGATGGCATGTACAAACACATTTCAGAGATCCAAGGAATTCAGCCTTCATTTCCAACTTTTAATCTCTCATATGAATGAAGGGGACACCCAACACTAGAGGATGAGATAATACGAAGCAGGTCTAGGGAAGTTCACTATATGTTGTTCAGCCTTCATCATCCCTATTTAGTATACCCATTGGTCAAGAATGAAAGCAGCCATTGCCATAAATAATGTTTTCTTAAGCTTTCCGATGTGAGGTGCTTGCATGCTTCCTGGAAATGAGGAATCATGAAGAATGCTTGCCCCTCGTGGCACATGAATGCACTTATGGCATCCTTTGTATCAGTGTTTCTCAATCTGGGGAGGGAGTTTCAGAGGGGTTGCCAAAGACCATATATTTCTGATGATCTTAGGAACCCCTTAGCAGAGAAAGCTAAAGATCTCTCTGCCTGTCCTTCTCTTCTTTTTTGGAAACAGACAGTGAATCCTACCACCAAAAGCCCTCCTCCTGCTGTGATTGGCCGGCCTCTCAGCCAGCCTCGGAGGGCTGTTTCTGAGACTCCAAGCAGGGAGGGGAGAGCAGGCATAATCAGTGCATGGCAGCATGGTGCGCATGTACAGGCAAGAAAAAGCATGCGAGGCTGGAGGGAGGCTCGCGTTAGGCCATCTTTTCAAGGCATGGGGGTTCTGTGTGGGAAGATTAGCCCAACTCTATCATTGATGGGGTTCAGAATGCTATTTGATTGTAGGTGAACTATAAATCCCAGCAACGACAACTCCCAAATATCAAAGTCTATTTTCCCCAAACTCCACCAGTGGTCACATTTGGGCATATTGAGTATTCGTGCCAAGTTTGGTCCAGATCTATCATTGTTTGAGTCTACAGTGTTTTCTGGATGTAAGTGAACTACAACTCCAAAACTCACGCTCAATGCCGACCAAACCGTTCCAGTATTTTCTGTCGGTCATGGGAGTTCTGTGTGCCAAGTTTGGATTGGTGGAATTCAGAATGCTCTTTAATTATAGGGTAACCATAAATCCCAGCAACTACAACTCCCAAGTACCAAAATCATTTCTAACACACACACCACCACCCCCAACCCCACCAGTATTCAAATTTGGGCATATCAATTATTTGTGCCAAATTTGGACCAGTGAATGAAAATACATCCTGCATATCAGATATTTACATTACAATTCATAATAGTAGCAAAATTACAGTTATGAAGTAGCAACAAAAATAATGTTATGATTGGAGATCACCACAACATGGAGAACTGTATTAAGGGGTTGCGGCATTAAGAAGGTTGAGAAACACAGTATATCTAAGAATCTAATGCATGCATATCACATACACAATCAGGGATTTAGTTGGTGCTTCCAGTGAGGAAGCAGCAACTACTCCAAGCCTACATTGATTTTAGCAACTCAGCATCAATACCTAATAGACAAACCTACTCCTCATCCTCAAGCAAAGCTTCATAATCTCCTTTTTCCTTAATGGAAGTATGCAGGCCTACAAACAGAATGCACACTTCCTGATCTACGGCAATTCGAACCGCCACACTTAATGGTGATATATGGCCATGATGGCTTACTAGAAGTTGTGATTGCAGCCACCACAATTACACATCGTTTTCTTACAGCACATGCTAACCTACCTCTGACTTGTATCATTTTGATAACATTGCCTGTATACTCATAGAGCAGGACAAGGTTGCACTGAGCAATATCAATCCCTTCATCAGCAACAGAGGTAGCGATGAGAATCTTGCTGTCCCCAATGGTTTTGAATGAGTCCAAGACACCTTTCTGATTTGGGAGGGTCATACCTAGCACAAAGATGACAGAAGAATATCTGAATTAGCAACACAACATTTAAATTTAATTTTCATTGTAATTCAAGTCACAGATAGAAGTATGCTGTAAAACCACTGAAAAAACACAGTCCCATAAGGGAAAGATGTAGCATTCTGAGAAGTTCGTGCAAATCTAAGGGAGGAAGCTTCTGATACATATCCCCTCTACATCTGAGGGTAGAACATTTGCTAGCTCAACAAAACATTACACTTTTTTAAAGGGGTCTTGGGAGCAAAGACCCTTGGGAGAAGTGTCAGGTAATCTTACTTGATCATGCCCCAGTGGTAAGGCATAATTGTTTATTGTTTACTGCTTATATTATTTTGTGTATCTGTTGATTGTTGTAAGCTGCCCCAAGTTCCTTGGGGAGAGGGAGCGGGGTATAAATAAAGTTGTTTGTTGTTGTTGTTATTGTTATTATTTGAAATACAACAAGATTAGTACACACCAAACAAGATCACTATGCTGGTTGTTGTATTGGATCACACGTCAGACACTTCCCAAGTTTCTAGGACTATGTGATGTATCAGCGAATAATGCGTGCAGATCCCATTAGGGTAGCTTTCTGCAGCTGACAGACGGTAATTCTATCAGTGCCGATTGTGTTTAAGTGCAGGCCAAGGTTTTTAGGCACTGCACCCAGTGTGCCGATCACCACTGGGACAACCTTTACTGGCTTGTGCCAGAGTCTTTGCAGTTCGATCTTTAAAATCTCATATTGTGTCAGCTTTTCCAGTTTTTTCTCTTCAATCCTGCTGTCACCTCATTTTATTACTTTTAGCTCATTTTTATTATTTTTTTAGCTGTTGTTGTTGTTGTTGTTGTTGTTGTTGTTGTTGTTGTTGAAAACCGACTGCCTCAGGTTTCCCTCCACTTCCTCTTCTTTATTGTTTAACTTTGCCATTATTCATTGACTGTATCCATCCCTAGGGCTTAACTGCCATAACCTTACCTGCCATAAAAGCCTTCTATGAAATCCTGGGCTTTGTAGCTAGGTGAGGCACGATCTCTTTACAGCTAAGAAATATACATTTCCCTTCCCACAACTGCAAATCCCTGGATTTCACAGGATGGAACAAAGACAATGGAATCATTGTGCTATAATTGTATATTGGGAAAGTGTCCTAGGCACTTTCCTTGAAGAAAATTATAATTCAAGTTGTACAAAAAGTTGGACAAAATTAGCTTCCCACCAATATTTTGCAACCCCCAGTGGCGCAGCGGGTTAAAGCGCTGAGCTGCTGAACTTGCTGACCAAAAAGTTGGCAGTTCAAATCCAGGGAGCAAGGTGAGCTCCCGCTGTTAGCGCCAGCTTCTGCCAAACTAACCGTTCGAAAACATGTGTGAGTAGATCAATAGGTACTGCTCCTGAGGGAAGGTAATGGCGCTCCATGCAGTCATGCCAGCCACATGACTTTGGAGGCATCTACGGACAATGCTGGCTCTTCAGCTTAGAAATGGAGAAAAGCACCAGCCCCCAGAGTCAGACATGCCTAGGCTTAATGTCAAGGGGAAATCTTTACTTTAACATTTTAGGCACAGCAATGGTCATGAATAACATCCTTTCATTCAACATCTCCTTACCAGTCTTCTGATTTCTTTTCCCACGTCCCATCAATACTTCTGGCTTTAGGTGTTGAAGCTGGGGGCTTTCTTCTATCCAGTTCTTCAATGCCTGCAAAATTCATTTGGTTTCAGGACATTGTGGTAATAGAGATCTAAGTTTCAACATACAACAACCCTTTGGGATCTGGAATGAATTGCCAACTAAGTTACAGAGTGGGCTTTTCAGTCAACATTGGTTCCAGTCTCTGCACTGCAAGGCTGGATGTGTGCAGAATGGTTCCTCCACACCCATACATCAACAAAAAAGTAGAATATATTTGGGCAATGTGTCTGCAAAAATGACTAAATTATCTTCGGTTTGTAAAGCAAAATATTGAGGGGCCCAACATCATCCTTTGAAGCATACAACTTCTGCATGAACCGAGAGAAGTGCCTCTCTCTGACACAACATACATATGGTGGGATTGGGATCCAACTGAACACAGAACGACTTCTGTCATCAGAGTTGGGGTAGGATTCTTCCTCCCTCTTTGTAAACCTTCCATAAGAGTTTTCAGAAAATATGGAGGTTGAAGAAAGGCAGGCAAAGGAAGGAAGGCACAATGTCTGTGTGAGAATTTGAAAAAGGATGCCATTATATGGTGGGTTAACTGGAGAGACATGTGTCAGCAGCTGATTGGCTGAGTGTGCCAGGAGCCAGAGTTCTGATTGGCTACTGCCTCTGGCTTGCTGCTGAGACCAACGGTTCTAACTGCCATTTCTCACCTTTCAATAGTGAAGAGATTGCTGGCTGCCTGATCATTTTGAGGCTTGAGGCTTATTTTAAAGACTGTTTTAAAAGGACTATTTTATTCCTCTGTTCTCTGCCTGAAATCAAAGAGACTGATGTATATATATTGATACCCTGTTTGAACTTCTGAACTAAAGTAAAGATACTGTTACTTGTTACACAAGCCCGAGTGACATTTTATTATACTGCAGGGTATATCTTGGTTTAAATACTGTGGTAAAGCTTCTGCTTCTTCTGCTTATTCACATTTACCAACCCTCACAGTCTGCCATAGGCAACCCTTGCAACAAAATGATTCAAGCATTTCAATCCAAATTTAATATTAAAACTAAGGAGAAAAACAATGTGTAGGTTTTATCATGAACTTTAAATATCATTTTATGATACAGCTGTTCCAAGTTTGTTTTTGGTTTTTTTGTAAGCTGATTAAATATGTTTGTTTGTTTTTTAAGTCAGTATTATGGATGTAATTACACCTAAATGAAACACAAGACATAGAGGATATCTTTCAACAGATAAATAAATAAACAGTCCCAATCTGAACTGTTAAAAGAAATTATCTTACTGCCACCAGTGCCCTTGTCTTAACAAACAGAATAGTGCGAGTCTCGGGATTTTCATGGTATGTTTCATCTAGGAGAAAAGTAATTTCTTCCAATTTGGGGTTTTCATTGGATATGTCTTGAGAAGCTGCATACATCAGTGGGTATTTTGCTAGAAGGAAGAAAACATGTAAGTGTATACATGTGAAAGTACACAATGTTACTACCTTTTATTTTACTAGTTGATGAATCATAGAATCATAGCATTGGAAGAGACCTTTTGGGCCATCCTGTCCAACCCCCTGCCAAGAAGCAGGAAAATTGCATTCAAAGCATCCCCGACAGATGGCCATCCAGCCTCCAGAGAAGGAGCCTCCACCACACTCCAGGGCAGGGAGTTCCACTGCTGAACAGCTCTCACAGTCAGGAAGTTCTTCCTAATGTTCAGATGGAATCTCCTTTCTTGTAGTTTCTTGTAGTCACCACCACCATCATCTTTATTTATATCCCACCACCATCTCCCAAAAGGGACTTGGGGCGGCTTACAAGGCACTCTAGGTGCAATATAACATAAAAGGTACATAAGCATAAAACAATATCACATATAAAGTTATAAAACAACCACTATCAACACATAAAATAAAATAAAAGACACAATTTAAAAATGCAGACCAGCTATAGTTAAAACTAGCTGCCGTCAATTTACAACTAAAGGCTAGAGTGTCAACCTCATATGGGTCCATTTCAGCATAATCAAGGCCAAAAGCCTTTTTAAAGATCCATGTTTTTAGGTTGGATCAGAAGAAGTCAAGGGTGGGGGATAACCTAATCTCTTTTGGGAAAGTATCTCAGAGCCAGGGAGCCACCACAGAGAAGGCCCTCTCTCTCGTCCCACCAACTGCCCTTGAGACAGATGTAGGACCGAGAGAATGGCCTTCCCTGCCAATCTCAAAACCTGTGCCAGATAATTGAAGGAGATGCAGTCTCGAAGATAGGTTGGACCCAAAGCATATAGGGCTTTGTAGGTAATAACCTGCACCTTGAATTGAGCCCGGGAAATTGTTGGAAGTCAGTGGAGCTGCTTTAGTAGGGGCATAGTATGTTCCCTATAGCTAATCCCGGTTAGTAATTTGGCTGCCGGTCTCTGCATTAACTGCAATTTCTGAACCATCTTCAAAGGCAGCCCACATAGAGTGCACTACAGTAGTCCATCCGGAATGTAACTAAGGCATGGGACATCGTGGCTAAGTCAGACTTTTTTGGGGTACAGTCACAGCGGCCACTGCAGATACCTGAGCTTCAAGCGTCAGCAATGAGTCCAGGAGGACCCTCAGACTGCAGACTTGTGTCCTTAGGGGGAATGTAACTTCAGGGGGGAGTGTTGAATTATGGTTGCCTTTAATCTATCTCATCCAAGAGGTTAAGCTGCTCTTAATTAATTTTTATGCACATTTACCGAAGGAGAAATTGAGCATTTGTAGTGTAATACAAGGATACATTTCTAAGGAGTACCTTCAAAGTTTGATGCCAACTGCTGTTCGATTTCATCAAAACCTCCACTTTTCATATCCTGAAAGAATTCCTTCAGATAACACAGAGCGTCACAGGTACGTGCGTCATCATTAATAAGGAGGGCATCATTATATTTCTGGATATGAGGAAAAGTTCAAAAAAACACCTTTTATTGCCTCCACACATTTCCATTCTGAAAGTAATAGATGCAGTACGCACATGAGGAAAAGAAAAAGAAGCTCTCAAATGTATAACTAGGTTCAGCTGGAAATAGTGTAGTGGTTGTTGTTTATTCGTTAAGTTGCTTCTAAGTCTTCGTGGCCTCATGGACCAGCCCACACCAGAGCTCCCTGTCGGCCGTCACCACCCCCAGCTCCTTCAGAGTCAAGCCAGTCACTTCAAGGATACCATCCATCCATCTTGCCTTTGGTTGCCCCCTCTTCATTTTTCCATTTTCCCCAGCATCATTGTCTTCTCTAAGCTTTCCTGTCTCCTTATTATGCAGCCAAAGTACTTCAACTTTGTCTCTAATATCCTTCCCTGTAGTGGTAGGGGCTTGGTATCCCTTATCTGACATGCTTGGGACCACAATTGTTCCCTATCTCAGATTATTTTCTCCTTTTTCTCTTCTTGCTTCCCAACACACCACTTCTGTCTTTGAGGATGAGACACTCCTGCTGGTTCATCTCTCAAATCACCAATCCTTTGCCAAACTCATGTCTTAAACACAACACAAATGGGGAGCAACCATATATAAAATTGGAGAAAAACAAAATCTAAGAAATGAACTAGCCTCGAAAGCCAAAGCAGGTGGCTGGCTACAAAATGTTTTGGGCTTTGGAGAGTTTTTAAAAAAAAAAAAAAACAGGTATTTGGATAAAGGAGGCTCAACCTCAACCCAAAGAGCACCAGATCCAAGTGGCTAAGAGATGACCTTGAGTTGCTAGCTACACCAAATGGCAAAGCCAACTTTACGTTGGTATCAGAGAATGCAGTTTACATGTACAGTTAATATACCTCAGTTAATGATAATTTGAAACCAACACAGAAACAACGGGAAGAATTGAGTTAGCTTCATATGCTACAAAAAGAAAAGGAACAGTTTAACATGTTTCAGGATATATTTTATTCAAAACTAACAATAGGTATATTCAAACTAGAATACCAGGTTGTGTAAGCCTTAACTATTTTAACTCTGTGTATCTTGTTGTATGCCTTTTAATAGTGTTTTATCTCTTGTTTTAATGATGTTGCATCCTGCCTCGAGCTGCAGGGGGAGGTGGGTAATAAATTATTATTATTATTATTATTATTATTATTATTATTACTATTACTATTACTATTATTAATGTTATCGGATGAGTAAAAATAAATGTTTTAACCTTCTAGAGACATCCTGAATGTTTCCTTCAAAATGCATCCATAGATTACTTTTTTCGCTTTTCTTATCGTTTCCACTTGGATCACCATGCTTATATTTATTAGTGTTCATTTAGACCAGTGTATCTCAACCTGTGGGTCACATGGAAGTCATGAGGGCCATTGCACAGTCAGTGGAGCTCCCAGTGGTGCAATGAGTTAAACCAGTGATTCTCAACCTGTGTGTCCCCAGGTGTTTTGGCCTACAACTCCCAGAAATCCCAGCCAGTTTACCAGCTATTAGGATTTCTGGAAGTTGAAGGCCAAAACATCTGGGGACCCACAGGTTGAGAACCACTAATCTACACTGTAGAATTAATGCGGTTTGACACCATTTTAACTGTCATGAATCATGGACGTTGTAATTTGTAATTGTAACCCGACATCAAGAATTCTGCTTTGCGCAGACCTTCTTCATCATCTCTCCAATTCCAAGGCTGCTAAAATGCCTTCCAGTTAGACAAAAGGATGAAGGGGATGTGGTGAGTATAAAAAGCCTTTGTTGATAATATGTCTTCCTCTTGATGGAGGGTCTGTAAACTGAGGCCCCTCCTACACCACCATATAATCCAGATTATCAGAGCAAATAATCCACACTATCTGCTTTGAATTGAATTAAATGAATCTACACTGCTATATAATCCAGTTCAAAGCAGATAGTCTGGATTTTATATGGCAGTGTAGAAGGGGCCTGAGCTATGCCTGTACCAATCCACCTAATTAATTACATTATTTTCTCCAGTCGTTTCACCCATTTGTTGTTGTTGTTTTTTAAGTGTTGTAAATAAAACTGGATGAGATGATTCACAGAACAAGTCTCAGAGAGAGGAACAAAATGATATCAAAAGCCATTCCTACCGATTACATGATGCCCTACCATCCCACACAGATGACAATCTGGTCTGGGGGTGATGTATGGGGGTTCATTAATGATGGCAGTGATACATTTGTCAACCCAAGAGTAATGAAATAGCCCTAAAGGTACAGGGAATGAGATATGGCTGCTTTATACCACCAGCAAAAAAAAACTCACCCGAAGGTGCTCTGTGTAAATAAAAAGAGCCCTGCAGACCCTACTCTCTTCTTTTTTATTTTCCAGTTGTAACACGATGCATTTCTTCTGCACATCAACTATCCACTGTTCATATTTCTGGGTTCCAAACTTCCTATTCTGGATCTGGGACAAAGCATCTAATGGGGGAAAAGAGGAGGGAAACAGCATCTTCTATCAATAAACATAGCAAGAGTAGAGATAAACTATTAGTGCAATGTTGGCTATATACAAAATGCATTTGCTACACAGAAAGAAATATACCCAAACACACACACACACATATACACATATAGCCAGGATTTCATGCAATTATATTGCTTTCTCAATGTGAGCAGACATAGGTGCACGTAAATGCACTGAACTGTAGAAACAAGAAGAAAGGATAACTGTCATCCAAAAATCTGTTGCACACACATCTTATTGCTCTCTGAGCCAATCGGCCGCAATCTAGATCTAACCCAAATACAGGCAGCCCCTGGGTTATGAACAAAATAGGTTCTATAGATTTGTTCTTAAAGTTGAATTTGCATGTAAGTCGGAACAGGTACATTTTTTAAGTGCACCTCCAGCTATTTTTGGTTTTGGATAGCATAGGGAAGGGTTAACACCCCTGTAACATTTGTTTTTCTGCTTGTGCTCCATTCAGAAGATTTTACCTCATTTTCTATCCCTTTGACAATTGGAATTTGAAAATCTTGTTTTGGAAACAAGGATTGGTGATAAAGCTTCAATGGAAACCCCTTTTCCCCGGGTGTGAATTTCCCTTCCTATGGGTAGATTTCCCCTCACTTCATGTTCGCTCACCCCTGTTGGTATGTAGGAGTCATATGTAAGTCAGATGTTTGTAACTCTGGGACTGCCTGTATACACATTTCCCTGGGTGTATCAGATAAATTACTTGCAAGGAAATTTCACATGATTTTCATCTCTAACTTTGCCCAATATTGTCAGGATCAGTGCTGAAGATGAAGATCAAGAGCCTCTCTGCCCAGCATCTGAGTCTACATCAGAGTTGGAACGTCAAAACGATCCTGAAAATACTAGCTCTGCAGAGGTGATTCAGGAGCCTCAAGTAAATAAGGTGAATCCCATCTGGGCTGCAGTTGAGAACTGAAGGTATTCAGCTGAAAAGATCTAATCAGTTGGCTCAGCAAAGAGCAAACAAGTGAGGGCACTTGGGAAAATGTCATAAAGAGCTGAACTGGACTGGATCTGTGCTGGAAGCAACTTTTGTTGAATTGCATAGCCAGAATTACTGATGGTGAATTCTTGCCTTGGACCTTGACCCTTATTGGAATGACTATGCTTGCTTTGCACCTTGACTCTTGCTGGATTTGACTACGCTTGTTGATACTGCTTGGCTGAAACTCTGGACTGAACTCTGACTATCCCTGTGCTTTGCCTCTGCTGGATTGATTAATGTGTATGATCCTGGACTAACTGACATTGTGAATGGTGAGCAGCCACTTTGGCCGGGATTCCAAGTATAGGTTTGTACCCTGATTTCTCATGCACACTTCATGTAGTATGGCTACAAATAATTTTAATCAAAGTGCTCCATCTGATCTAAGAGTGGCTGACATGTAGATCAAGCCCAAAAAAAGAAAGGAATTGTATTCAGATTTATGGCTTTTTTGACAAGAACATTATGCAGATACGGTTTTAAAAACACACCAACTCAATGTTTTTACCTATAGCATAAACTTTTTTTGCCAGATCTTCTGTTTCAGACATCATTTGCAAGATAATGTCCACAAAGCAGTTCTGGGGGCGTTTCGAAACAGGCCTGATAGCTGCAGTAAAAAAATAAGATAGAGATGGAACTAACATTAGCAATAATTGTATCACCCAGAGATTGATGATGAATAATTACTACTGGCTCTCAGCCCTCACAGATGACATATGTAGGACCCATCTACACTGCCATATAATCCAGTTTCTGAATTCAAATTATCTGCTTTGAATATTCACAAGAACACCTCAGCAAGCAAGAGTCCAAAAGTGGCAGGCTAAAACCTGGAATCTCAACTCATGGCTGATACCAAATTAGAGACTCCCTGCTAGGCATATAGAAAACTGGGCAACTTGGATGTCACTGAACAGACTGCACTCTGGCACCACAAGATGCAGAGCCAACCTTAAGAAATGGGGCCACAGAGTGGAGTCCAGGATATGCAAGTGTGGAGACCAGCAAGCCACAGACCACCTATTACAATGCAGCATGAGCCCTGCCACATGCACCATGGAGGACCTTCTTATAGCAACACCAGGGGCACTCCAAGTGGCCAGCTACTTGTCAAAGGACATTTAATATAATGTCAATTTTTTTAAACTTTGTGTTTTTAAATACATCACAATTATACTCTTGGTTCACTCCTGATACGATAAATCAATTTTAAAAATCTGCTTGGAACTGGTTTATATGGTAGTGTAGACTCATATAATTCAGTTCAAAGCAGATAATCTGGTTTCAGAAACTGGGTTATGTGACTGTGTGTATACAGCTATAGTTTTTAGAAAGGTAGGAGGAGCTACTTTTATTGATGTGCAATCTCAATATTTGGGGAGACTAAGCTTCTCTATCAGCTGACACTGTTCCATATTCAGGGAACCATCTGCTGAAATGATTCTCAGATATAGAATTTGAAAAAGCATGACATATTAGTACCCTGCACAAAGGTACCAGAGACCATCACAGCTGTTTGGCATAGGCCACCAAGAATTAAGCCATGCCACTAGAGCAAACAGTAGAAAAAAGGGTTTCTCCTCACTCACACTTATGGACTTCTTGGGAGCATGCTATTAAAAATAGGTTATGAGACTTTGGGTCTGATCATCAAGTGTTACTGTAGACCTCCCTTTCCCCATAAAAGAGCACCAAAGAGATAGCTAAAGTTACAAAGAGACTGGTAGCAGCTGCAAAAGCTACTGTGTAACGACAGGCAGGGTCACAAAAGTAAGACAAGTCAATCTCTGAAAAGACACCAGTTGTGGCACCTCCAAAGATGGAATTTCCAAAAATGCCACTAATTTGGCTCTGTTGGAGAATGACCCACTGAGAAACTCAAGACTATTGCATGAGTTGATCATACAACAATTCCAATCTCTTAACTCTTTGAACCATTCTAATATGCAGTGGACACGTGTCCTCCAGCCACCCAGATAGAGAAGAATGGCTGTGCAGGCTAGGGTTTATGCTGGTAAAACTCGTCCCAAAAAAAAAAAAATGGATACTAGCCAAACTCTCTTGCAGACTGCCTTCCTCCTTCAGAAAGACAGCAAATGGAAGGCATAGTTACATTTTTGAGGCTTGTAGACAACTTCCTCCAGTTCCTGTATGTTCTCTTTGACTGTTGATATGACCTCAGCATTGAGTGAAGCACAGATCTCGCAGATATATTTTATAGTCTCATTCAAATTCTTGGCACTGCCAACTCCAAGGGAGGCTGTCAACCCTACAATCTGAACACACATTGAGGTTACAGGTATGTATGTGGCTTGAATAAAATACCTTCATTAGTTATGACATTTCCTAGAACTCTATCAGCATCAGAACCATTGTAATACCTTTCCTTCTATCACCTTGAACAATCTGAAATCTTTTAATAGTATAGTATGTCCCCTGTGACATTAATAATAATAATAATATGCATTATTCGCTGATACATCACACAGTCCTAGACACTTGGGAAGTGTCAGATGTGTGATCTAATACAACAGCCAGCAGAGTGCTGTGAATTTATCTTGTTGTGTTTCAAATAATAATAATAATAATAATAATAATAATAATAAAAACTTTATTTATATTCCACTCTATCTCCCCAAAGGGACTCAGGGCAGATTCCAAACATAAAAAGCAAACATTCATTGCCCAAATAAAACAACAATACATCCATACTAACAAAATTTAAACAACCCAACATATAAACATGAATTATAACTTAACAACTAAAATTAAATAAAAAACACAGCCTGTTATAACAGACGTAAGACAAAACATCCAACATCAAATGGAAACAATAATTTCCCATTTCCTTGGGGCAAATCAATCATTGCTCAAGATATCTATTGAGTTGGTGGGGTGAGCAGAGCACAGATACGGATGGCAACTATTAATCAGAGGTATAATGGTAGTATTACCAACTACTATTCCCCCTCCTCGTAAGCCAGTGAGTAAAGGTATGTCTTCAGCTGTCTCTTGAAAGCAAGGAGGGAGGGGGCCACCTTTAACTCCTTAGAAAGGGAGTTCTAGAGGTGGGGGCAGTCATGGAGAAGGCCCTTTCCCTCGTTCTCATCAGCCGTGCTTGGGACGGGGGTGGAACTGAGAGGAGGACCTCCTTTGATGACCGCTGTGTCCAAGTTGGTCTATAGAGGGAGATGTGGATTGTCAAAAAGTCTGGACCTAAGCTGTTCAGGGCTTTAAAGGTAAGAACCATCACTCTGTATTTAGCTCAGAAGCAGACTGGCAGCCAGTGAAGCTGCCACAATGTAGGTAATACTGTCCAATCCAGGGATTTGTGTGGCTACTTCACACACTTTCTTGAGAAACTTTTCTAGCCCTTGTGACTTCACTGTTGGTAACATCCATCCTTACTCCCCATCCAGTTCTGAATCTGAACCTAGACAGACAGACAGACAGACAGATAGACAGATAGACAGAGATTCAGCTATGTATCAATCATCTGGCCAAGGCATGCTGAAATCCCAGAAGGCCAAATAATTGTTGGGCAGTATTTCTAGTTGTTGAGGGCGGAGTTTGACTGTCCATTATAGTTCTTTGACTTTCCAGTGCCTAACAAAAGAAAAACAAGTCAAGGGAGAGCACACAATGAATAGATGTTGTTTTGAAAATCTTTTTATCTGTTTGTTTGTTTTGTTCTGTTAGAAATGTAATACAATGTTCTGGTTGCGGATGACACGATAAATAAATAAATAAAAATCTATGAAGGGGCTGTTGTTGGACTAATTAGAGCAACCCTGTTGGCCAGTTAAAGCAAGAGTGAGATAGCTATGGACCTGGGACCATGAGCATTAGTTTAGATCCCTCCCAGCTCTCCAAGCTGGCCCTTTTTCTGGTAAAAAAAAATGAATTCCTTCTCATGGACATATGCATGAGAAGGCCTTTCTTTACTGTGGTAACATAGAGGGATCCAGCTCCTACCATGGCAATTTTTATTTGACATAGAATGAACACAGATACCATGCACACTTTATCAGAAAGGCTCACAGGTCTCGATCTTCATAAAATGAAACTGTACTCCTGTCACCGGAGCCCCCGGTAGCACAATGGGTTAAACCTTTGTGCCAGCAGATCTGAAGACCGATGGTCAGAGGTTCGAATCGAAGAAGAGTGTGGATGAGCTCCCTCTATCAGCTCTAGCTCCCCATGCGGGGACATGAGAGAAACCTCCCACAAGGATGGAAAAATACTGAAACATCCGGGTGTCCCCTGGGCAACGTCTTTGCAGACGGCAAATTTTCTTACACCAGAAGCAATTTGCAGTTTCTCAAATCACTCCTGTCAAGAAATTGCACCAAATTCTAGGTGCAGTAACTAGGGAACAAACTGTCCCATTGTTGAGGCAAGTCTTGCTGTGGTTCCATACTTGGTCTTGATTTTGAGAGATGTCCAACTTCACACATTAAAGGGGTGGTGGTGCTCTATTCTTGGTGCATTTGTCACAGCACATGAAAAACGTTCCACTGGGAAGAACAAAATCCTCAAATTGTCAATGTCAAGAGTAAGGTCTTACCTGAGGCAGTGGTGTCCTGGGTTGGTCAAATTTAAGGTCCAAGTATTTGGACATTAATATATGGTAAGGATGGTTTCCAGTCGTGTTGTGGCACTCATCAAAAATCATCAGCGTGAATAACGAAAGTGAAGCGAGTGTTCCATCATTAAGAATATTCACAAGAATCTGTGGTGTCATGACAATGATATCATTCCCCTCAACGATCATCTCTACAGGGGAGCTTGCTACTGTATCCCCACATATTCCTGAAACTGTATAGCTGGGAAGGAAAAGAGATACACTGTTCATAACTTTGACACCTCGCTATCAGCACTGAAGTGGTTTAAGAGTGGGAGAGAAATTGAACATTTGGCCAAACTAGTTTAAAGATATGGAAAACGTATACAGTCATCTCGTCACATTTGCACTGTTTACTTTTGCAATTTGATTATCTACTACTTTGATTAAAAATGTTCTCCTTAGGAATCTTTAGGTTCTCCAGTGTGATTCTATTATGGTCAACTTCCTCCAGCAATGCTGTAGGACCCAGAGATTTCTAGAAAACACCTTTACAGAATATCTAGAACAGTGGTTCTCAGCCTTCCTAATGCTGTGACCCCTTAATTCAGTTCCTCATGTTGTGGTGACTCCCAACCATAACATTATTTGTGTTGTTACTTCATGATTGTAATTTTGCTACTGTTATGAAACGTAATGTAAATATCTGATATGCAGGATGTATTTTCATTCACTGGACCAAATTTGGCACAAATACCCCATACGTCCAAATTTGAATACTGGTGGGGTTGGGGGGAGGTTGATTTTGTCATTTGGGAGTTGCAGTTGCTTGGATTTACATTTCACGTACAATCAAAGAGCATTCTGAACTCCACCAACTATAGAAATGAACCAACCTTAGCACACAGAATTCCCATGACCAACAGAAAATACTGGAAGGGTTTGGTGGGCATTGACCTTGAATTTTGGAGTTGTAGTTCACCTACATCCAGAGAGCACTGTGGAATCAAGCAATGATGGATCTGGACCAAACTTGGCATGAATCCACAATATGCCAAAATGTGAACACTAGTGGAGTTTGGGGAAAATACACCTTGACATTTGGGAGTTGTAGTTGTTGGGATTTATAGTTCACCTACAATCAAAGAGCATTCTGAACCTCATCAATGATAGAATTGGGCCAAACTTGCCACACAAAACCCCCATGACTAACAGAAAATACTATGTTTTCTGGTGGTATTTGGCGACGCCTCTGACACCCCCTCACGACCCTCCAAGGGTCCCAACCCCCAGGTTGAGAAACGCTGCTCTAGAACATCCAGTGCGATTCTATGTTCACATTCCAGCAGAAGTTGATTATAGAGTCCTATTGGAAGATCTAAACTTTCTATAAAAGATCTAAACTTTCTATAAAAGTTTCTTTATGTGTTTTTTCATTTTCATGAAGGTTTTATGCCCCTAACTCCAGCAAACATTGAGGGCTGACTGTATGCCTATTTTGGGATTGGATCCACCTTTATAAATTGAATTTCCAAGAAAACAATGACTTTTTATTATGCTGTACTGTTTATAACCTTCATTTCAAAATTATAGTTTAAATGGTGTCATTTTGTGTGTTGTGTGATGATGTTTTAATCTCATCTTCAGTATTTATACGTGATTCTATGGCATTTCCCCATATTTTGTATGCCACGGTGAGTGGAAGTCTGGGGGAAAAGTGAAATGCAAATGAAGTGGTGAATGGGCAGAATTGAAGGACCATTTTCATTCACAAGTAAAATGAGAAACTGGTCTTCTGAACAATTATTTACACACGTTAAAACTGGTGTTCCAAAGAAGTGTTTGGTTATATATGAAAAACTAACACACCAGTTTTGATCGAATTATTTAGGCATTCAGGTAAGAGAGGGCAATCCACAAAATGGAGAGAAATAAGTTAAAGAAAACGTAGCTGGCTCTACTACAAAATCCATTTTATAACACTGGGCAAAGATGTGCAGAGGGTGTGAAATGCTGTAACATAAAATTGCTAGAGTTAGAACTCCCCAAGAACAGAATGACCTTTGTTTTTCCACAGAGAAAACAATTAGTGTTGTGGAAGCATTGGGGAATCACAGCTCACATAAATGGTCAGGGCAGTGGTAGTCTTGGGTCACAGCTTCCTTGTGACTATAGAAAGGGTGGGTAGGTGAAGTCTACTACAACTTCCATCATCTTTCACAATTGGCTGTGCCAACCAGAGCAGATGGGAGATGCAGTCTGGGCTGCACCTGCTATACAGTGTCTGTCTACAGGAAATCCTAAAAAGGATGCTCTCACTCTTAATGAAATTCAAGGAGCACTTCAAGGACTAGACAGAGAGATGTAAAACCCACCTGCTTCTTTTGAAATACTCCTGGAAGACTTTCTTCTGCTGTTCATACACTGGGACCTTAGTAGCAAGGAAGACTACTTTCCCTTTCATTCCAGGGGGCCTATTCTGGAGGTGATGATCACATATCATCACCGACACAAAGGTTTTTCCAGATCCTGTGAAGATGGATACCAAAAAGGGGGAGTTGACTAGATATATTTCTAAAGTGTACTTTTCGACAAAGATAAGATATGGTTTTACAAATCCCTGATTTTTCCAAACTCTTACTAATAGAGGGCATTGCTTAACAAAGGGACAACACATGCATGAGTAGGAGAGGAAAAAATCAGATATCAAATCTACAAAAAAAAAAGCAATTCAGGCTTCCCCAAAAAGTCTTTATACAACTTTAGAACCGAATCTCTCCCATTTATACACACACACACACACACACACACACACACACACACACACATAGAAAGAGGGAGAGGGAGGGAGGGAGATGTGATACATCTAATTTTAAAGCCTTCTATGTCAATTGAGAAGCAAGATGAACTTACCAGTTGGGGCACAAATAATGGTGTGTTTGCCATTAAGAGCAGGCTGGGCAAGTTCCTTCTGATAATTTCTTGCCTCTTTTGGAACATAAATAGATTCTTGGTGTGTTTCTAGAAATACACACAAATAAATTGCATTTGAGGAGCTAATTGCCTAAATGTTGTCATTTAGCACAGCTGGTAAATCAACAATAATAAGATCTACCAAACAAAAGGTTGCCAGTGAGCTCCTGACTGTCAGCCCACTTTATGGATGACCTAAGCAGTTTGAAAACAGCTTGAGCTGTAAGTACAGAAAAATAAGATACTGCTAAAAAAAAAAAAGCCAGAGGGTATTTTACGTCACCATAAAGAAAAAGATCAGAAATGCCCAGTGACCAAAAGGAAGGAGGAAGTCCTGATGACTCTTTATCATAGAGGATGGAGCAACAGCACCCCTTGTGGCTGGATTCGAGCACAACCTCCATGGTGCCATAAATATAGACTTCGACACAACATAACTCCTTTCTGTTCTGTTGTTTCTGTCTGTCTCTGTCCTGTCTATTCAAATTGGCATTGAATGTTTGCCATGTATGTGTACTGTGATCTGCTCTGAGTCCCCTTGCGGTGATAGGGCGGAATATAAATAAAGTGTTATTATAAATAAAGGGTTCTTGCTTTTAAACAGATAGCCAAATTCCTCCTGTATATGCTACAAAAACTTTCATGGGATGCTCCAAAATGAAAAAAGATGACACTCCCAGATTGGAAAGAACTCAGCATTTTACTGGGTGGAGCAGAGGACAACTATAAACAGCACAAAGATGATACATCTGGATTCAAGCTAAAGGGTATTCAGCTGTTGGGGAAAAGAAAGTCCAAAGCAGCATAACATGCATTATAGCAGTGGTTCTTAGCCTGGGGTCCCCAGATGTTTTTGGCCTACAACTCCCAGAAATCCCAGCCAGCTTACCAGCTGTTAGGATTTCTGTGCGTTGAAGACCCTAAACATCTGGGAACCCCAGGTTGAGAACCACTGCATTATAGGAACCTGAAATATGGGAATTGTGTATCACGGTAAGCTAGATATGGTAAATCAAGAAATATAACACATAAATATTGCAATACACTCCGTTAGCAAGCTGGACATGAACAGAACAATTTTAGACAGATAATTAAACAGTTTCTTTCACAAGAAATGAAAATCTAAGAAGAAATGGGGTTGCATGTGTAATGAGATGTAGCAAAAGCGGTCAAGGGATGAAATGCAAAAAGCTAAATAAAAAAAAAAACACTGACTTTATAATTGTGCCAAAATATAACCTAAACACAAAACTCTTTCTTCAAGAAGTTAAGTACATATGAGAAGCAAACATAAAGGAGAAGGAAATAGGGTCCGAACCCTGAATGCAACAGTTTAGCGACTTGTGCACAGGGACAAAGAAATCTACTATAATAATCAATGCACAGAAACAGAAGACTGATTTTAAAAAAATCTCTCCCACAAGATCAGAGAATTCAAAAGAGAAATTTAAATCAAGAGTGGAGATGCTCTACAACAGGCGGGGGATCCAGAATTTTAGAACATGGCGTGAAAGCTGCACTCGGAGTATCTGGGAGAAATCACCAGGAACAAACGACATGCTAATGGACCTGCTTCAGCTCACAGAGACAGGGTCCACTCAAATTACACATGATATCTCCAACTCTTAAGTTCAGACAGATACAACACAAAAAAACAAATACAACAAGTCCATTAATCCATCCCTTATCTGAAACCTCCCTGTGGCTCTAGAAATAAAGTTCTCAAAGCATTATGTGTACATTACTCTTTGTCCATAGTTCTATTTGAAGAGTTTAAAAAAAGAAAGAATTACAACGCCAGTAGCAGTTTTCACATGGTCTTACTTGAAGGTGAACATGGGCTTGCACTAAGATTGTCAGATTCCGGCTCTTCAGAATATTGTACATTTATATCAATGACACGGCTGTTCTCATCTTCATCCATCATTTCAACATCTCGGCCATTATCATTATCTGCACACAATATAAATAAGGTTATTTCATAATTGTTGGTATGATGGAGCAAAAACATTTGTTTCATTTAGTAAGTTGTGAGGCACTCTAACTTGTTGCGTGGCGGAAGGGACCTCTTATTTGTTCATCTAACCAGAAATGCAAAACGATCAGGAAGGGGGCAGGCTGCCAGCCTGAGCAAATATGACATAAAAGATTGTTTAATTCTTCTCCCTCCTTTTATGACTTCTCAAGTTGGGAGGTGATATGCGGAGAGAGAGGCTTTGAAATGAAACAGTAACTCAGTTTATTTGTAGCATTCTTGTGGCAAAAGCATAATGGTTACAGAGGTTCAAATGCTTGCTGATTACAAAATAACGTTTCAGTATGAATTTCAATCTTTTCTTTCTTCCCAAAAGGACGGTTATACTAATACATAAAAACAGGTTTCAAACTATCTTTAACTTCTTCCTCTATCTAATTTTCCAGCTGCTTCTCAGCTAGCGTCCTCCCTCACTCTCTCTCACTGACCAACCCCACCAGAAAGTTCAGTTAGGCTTTTCCAACTGTTAACTTGACTTTCCCATCCTTGGCACCCGCTTATTTGCATCAGGTCGCTCCTATGCAAATGACCTCTACACCAGTGCTATGGCTCCCTGAGTACCACAATGCATGTGGTGGACTGTTGTTAGTAGAGCCCCTGAAAGGACCTAAGTACCATTTGGTTAGTGCTTTCCTACTTCAAAAAGTTTCAGACTTATTGTGACAACTCTTGTCCTTTTCCCAAATGATTGCAATTCTACATGGCTTCTCTAAACAGCTAAGGAACTGGTGTAAACAAAGGCACAAACCACGTGACCATACCTTGATTCAAATTGAGCAATTTACTTTCATTGACATAGTCTGCTTCATCCAATGCCAGCTGGAAGGTTTTAGGCCAATTCACTTTATCGGACCTTCGCAAGCATTCTAGGAGCTTCATCATACTTGCTCCTTTACCACTGGTCACTTTAGTCTGCAAGGCAAACCACAAGTCAAATGTATGCGAGGGAGGGACGGTGGTGGGGGGGAGAACTGAAACATTTTTTTAGCAAATCAGGAAGAATAGTTCCATAATACAAAATTATTTAAATTGTATGATTCATTTTATATTTTATATAGAATCAAATTTCTATTTTAGTTACAAAGTTTCAAGTCTAAAAAAACCTTGAGAATGACTCTTAATTGGTAATTTAGTGTTAGTTAGTTTAGTGCAGACAGCCATCGGATATTTCTGCAGTATAATTGCCTGTGCTTCACTAATGTGACTCCTCATACTAGCAGCTCCATCATGACCCTGTCCACACAAGTATTGAAGGTTTAGCCCAATTTTTCCACTGTCTTTTTGGACCTCTGAAAGACAACCTACACGGTTTCAGATTCAATGACTTGAATGGTGTTAAAATAGCTTTAAAATCATGGATCAAAAAGCAAAAACCTGAATTTTTCAAAAATGGTTTAGGTATTTTATTTGTCGTGTCAGATCAACCAGTCCATTATATATTACATTTCTAACAGAACAAAGCAAACAGACAGAAAAATACACATTTTGTGAGTTTGGTAGTTGGTTAAATGTCCTTTGACCAGTATCTGGCCACTTGGAGTGCTTCCGGTGTTGCTGCAAGAAGGTCCTCCATTGTGCATGTGGCAGGGCTCAGGTTGCATTGCAGCAGGTGGTCAGTGGTTTGCTCCTCTCCACACTCGCATGTCGAGGATTCCACCATTTCTGAAGGTTGGCTCTGCATCTCGTGGTGCCAGAGCGCAGTCTGTTCAGTCGCCCAGTCTTCTGTGTGCCCAGGGGGGAGTCTCTCATTTGTTATCAGCCATTGGTTGAGGTTCTGGGTTTGAGCCTGCCACTTTTGGACTCTCGCTTGCTGAGGTGTTCCAGCGAGTGTCTCTGTAGATCTTAGAAAACTATTTCTTGATTTAAGTCGTTGACGTGCTGGCTGATACCCAAACAGGGGATGAGCTGGAGATGTCTCTGCCTTGGTCCTTTCACTATTGGCTGCTACTTCCCGGCGGATGTCAGGTGGTGCAATACCGGCTAAGCAGTGTAATTTCTCCAGTGGTGTAGGGCGCAGACACCCTGTGATAATGCGGCATGTCTCATTAAGAGCCACATCCACTGTTTTAGTGTGGTGAGATGTGTTCCACACTGGGCATGTGTACTCAGCAGCAGAGTAGCACAGCGCAAGGGCAGATGTCTTCACTGTATCTGGTTGTGATCCCCAGGTTGTGCCAGTCAGCTTTCGTATGATATTGTTTCTAGCACCCACTTTTTGCTTGATGTTCAGGCAGTGCTTCTTGTAGGTAAGAGCACGGTCCAGAGTGACTCCCAGGTATTTGGGTGCGCTGCAATGCTCCAGTGGGGTTCCTTCCCAGGTGATCTTCAGAGCTCGGGATGCTTCTCTGTTCTTGAGATGAAAGGCACATGTCTGTGTTTTAGATGGGTTGGGGATCAGCTGGTTTTCCCTGTAATAGGCAGTAAGAGCACCTAGAGCTTTGGAAAGCTTCTGTTCTACCATCTCAAAGCTCCCTACTTGAGCGGTAATGGCACGATCATCAGCATAGATGAAACTGAGAGTTTCATCAGATGCCTGGGTTAAACAATAGTACAAATATGTACAAATTGATGGTGACTATGTTGAATGGTAGTTTTGAGTAGAAGATAGTTCATGCTATGATCTATAGCAACTTCTGCTGTTATATGTTCATTCATAATGTTTGTATGACACAGGAGGTAAAACATTTTGACCCACTCTCTCATATATATATATATATATATATATATATATATATATATATATACACACATRCACACACACACACAYACACACTTTGTAATGTAATGTTTGTTTTACTATCTGTACCTCTGTTCAGAAGATTTCATCTCACTTTCTGTCTCTGGGATAACTGAATTTTGAATTGTTGTGGAAACATGGATTGGTGATGCAGTTTAAGTGGAAACATCTTTTCCTCAATTATAACTCTTTCAAAAGTGAATTCCCTTCCTAGGGGTAGATTTCTCTCACTTCCTGCTGTCTCACTCCCATTCTGAGTCATTTGTCCATTAGAAGTGTGTAACGCAGAAACTACCCACAACGTGAATCAATTCGGTTAAACTGCATTATACAAGTCTATACTGAGCACATAATGCAGTTTCAGACTGTATTGTATGGACAGTATAGACAGGACCTCAGAAAAGAATGGTTCCTTCTTTGATAAGAGTTAAGGTACAGTACCCACAATGATCCATGGTTTGGGGGGTTGATATTTTTGACTAAAACTTCTAGACTTATGCATGAGTCTTACTTTGTTCACTAGGGTTTAATCCTATGAAAATAAGCAGAGAACATGATATCCAGGCAAGGAAAGCAGGAGCTTCTAAAGCTCAAAGCCACACTCACTAACCAAAAATCTTGATCCCTAATAAGCATATAGTGACATCCAAAACTAAAGTAGTACGAGTGGAGATATTCATATACTTGCCGCCTTGAGTTCCCACAGAGGGAGAAGTGGGGTATAAATAAAGACCATCATCATCATCATCATCATCATTGCTTGAGACATCCATCAGTATACCAAACCAAGTGATGTGAATTCTAAAGTAATACCTGTCGAATTTCTTCCCACTCTTGATCTCTGAGGCAGTCGGTCATGTGAGGAAATACTTGTTCAGGATCAACAACTCGCAGAGAGGGCTCAATTACATTCAGCAATGCTCGGTGAGGCGCCAAATTTTCAATCATTTCAAAATTCCAATTTTCAATGGCATGATGAAGACCAGTGTAACCTTTAGAAACAAAATGGCAGAAGCATAGATCATTGATAAAACTTTAATTAAAATATATGCATTGATAAATCAAGCTAGGGTTTTTCCTACTACTCAGCAACAATGTAAAATAGGCACTTGCTTACTGGCTGGATTTTGAAGAAACAGAAATTTTATTGAAAAAAGAATGCGGTAAAAAATTGGCCTTACAACATTCCCACAAATTCTGGAAGGGGCATTCAGTAACAGCAGCTTCACTCTGATTTTGAAGGAGACATGAATCTACGGTGGTTCATGCACTGGTTATATCTCGTATAGACTACTGCAATGCACTCTACGTGGGTTTGCCTTTGAAGACTGTTCAGAAGCTTCAACTTGTCAAGTGGTTCTCAACCTGTGGGTCCCCAGGTGTTTTGGCCTACAACTCCCTGAAATCCCAGTCAGTTTACTAGCTGTTAGGATTTCTGGGAGTTGAAGGCTAAAACATCTGGGGACCCAGAGAGTGAGAACCATTTAACTAGTCCAACATGCGGCAGCCAGATTTCTAACAGGAGCAGCATACAGGGAGCACACAACCCCCATTTCACTAGCTCCACTGGCTGCCGGTTTGCTACCAAGCACAATTCAAAGGGCTCGCTTTGGCCTATAAAGCTCTGAACAGCCCTGGCCCAACTTACCTGTTCAAATGCATCTTCCTCTATGAACCATCAAGGAAGTTAAGATCATCTGGGGAGGCCCTGCTCTCAGTTCCACCACCTTTGCAGGTGCGACTGGTGGGGATGAGAGACATGGCTTTCTCAGTGGTGGCCCCTTGGCTGTAGAACTCCCTCCCTAGTGGGATTCGATTAGCCTCTTCCCTCCTGTCATTTCGCAAACAAGTGAAAACTTGGCTTTGGAAGCAAGCATTTAGTCCAGCATAATTATCTGTTCAATACAGTTGGAACTGGCTTTAGATTGATGAATATGATTATCTGATTATCTGGCTCTGGATATATGCACAATAGTCTAATACGAGGGGTATTTTTAAAGTAAGGTCCGTTTTGTTGTAGACACTAGTAGTTCGCGCGCATACCACAACGAGCACATGCGTCATGTACCGGCATGCCTCGGGAACAACTGTGCTCAGTTTCTGCTCTGTAGCTAACCTGTACAGTTCTGTTCTGTGCTTTAAAAATGTTTAAGACTATCAACTAACCCTCCGCATGTGAAGTTCGCTCAGTGATACGGTTTTTGTCAGCAAGAAACCTGCCTGCTGCAGAAATTCATTGACAGATTTGTGAAGTGTACGGTGATACTGTTATGAGTGAAAGCAAAGTGCGTAAGTGGATACAACAATTCAAAGATGGCCGTGACAACGTCCATGATGAGGACCGCTCCGGTCGCCCTTCTTTGATTACATGAACTCTTGGTTATCGGAGCAGGCGGAAAGTTTTTATGAAGAGGGTATTTTAAAATTGGTTCAGAGGTATGATAAGTGTTTGAACAAACTTGACAACTATGTCGAAAAATAGAGTGAAGTATGTACTTTCTGAAAAAAAATTTACTTTTTTGAAAAAACATTTCGTTGTGTACTTATGTTCCAACGGACCTTACTTTAAAAATACACCTCGTAGTTCTGATCTGCTTATGGTGTAATTCTATAATATGAGAGATGGAAATTTTAGTGCATAGCTCTATGTTTGAAGGGGGCAGAGAGGGAAGAATAGAGACAGAGAGGATAGCAACAAAATGACAGTTGGGAGACAAAATGACAGTTGGGGGGAAGAGATCTGAACATTCTAAAGGGGCGGAGTTAAGTTTAAAAAGAGGCAGTTAGAGTTGAAGAGAAAGGAGAGCAGTTAGTGTGGAGAGTTTAAGAAAGGACAGTTAGTTAAGAATGGCTGCTTGTGAAGTTAGTTAGGAAGTACTGTTTGTGAAGAGAGTTAGGAATCTGTGTGTGAAGAGAAGAAGTTAAGAATCACTGTCTGAGAGAGAGACAGTGAGGAAACTCTGTTTTAAAGGAAAATAGAGAAGGCCAGAGTTGCCTAAGTCAGAAAAGAGGACAGTTAGGAGTGTATAAAGAAAAGTAACATATTTGTTGGTGTGAAAGATTGAAAGTTTAAAAGGAAAAGTAACCAAATGAATTATATTGAATGCAAGACTTCAAGGCTGTGACAAGACACAAATGTACCCCAAGTGTTGGAACTTAAAGTTATAAATAAACATTGTTAAATTTTTACAAATGAGAGCCTCAAGCCTGTGATTCAAAGCCAAGAGGCTTTTGTTTTACAACACACAGAGTGTCTCAGGTATTAAAGTGTTGGCAGAGGACCGCACATATGTACATGCTTCTTTACAAACTGGTGGCTTCCCTGCTTTGTTACAATATTTACATATGTTGTCGGCAAATTGCTTTTAATTGTTGTTGTTCAGGCATGGAATAATGCCACTATGTAAGTCGCCCTGAGTCCCCTTCGGGGTGAAAAGGGCTGGATATAAATGTCGTAAATAAATAAATAATACTGGAAATATACAAGATTCGCTTCCTCCAAAGTACTCCATAAACACTTTTAAAAATTCATAACATCCTCATATCAAGTCATCCAATATCAGTAACTCTTATAAATACAATTTCCTAAGCCTAAATATCCTGAACACGCCATATTCCACTGGGTCTTGGAAGTTAAGCAGGGTCAGCCCTGGATAGCATTTGGATGGGAACCATCAAGGAATACCAAGTGTTGGCTGTATATCCAGTGTTCCTTGCCTCAGAAAACCCTGTGTAAATATGGTGATCTGAAGCTGCACATGCACTTAAACCTGTCAAAAATACCTTATTTTGATTTTATTAAATAACTTCACCAGTTGTTAGTTTGTCTTCAGCAAAATTTACTAGACACTAGTCACATTCTTTCCACAACACTGTTTTAGAAAATGGTGTCTAATGGATCTTTGCCTTTCTAACATGGAGAAAGCTTTAATATTTTGAAAAGTACACCACCATGCATGATAAAGTAATGAAAGTTTACAGCACACTCAAACCTGCTGCGTTCAACGCATTCAAAAATCCACGAAACCATCCGTCCGATGTGAGTTTTACAATGGACTGAAGAAATATCTCTGCAGCCAATGTTGGGTTGTCCTTCAGCCCTTGAATCTTCTCCACCATGTCTAGAGAGAGAAAAAACAGAAAAGGTTTGCCATCACCGAAGTGAATTTCTCACCTCAAAGATATCAGTATCGTGGAGATAAGGCCTGACCTACAATTGTTAATCCTCAGAATAGAGTCACTGAATCAACTGCACTTCCATGAGTCACGATTTACCAGATTCCAACTGATATAATGGATTATTCTACTTAGGACTAACCATTGAATTCAAGTGTTTACTTAGTTCAGAAATCATTACATTGTGTGGCCCACAGTCATACAATGTCAGAAAGGAAATAGCAAGAATGAGAAGAAAACCATGGCCCCTTCTACACTGCCATACAAAATCAAGATCATCTGCTTTGAATTGGATTATATGGCAGTGTAGAAGGGGCCCATACAATCCAGTTCAAAGCAGATAATGTGGATTATTTGCTTTGATAATCTGAATTATATGGCAGTGTAGACAGAGCCCGTGTCAGGTTCTTCAAGATGAAACTCCAGTTGAATAGGAATTCACAATCAACGCTGTATACCCACAAGAGTTGGGTTTTGTTGCTCCAGAAAGAGTGCTTTTCATTTTGAATGGAACCCTGTTTTGTTTTATTTTCAAGGAGGGTTTTCTGCAAACTTTTCAAACAAGTGTTTATCCTGCAGTGACTCAGAGTGAATATGTTATTAGAAAAAAATATCAACAATCGATATCTAAAATATTTTAAAATGTTGATCCAAACATTTTTGAAAAAGAGGTCAACCACAACATAAAACTATCTAAGAAAATCCAACAAATGCTACGTTTAGTAACGGACAAGAGGGATCCTCTCAACTCTGCAGGAGTCTCCCGTATACCATGCAATTACAGACAAGTCTACATCAAGACCACCAAATGCAGCAATGCCCAAACACGGATCAAGGAACATGAAAGGCATTACAGACTAACCCTCCATCCCATCTTCAGGTCACTTCTGATGAGGTGAAAATATCTCCTGACATGAAATAATCAGGGCCAACTAACACCTTCCAACAAAGGATTTTCCCAGGCAAGAAGCAGCCATTCAACACTAATCAAGGTGGCCCATTGCAACATTCACACTTGCCTCAAGCAGACAAGAGTTCTTTCTCCCACCCTGGACATGCCACAGATATATAAACCTTAGTTGCCTGGTTTCCAACAGACCTCCCAACCTCTGAGAATGCCTGCCATAGATGTGGGCAAAATGTCAGGAGAGATTTCTTCTGAAACAAGGCCATGCAGCCTGGAAAACTCACAGAAACCCAGTTCTATTCCCAGTTTTTGACAAATGGTGTTAGCATTTTGCAGAAGTTACAATCTGCTGGCTGCATGTGGGGTGGAGGAGGGATGATAATTCAGTCACAGCATATTCAATGGCACTTACATCCAAGTAAGTATCACACTTGCTCCCCCTAAATATACACAAATTGATTTACTTTTTGAACCTAGAGATTCCTAGAGAGAACAATTTCAATGAAATCTGTGAATAATCATCAAATTCACAGATATGAAACCCACAAATGTGAAGAGACAACTATAACACTATGTAACAAAATTTGGAAAAACATCTGTTCCTGGTTTGAAAGTGCCACACATGTATGCACATACATCCACATATATACACATACATAAACATATACATACATATGTACCCAGGCATGTAGCCGGGGGGGGGGGCTTGAGGGGCTTCATCCCCCCCCCCCAAAAAATTCTCATGGTGGTTCACGAAAAGGCCTTACTGGTGCATTATTTAAACTGTTATGTTTATTCATATCATGATCTGATCACAATGCTCAATATATCCCATATGCATGGGGGTATTGGGGTAATAATACAAAAGGTTTGATAGGCTAGACCCTCTTTCACTCAGACTCAGCCCCCCCCCGAAACTCAGCCCCCCCCGAACCCCCCCCTGAAAAAAATTCAGCCCCCCCCCCCAAAACGAAATTCTGGCTATGGGCCTGTATGTACCCATACATATATATACACATATATGCAAAAATGTATACACAACATGATCACATGGTCTTCAGTTCCTCCCACAACCACAATCAACATAGTTAAACAGCACACATGTACATACATATAGGGCACACATATACACAAAAACATGCACATACATACATACATAAATATACATACATATATGCCCATACATATATACACTTATATGAAAAACGTATACACAGCATGATCACATGGTCTTCAGTCCCTACCACAACTTCAATCAACATACACGTATACAGATGAACACATGGACACACACATGTACATACATAGAGGGCGCATGTAGGTACAAACATATACACATACATTCACACATATACATACATATATACCCATACATAGGTAAAAGGTAAAGGCTGTCTCCTGACATTAAGTCCATCAGATTTGTATATAGCTTTGGGCAGGCCTGTAGCGAGGGGGTGGTTTTAGGGGTTCAAACCCTCCCCGAAATGTTTCAGATTTTTTAAAAAACTGGTTTACTCATGAATTTTAACTGGTTAACCAAATCCCCATGCTAAGTCTATGAGACGCAAAAAATTAAGAGTCCCTCCAGAACTGCAAGCACTATCTCAGGCAAATATTGACAATTTATTCACACTGTCATTACTTGCAGCAATAGCCGATGTAGCGAAGCAACCAAGTTGGGGGGGGGGGGTGTTGAATGCTCTCATTAAGGAGGCCAGACTTGGTGAAGGTGGTTGACAGGGGCGGAGCTGCAGGCTATTGAAGGCTGCTCTGCCCCCTGCTGTGCTCTTTGCTTCAGCGTGAGCTAGGAGGCAGGTTTCAACCCCCCCCCCCCCAAAAAAATTTCAACCCCTCCTAAAAAAAATTCTGGCTACCGCCCTGCTCATCTCCATTTCTAAGCTGAAGAGCCGGTGTTGTCCATAGACACCTCCAAGGTCATGTGGCTAGCATGACTGCATGGAGCACCATTACATACCCATACATATATACACATATATGCAAAAATGTATACACAACATGATGACATGGTCTTCAGTCCCTGGGCAGAGTTGCATACTTACACACATCTGTGGACACTTATGTGCACATATATTGATACACATATACATGCATATACATAGAAACATGCAAACATACTCACAAATACATACACATCCTTCTATATCGATATACCCAGCGATGTGTGTATGTGTGGGCGCGCCTATATACCCTCCCTTGTGCACACCCATAATAATAAGCAAGTCCAGGCACACACTGGCAGCAGAAGGGAGAGAGGGAGAGGGAGATGCTGACCATCGGAGAGCCAGTCCTTCATGTAGCTGAGGATGTAGACGGGGTTGAGGGTCTTCTGGATGTAATGCCCGAAGCGGAGCAAGTTCTCCTTCTCCTCGGCACTCATGGCGAAGGCGAGGCTCTCTTCCCTGCCTCCCAGGCACTCTTATAGAGCCGCCCCAAGGAAGGAAGCAAGGCAGGGGGCTCCCAGGCTGGGGGCAAGGGTCCCGGGGCGCAGCCTCCTCCTCCTCCTCCTCCTCCGCCGGCTTCCCTTTCCCTCTCCAGAAGCCGACCGGCTGGGAAGAGAGGCGGAGCCCGGGCTGGAAACGAAACCCAAGGCACAGAAACCGAAAGCAGGCGGAGAGTCGAGGAGGAAAAGGTTTGGCAGCACTTCAACTGCTAGATCTATCTCCAGGCCGGGGAATCCCGGGAGTTGCACTTTGGGGAGCCCTCTGGACAAAGCGAAAGCCTGTGCAAAACTTGGGTGCCCACGGTGCCAGCTATGCAATTCAAGCAGAATCAAGTTGCATTCATTCTACAGCAGCGTTTCTCAACCTAAGGGTCGCAAGGAGGGTGTCAGGGGGGTCGCCAAAGAGCATCAGAAAAAAACGTTTTTTCTGTTGGTTATAGGGGTTCGGTGTGGGAAATTTGGCCCAATTCGATCGTAGGTGGAGTTCAGAATACTCTTTGTCGGTAGGTGAACCAGAGATCCCAGCAACTACAACTCCCAAATATCAAGGTCTATTTTCCCCAAACTCCATCTGTGTTCACATTTGCATATGGCGTATTCATGCCAAGCTTGGTCCAGATCCACCATTGTTTGAGTCCACAGTGCTCTCTGGATATAGGTGAGGGGGGGGGGGGCTCGGGGGGCTTCAGCCCCCCCCCCGAAATTCTCATGGTGGTTCGCGAAAAGGCCTTACTGGTGCATTATTTAAACTGTTATGTTTATTCATATCATGTTCTGATCACCATACTCAATATATCCCATATGCATGGGGGTATTGGGGTAATGATACAAAAGATTTGCTAGGCTAGACCCTCTTTCACTCAGACTCAGCCCCCCCCCCCGAAACTCAGCCCCCCCGAACCCCCCCTGAAAAAAATTCAGCCCCCCCCCCCCGAAACGAAATCCATGCCAAGTTTGGTCCAGATCTATGATTTCTTGAGTCCACAGTGCTCTCTGGATGTAGGTGAACTACAACTCCAAAACTCAAGGTCAATGCCCACCAAATCCTTCCAGTATTTTCTGTTGGTCATGGGAGTTCTGTGTGCCAAGTTTGGTTCAATTCCATCGTTGGTGGAGTTCAGAATGCTTTTGATTGTAGGTGAACTATAAATCCCAGCAACTACAACTCCCAAATGTGACAAGGTCTATTTTCCCCAAACTCCACCAGTGTTCACATTTGGGCATATTAAGTATCCAAGTTTGGTCCAGATCTATCATTGTTTGAGTACTTTCTGGATGTAAGTGAACTACAATATATATATATGTAGACTACGGGCCAACTTCGCTCCTCCATTTTTGGTCAACACATTCCCGTTTCTCTCTCTCTCTCTCATATCTATATATATATATATATATATATATATATATATATATTATATATATAAAATCAGTGTTTGGTTTGTGCTTATCATTGAAAATTACCTAGGGCCGCCTCTGTATCCCTGCCAAGTTTGGTCCAGATCCATCATTGTTTGTGTCTACAGTGCTCTCTGGATGTAGCTGAACTACAACTCCCAAACTCAAGGTCAATACCCACTAGGCCCTTCCAGTATTTTCTGTTGGTCATGGGAGTTCTCTGTGGGAAGTTTGGCCCAATTCTATCATTGGTAGGGTTCAGAATGCTCTTGGACGGTAGGTGAACCATAAATCCCAGCAACTACAACTCCCAAATGTCAGGGGGCCTCATCACACTAGAGTATAAATCCACCTTAAATCTGGTTGTTGCCTTCTGCAGAATTCTGGGGTTTGTAGTTTAGGGAGGAGCCTTTGACAGCCTCACTAAACTACAAACCCCAGAATTCTGCAGGAGGCAGAAGCCGGATTTAATGTGGATTCATTCTCTAGTGTGATGAAGTGGTAGGTCTGTTTTTCCCCAAACCTCCACCAGTGTTCACTTTTTTGGCATATTAAGTATTTGTGCCAAGTTGGTCCAGATCCATCATTGTGTGAGTCCACAGTGCTCTCTGGATGTAGGTGAACTACAACTCCCAAACTCAAGGTCAATACCCACCAAACCCTTCCAGTATTTTCTCTTAGTCATGGGAGTTCTGTGTGCCAAGTTTGGTTCAATTCCATTGTTGGTGGAGTTCAGAATGCTCTTTGATTGTAGGTGAACTCTAAATTCCAGTAACTCCAACTCCCAAATGACAAATCAGTTCCTCCCCCCAACTCCACCAGTATTCAAATTTGGACATATTGGGTATTTGGGCCAAATTTGGTCCAGTGAATGAAAATGCATCTGGCATGTCAGTTCCTGAGATATAGGGCCTGTTTGGAAGGGCTCTCAGGCACCTTCCACACAGCTGTATAAAATCCACATTGAACTGAATTATATGGCAGTGAGGACACCTTCTACACTGCCTCTGGCCCCTTCTACCCTGCCATATAATCCAGATCATCAAAGCATATAATCCACATTATCTGCTTTAAACTGGATTATATGGGGCCTCTTCTACACTACCAGATAAAATCCGGATTATCTGCTATGAACTGGATTATATGGCAGTATTCCAACAATGGTTAAAACATATTTAGAACTAAAAACCACAGCGCCCCCTGTGAATAGGACACAGCGTACTCACTCCCAAGGATATGTGTCCAATGTTACAGCCATGTTAAAGTTAATGATCGAGTTGTGTTTGCACACATAGTGCAGAAGGGTGTTTTCTTTCCTTCTGGATTATTGACTGGAGATGCAAGGAGTTTCGTTCTCCTTTTACTGTGCTTGGGCTTGAAGAAATAGAAACTAAGGACACTTTCATTTATCCAAGAGGAAAGTAATTACATAACATTCTCTGGATGCTTGCCACACATATAAATAGATCAGGATTGTAATTCAAACCAGAACTAAGGGGGGAAATCACTTTTAGGAGGATTGGGTACACTAAGCAGGGATTTTAAACGGAGGGCCCTTCCACACAGCCATATAACCCAGAATATCAAGGCAGAAAATCCCACCATATCTGCTTTGAACTGGGTTATCTGAGTCACCACTGCCATATATCCCAGTTCAAAGCAGATAATGTAGGATCTTATAGAGTGGATTGGAAAGGACCTCAAACTGGATTAAATTAGGGCACGCCTTCCATACTCTCCCTTTCTAAACTGGGTGGGTGCATGTAGTAGTTTATTTCCCCACTATTGAGTCGTTACCTTGTTTTTTCCTTCAGTTTATGGCAGCACTATGACTATGAGTGTGTCTACACTGTAGAATGAACACCACTTTATCTGCCATGGCTCAATGCTATGGAATCCTAGGAGTTGTAATTTGGTCAAGCACCAACACTCTTTGACAGAAGAGGCTGAAGACCTTATAAAACGATAACTTCTCTTATTCCACAGCATTGAGACATGGCTGTTAAAGTGGTGTTGATGTGCATTCGTTCTACAGTGTAGTCATAGGGCCACCATAAGCAGACTTCATTCACCATCTTTTGTAATGGTGTAATGGCCATGAGACACTCGCAGAAGTCACATGGAATCATGTTGGGAAAGTAGGGACTCAGACGAAGCACAGGTGTGCTGTGTTTGCCCAGGAAACTCTATATCAAATTTGAAGAATGAGAAGGTGCATTTTTATGATGGAGCTGCCAATTGCCCGCTGCCTACAGGTCCTGTCGTTTGCGTCTCACAGGTTTACAAAGCCAACATAGAACCACTTGGTAGTACTCCTTGTTGATGGTAGTACCATGTGTTACATACTTGTGATGAACCACAACACTGGAGTCAAAGTAGATGGTCAGCATGACTTTTTTTGGACTTGCCTTTTTCTTTTTGGCTTTGAGGATGTTGGATGCATCCATTGTGATGACTGCAATTTGGTTTCTGGCTCATACCCCTAAACCCAGGACTCATCGCCAGTGATCACTGTTTATTTTTATTTTATTTTAATTTATGGTTTTTATATTCCGCCCTTCTCACCCCAAAGGGGACTCAGAGTGGTTCACAGAACACATATACAGCAAATATTCAGTGCCGATTATACAATGACAAAACGGACAATAGATAGAGGAGTGTGTGTATATATATACGCACATGCTTTCCCATCTTTTGGAATCTTTGGAGGCTGTGCTCATTTCCGGCCACAAGGGAGTGCTGTCGCTCCATCTCCTTGTTGAAGAGCGTTTCTTTGTTTATAAACTTCCTCTTTTTTCTGATCGAAACACCATGCCTATTGTGACTGAGCTGGAACCACAGAGTGCCTCTGATGGTCAGCTGGAATCACAGAGTATCTCTGATGAGGATGATGGGATTCAAGTTCACAATCTGGTCCAAAATGCCCCTGTTATAGACAATGAGGAACAGGGGATGCAAGTTCAGTTTCCCACAGCAAGAAATGAGATTGTTGATACCGAAACTAGCCAGGTGCAGGTGCAAATTGATTCAGAAAAGGAGGACATTTCTCAGCCTGATAATAAGCAGGAAGGCAAACAGGATAACACTAACGAACAGACTGACCTTGACGAAATGGGAACCTTAGATCATGCTGACCGTTTGGAATTCAGAGTTCGAAGGAGTGTGAGAATAGCTAACAAGAAGGAGGTCAGAGGCCAAAGAAACACCTTTATGTTTTGCAAAGGGTGTTAAGCAGTGTGTTTGGGACCAAGCCTTTGTCAGGGCAACTTTTCATTTAACCAAGGAGCTTGTATTTGCTTGTCTAGATTATCTTGCAGTTCTTGTGTTCATGGTCTCAGGATTTAGTCATGTTCTCATGGGATTTTGCTTTGCTGGTGCCTTTTTAAATCATGCTTCAAAGTGCTTTTTGTATTGATCTTTTGGAACATTACTTTTGTTTTTAAGAGCTTTTTATCTTTTACTTTTTAATAAACTATAAAGACTTCTGGCTGTGTGCAGTTTGGTGTTTTCAGCAAGGTGAACCTACTCCGAGGTACAACAGTGTCTAAAATACCTCCCTACTTTAATGCAGTCCCTATTTATCTAATCACATTTGTTTTCTAATTGCTAGATGGCAAAAGCTGGGTAGAAGGTCAGATGGTCACCTTGACCCGGGCTTCAAACTATCAACCTTCCGTTTGGCAAGATGTATTCTAGCTTGGTGATTAACCTGCTGTGCTAAAACCTGGCCCACTTCAGTGTTGAGGAAGTTGGGATCAAGTTCACAGTCTGCTGCATGTCTTGTGCGATCTCTAAATGGAACTGCTTCTGTTTGATTGTTAGCAGCTTTGGCATGCACTTCGTTGAGATTCTCCTAAAGCCCAAATCCTCAGTCAAAATGGAATGAGCATATCAAATGCTGATGCTCACCTCATCTGCAAGTTCTCTTAACATGAATCGACAATCCTGCATCACAAGAGTCCTTACCTGGTCAATGACGATCTCATTTCTGGATATTGCAGGCCTACCAGAACGTGCTTCACTCTCCACTGATTTTTTTTTTTGTTGTGTCAGGAGTGTCCTGTTGTAAGAAAATTGGCCGTCTGCAAGGACATTGCCCAGAGGATGCCTGGATGATTTTGATGTTTTCTCATCCTTGTGGGAGGCTTCTCTCATGTCCCTGCATGAAGAGCTAGAGCTGATAGAGGGAGCTCATCCGCCTCTCCCCGGATTCGAACCTGTGACCTGTTGGTCTTCAGTCCTGCCGGAACAGGGCTTTAACCCACTGCGCCACCGGGGGCTCCACTGATGTGTGGCCATCTTTAAAGCTGTTGCACCACTCCTTTATCTGTGTGGTGCCCATTGCTTCATCCTCGAAGGCCTATTTAATTTAGTAGATTGTTTCCACTTGGGAATCACCAAGCTTTACACAAGATTTAATGCAGTTGAATAAAATCCCACATTATCTGCTTTGAACTGGAATATATTGCAGTGTTAACTAGGATAACCCTTTTCAAAGCCAATATTCTGGGATTATCTGCCTTGATATTCTGGGTTATACAGCTGTGTGGAAGGGCCTCTGACCAACTAGAGTGAAAAAGGGAATGCTTAATCACATTCACACAGGATTTGACTGCCAGAGCAACATGGTTCCTGACCTTTGCCCCTGGGAATGTTCAATGTCCGTTTGCCTTTCAAAAACTGGAGAAGAAACAGTGTTGTGCAAGAAAAATAAATTAATCTTTATTTGGGAATACATTTCAAAACTTTTGTGAAGTATGTACATAAAAAACAGCCTACATCTATCTTACATATATGCTTAAGAGACACAGCAGAGAAGAGTGAGAAGCAGCAAGTGTTTCTTTGAGAAGAAAGAAATAGCAGAAAGGCAGATCAGCCATTTAAAAAGAGAGAAAAATCCCTGATAGAAAAATAATGTTCTAGGCATAACACAAGGCAGTGAACTATACAGATTAAGCCTATAGCAAAAGTGATGGGTTTTTTTTTCCAGTTTTCATTTTTTATAAAAGCACATTTTTAAAAAACTTCCCTTAACACAGAACATTACAAATTAAGCTCATAAGAAAAGCAAAATGGTTTATCCCCAGATTTTCACATTAAAAAACCCACAACAATCTTATTTTCTAAGTATATTAAAAAGAAATATGGCGAGTCTATATTAAATAGGAGGAAATACAGCATATTGTTGTGGCACAATAAACATTTAACATACAGTCTGCAAAAGATGGGGGTGGCAATAACAAGGAATATTGAACCCTTTTGATTGAAGTACAAAAATTCAAGATAACATATATTTCACACACAAGTAATTAAATCATTTTTCGCACACAAACAAGAAGTTTGGTGCTTTTAAGAAAAGTGTATTTTTTTAAAAAATAGAATCATATCACAAAACATTTTGTTTACAAGGCTATAGATTTTGTTCTGATGTGTCCAGCTGACACAAATGTTCATGAAGATATTTTGAGAGGCGTAAGAGCAAGGATGCTTTGTGGGTTGGCAAGCAGCAGAAAGATTCAGTTTTTCCATTGCTCTGCTCAGACGAAGCCTTGCTATTGTCTGCCGCAGAAGGTGCATGCCTGCCATCTGGATCCTGTAGCTCTTCAACTCCATTTAGAGGTTCAACGCCACTTAGAGTTTCATCTCCTACATCGTCCCTTTTGGGAGTCAGACTGTGTTCCTTCACATTTTCGGCTTCGTCAGCTTTGTTGTCTTTATCATCCCTGGCTTCCAAGAGTAGTGATGGGGACTCTGTCTCCTTCTCATTTGGAGGAAATGGGTCCAAAGGACTCCAGGAGATGCTACTGTCACACTCAGTATTATCCCGGATTTCACTGGTTTTATCACTGTCACTGTCAATCATAATCACAACAGGCGAAGAAACGGGAGAGTAGCCCATCTGATTTGCACGTGGCTTCCTGTCCCATTTTCTTTTCTTCTTCTGATGCCTTCTTGTGTCTGTGATGGTCGCTTCATAAATAATCTCCACATTTGGACTTTTTGACATTTTTTTCTCCTTCTTCCGTGGGATGTCAGATTCTGATTGACAGTTCAAGAGGCCAGCTGACCTTTTGTAAGGTTCCTGATGCTTTGGCACAAGGTTTTCAAACACGTGACCATCTTTTTTAGAAGAAGCAGCTTCCTCACTTCCTCTAGGCATACTCTCAAGGTGGCGGGTCTTGTATTTCCTTTTGCCACTGGGTTTCTCTGATCGTGTTCTGTCTGATTCTCGAGAAGGAGTGCGAGTCTGGCTGCTGGATAGACTTCTTGATCTATCCCTTCCATAGTAGTAACTTCTGCTGCGATCTCTTGAAATTTGATTATTGGTTTGCTCATAAAAAGAGCGGACTCCATAATTTGGGCTAGGAGAATGCCTGGAGTAATTATTCTGCCTGCTATAAGATAATTCATAATAATCTCCGGAGGCATTCCTGTCATACTTGCTGTAGTATTGACCTCTGAAGTAACCATCACTTTCTTGCCTCCTTGAATTTTTGCTACATTTGTTGCTACGAGATATTGATCGACTCAGTTCTTGAGAGTAGATGCTCTCATTACTCAGAGACAGAACCTTGCTTTTGCGAGAGAGGCTTTTGTGGGTTGGCGAGCAGCAAAAAGATTCAGTTTCTCCATTGCTCAGCTCAGGCGAAGCCTTGCTATTGTCTGCCATAGAAGGTGCATGCCTGCCGTCTGAATCCTGCAGCTCTTCACCTCCATTTAGAGGTTCAACACCACTTAGAATTTCATCTCCTACACCGTCCCCTTTGGGAATCACACTGTGTTCCTTCACATTTTCAGTTTCATCAGCTTTGTTGTCTTTATCGTCCCTGGCTTCCAAGAGTAGTGATGGGGACTCTGTCTCCTTCTCATTTGGAGGAAATGGGTCCAAAGGACTCCAGGAGATGATACTGTCACACTCAGTATTATCCTGGATTTCACTGGCTTTATCACTGTCACTGTCAATTGTAATCACAACAGGCGAAGAAATGGGAGAATAGCCCACTTGGTTTGTGTGTGGCTTCCAGTCCCATTTTCTTTTCCTCTTCTGACGCCTTATTATGTCCGTGGCTGTCCCTTCATAAATAATCTCCACACTTGGACTTCTTGACGTCTTTTTCTCCTTCTTTCGTGGGATGTCAGCTTCTGACTGACTGTTCAAGAGGCCAGCTGACCTTTTGTAAGGTTCCCAATGCTTTGGTACAAGGTTTTCGGACATGCTGCTTTCTTTTTTAGAAGATGCAGAAGCAGCTTCCTCACTTCCTCTAGGCATACTCTCAAGGTGGTGGGTCTTGTATGTCCTTTTGCCACTGAGTTTCTCTGATCGCGTTCTGTCTGATCCTCGAGAAGGAGTGCGAGACTGGCTGCTGGACCGACTTCTTGATCTATCCCGTCCATAGTAGTAACTTCTGCTGCGACCCCTTGAAATTTTATTGGTTCGCTCGTAAAAAGAGCGGACTCCATAATCTGGGCTAGGAGAATGCCTGGGGTACTGCTTCCGCCTACTATAAGATAATTCATAATAATCTCGGGAGGCATTCCTGTCATACTTGCTGTGGTATTGGCCTCTGAAGTAATCATCACTATCTTGCCTCCTTGCATTTTTGCTACAATCATTGCTACGAGATCTTGATCAACTCAGTTCTCGAGAGTAGATGCTCTCATTGCTCAGAGACAGAACTTTGCTTTTTTGAGAGAGGCTTTTGTGTTGGGCTTTGGACTTCTTTTTATTCTTTCTGTGCCTGTGTCTGCTGCTATCCCTCTTCTTCCATTTTTCCTGGCTATTATCCTTGTTCTTACTTTTGAAACCGCGGTGTTCTCGGTCCAATTGCGGTGCATAGGCTTCGAATTTCCTCTTCCTGGTAAAAGCGTAGCTGTCATCATAATCGTCCTCTCTCTCTCTAGGTGAATTTTGTAAACAAGTACTGCCGCTGGCTTTATTATCGTCATGTTCACTCCTTTTGTGATTTTGGTTTTTACTCGAGGAGGACACCTTTGCCTTATGATCGGCACTACCATCTCTGGACCCGAGAGAGAAAGTAGAGGCATACCAGCTGGCATCTGTTTCACTAAAACTCTGGTACTGGATGGGCTTCACTGTTTTCTGATCTTCTTCGCATTTCCAGCCATCAACAACCGATTCCTCAGAGTCTGAAGACAGTTCCACAAGTTCAGGTGTTCTCTCGTCCAGTGACTTCACATAGCCAGCAATAACACAGTTTTCAAGGGAATCACAACTGTCCTCATTCCGCTCCATAGAAGGTAGTAACTGTGTTGGCAATACTGCTGCGTTGGTGGAGGGCTCTTCATCAGATGTTTCCGAAGTATCCAAAGTGGTATACCGGGTAGCATAAACTTGGTCAGAGCTTGAGTAGGATGGACCAGGGGTCTCATCATCCCAAGGCACCCGGTCAGTACCGACAAAGGCATCGGTCTCTGCAGGCTTGACTGTATATACCTTATAGTCATTTTCTGATCTTATACTATGCACAATTGAGTGAAAAGGCTGCTTGCAGAGCGGGCATTTTGCTTTGTTCTTATACCACTTTTGTATGCATCGAAAACAAAATCTGTGCCAACAATAATCCAGGTAGGATACATTTTCAAATCTGTCCAAGCATATTGGACATTTAGAGTCTGGTGAGGCATCTGATGGTGGCATTGTCTGGTGCAATTTCCTTCTGCCAGATTTAGATGAAAAGCGATCAGCCACCGAGTGGTTGGTCAGTGGTGTCAAATTCTGAAAACAAAGCCATCGAGAGAAAAGTAATCATAATACGTTGTGCAGAAGTTATTAATACTTTGCATGTTTAAATTGTATATATATATATATATATATATATATATATATATATATATGGGGGTTAGCTACAGTAACACTGAAGCGGCCTATTTCAAAGAAAACCCCAGTCAGCGTTGCTATGGTGACCAAGTCAAGCTGGCAGCAGTTGGAGAAGTGGGAGGAGCCAAGGGGAGAGAGTGGAGCAATGGACAGTTTGTGTCAGTTGGGAGTTGAATGTATTGTCGAAGGCTTTCATGGCTGGAATCACTAGGTTCTTGTAGGTTTTTTCGGGCTATAGGGCCATATCAGGAGAAATGCCTCTAGAACATGGCCCTATAGCCCGAAAAAACCTACAAGAACCTAGTTATTTGGTTAGTGTTCTGGGAAGCAGTGAGTTTGTATGGGGAGCAGTGAGAGAGTGAAAGGAAGGGTGAAGTAAAATAAGTGAGGCTTTGGGAAGCCTGAATAAGCAGTCTGGAGGTTTCTCAGTCTAACAAGGCTGTAAGGAGAAACATAGCCAGTTTCTTTAGTTAGGTTAAGACTAAAGAATAAGCTTGTTGAGTCATTTGATCAAGGACAGATCAAATAGGAGAGGAATACCTATATTGAAACATTGTTTAATAAAAAGGACTTCACCTCAGGAAGAGTAAACGATACTGTGTAACCTGGAAGAGTGGAAAGCAATTCAAACCAAAGTTCAATAAGAAAGTTTACAACTTGCAACCATATGCTGTTTACCAAATAAACCTGTTATCTTTAGTTAAAACAGTCTCATCTCCATCCATACTGCATCTGATGTGCCATATCTCATAGTAAAACCTCATACCTCGCATTGGTGGCAGTGGTTAAAGAAATATACAATAAATCACCTTCCGCTCCCCTGCTTCCTTGCATATGTTTAACTCAATTTGTGCCAATCAAAAGCAAGTTTGCTTTCAGTTGAAGTTAAACATGAGATTATTCAAGTACCAACCAATGGAATGTTTTAGCAAAGTGAACAACAAAAGCATTGCTGGACTGTTTATCCCATGAATCATAACTTGTGTTAACAGTGCAATAACCTCGGGGTGGGGTGGGGTTGGGGTAGAAAATACCCATTCCTATTCTATAATCTCAGTTTCCCATCCAGGAAAAGAAACAGGAAATCTCAGAAGCACAATAGTAACATAACATAGGAGCACATAGAAAAAGGCAGGGAATTTTTCGGGCATTTTTCATGCACGTTTTCCCAAGTACATACAGATATCCAAGCCAGGCTCCCTTGTTATGTAGATCGAATCATGAGGAAGGGAAAATACATAGAAATAATACAATTCCATACTGGGGAATGGGAAGCATGCAAAATGGGATTTGGGGGGACTTTGGAACAGAAAAGCAGGATGGTTACACATTGCAAGGATGGGAACAGAAGGAAAACAACTTTAGAACATATGAGTATTCAGCAGGTAAAGAGTTCTTTTTAACAGCAATTCTGGGAGACATAGTTTCTCGAGCTTGGAAAACATATTCTTCAGAATCCCTGGTTAGGTCCCAAAAGAGGCCAGAGAGTGTGTTCTGAGACAGGGAGGGTGGCAGGAGAGAAATATAATGAGCAGAGAGAGCTTAAACTACCAGAGGCTTTCTAATGGGGGAACCAGCTATCCGGAAAGAGAAGAAAAGAGGAAAGGCTGAAATGCAACGTGGAGAGATACATGATGGCTGGGAAAGAGACATTACAGCAAGGAAAGGCAAGAGAAGCACAGAGTTCAGGGTAACCAATTTATTAAGCAGTCTGTAGCTAGTTTCCTGATTGTCTGAACATGCACAGAGCCAAACAAGTACACTTTAAGTGTGTGCAGCCTTTGGAACTCTCTGCTGCAGGCACGAAGAGAACAAATAATAATTTTGCCCAAGCGGGTATCATGCAACATTTTGAGCTACAAAAACATTATCAAGCTGGATGGAAAACACAACTGAAGTATGCTAGCCCTTTCACACAGCCCTATATCCCAGAATTCAAGGCAGAAAATCCCACATTATCTGAGTGTGGACTCGGATAATCCAGGAAACCCCACAGTATCTGCTTTGAACTTCAATATATGGCAGCGTGGACTCAGATAACCCACTTCAAAACAGATATTGTGGGATTTTCTACCTTGATATTCTGGGATATAGGGTTGTGTGGAAGGACCCTGGGAGCATTTGATAGTCTTACATGCTTGCTGAGCAGAAGGGATTAGCTTTTCTGAAGACCCAGGGCCCTTCCACACAGCTCTATATCCCAGAATGACAAGGCAGGAAATCCCACAGTATGCTTTGAAGTGGAATATATGGCAGTGTGGACTCAGATAACCCAGTTCAAAGCTAATATTGTGAGATTATCTGCCTTGATATTTTGGGATACAGGGCTGTGTGGAAGGGCCCTCTGACCAACTAGAGTGGAAAAGGGAATGCTTAATCACATTCACACTGGATGTGACTGCCAGGGCAACACGGTTCCCAACCTTTGGCCCTCCAGGAGTTTGGCACTTCATTTCCCAGAAGCTCCCACCATTTGGGCCAAGTGCCGGGAATTCTGGGAGATGAAGTCCAAACCACCCGCAGGGCCCAAATACGACAAACGAGGACCTCGAGGGAAACTCCGCCCACCACCTATTTTTTTCCTTTCCTCCAAAGGGAGGGGGAGATTACAATCCTTTTTGGGAGACTCCGTAGAGGTGCGCGTGTCGTTCTCTCGCTGTATCTTGCGGCTCGCGCTCGCCTGGAGCCTGAGAGGCCCGGATGAAGCAACGGCTTCAGAACCCACTCGCTCACCGGCTTCGAACGATGGCGCCGGCGACCGTTTATTAAACTTTGTTTATTATATTTATTTCTCTCTTTTCATTATTGCTTTTATTACATTTATTATTTTACCCTATTAATATTATTTATACTTTATTATTATTATTTTCTCTACTTGTTTTTATTGCATTTATTATTTTACTCTATTAATATTATTTATGTTGTTGTTCATTCGTTCAGTCGTCTCCGACTCTTCGTGACCTCATGGACCAGCCCATGCCAGAGCTCCCTGTCAGCCATGGCCACCCCCAGCTCCTTTTCAGGCTAGTCACTTCAAGGATACCATCCATCCATCTTGCCTCGGTCGGCCTTTCTTCCTTTTGCCTTCCACTTTCCCCAGCATAATTGTCTTCTCTAGGCTTTGCTGTCTCCTCATGATGTGGCCAAAGTACTTCAACGTTGTCTCTAGTATCCTTCCCTCCAGTGAGCAGTCGGGCTTTATTTCCTGGAGGATGGACTGGTTGGATCTTCTCGCAGTCCAAGGCACTCTCAGAACTTTCCTCCAACACCACAGCTCAAAAGCATCTATCTTCCTTCGCTCAGCCTTCCCTAAGGTCCAGCTCTCACATTCGTAGGTTACTACAGGGAATACCATGGCTTTGACTAGGCGGATCTTTGTTGCCAGTCTGATGTCTCTACTCTTTACTATTTTATCGAGACTGGACATTGCTCTCCTCCCAAGTAGTAAGCGTCTTCTGATTTCCTGGCCACAGTCTGCATCTGCAGTAATCTTTGCACCTAGAAATACAAAGTCTGTCACGGCCTCCACGGTTTTTCCCTCTATTTTCCAGTTGTCAATCATTCTTGTTGCCATAATCTTGGTTTTTTTTATGTTTAACTGCAACCCCGCTTTTGTGCTTTCTTCTTTCACCTTGATTAGAAGGCTCCTCAGCTACTCCTCACTTTCGGCCATCAGAGTGATGTCATCTGCATATCTGAGGTTGTTAATGTTTCTTCCAGCAATTTTAACCCCATCTTTACTTTCATCAAGCCCCGCAAGTCGCATGATGTGTTCTGCATACAAGTTTAAAAGGTTGGGTGAGAGTATGCAGCCTTGCCGTACGCCTTTCCCAATCTTGAACCAGTATTATTTATACTTTATTGTTGTTATTATTTTTCTACTTGTTTTTATTGCATTTATTATTTTACCCTATTAATATTATTTATACTTTATTTTCTCTACTTGTTTTATTATTTATTATTTTACCCTATTAATATTATTTATACTTTTTATTACATTATTTTATCCTATTAGTATGAGTACATTTATTTTTTTTACTTTATAATGATTTTATTATATTTATTATTTTACTCTATTATTAATGGAAGGATACGTCAGCATTGAAGGTTAGAACAATGGTTTAATCAGAGTTGGACATTCTTAAATTAGTTTTATGTTAATATTCAAAAACATTTAACCTACAGATACCTCAATTAATGTAATTTTACTGGCATCTATTTTGATTTTGAAATTTACCATTAATTGCTCTATTTCCCACCCTCGGCTTCTACTCGAGTCAATATGTTTTCCAATTTTTTGTGGTAAAATTAGGTGCCTCGGCTTATATTCGGGTCAGCTTATACTCTGGTATATATGGTAAGTTGTTTCTCTATCACCTTTGAGTCCGCCAGGGTTTCTGTGGCAAAGTACAGGGAAATAAAAATAATGTACAAAAAAATACTGAAATCTTATCGCAACTTCAGTCATAAAACAAGTTGCCATTAAGTGGAAGGGAAGCAGCTAGTATAACTCAACCAACATTGTGTCTTACCTAATATCTATGCAATAATTATTGATTTTATGTACATTGTAAGTTTGAGGGCAAATCAAAATTTTGTAAGCTGCTCTGAGTGTCTTTGTAGTCGAGAAGGGTAAAAGTTCTCTAAATAATAACAAGGATTGGTTTTTATACATTATCAACTCAACTTCCTATCATTTTTGTAAATATCAGGGCAATGTGCAAGTATGATTGAAACAAGAAAAACCACACTGCCATCATTAAAACAAAGGAAAGCAATTATTTAAACATGATCACCATGTTCAAATATCTAAAATGCTGTCATAAGAGAGAGCAGGCTTGTTTTCTACTGCCCTGGAAACTAGGACTCAGAGCAATGGGTTCAGATTACAGGAAAGAAGATTCCACTTGAATATTAGGAAGAATTGAATGACTGTGCGAGCTGTTCAGCAGTGGAACTCCCTGCCTCAGCATGTGGTGGGAGCTCCTTGGAAACTTTTAAAAAGAGGTTAGATGGCCATCTGTCATGCTGGAAAAGCATTTGATAGTGCTTTTCCTGCATGGCAGGAGGTTGGACTAGATGGCCCATGTGATCTCTTTCAACTCTATGATTCTATGATTCCTGTATTGGTCCATGCTCTGATTACATCCCAAATAGACTACTGCCACACACTCTGTGTGGGGTTTCCTTTGAAGACTGTTCAGAAGCTCTTCCAGCTCTATTATCTCTAGATCCTATGCTTCAAATACTAGCCAGTCATGTGATCATTCTCCCTGCAAATGTTCAGTGTCTGGAGAAGAAACAGTGTTGTGCAAGAAAAATAAATTAATCTTTATTTGAGAATACATTTCAAAGAATTTTCACAAAGTCTTCATTTCAAAGCTTTTGTGAAGTATGTACATAAATAACAGCCTACATAAACCTTACATATATGCTTAAGAGACATAGCAGAGAAGAGGGAGAAGCAGCAAGCAAGTGTTTCTTTGAGAAGAAAGAAACAGCAGAAAGGCAGATCAGCCATTTAAAAAAAAGAGAAAAATCCCTGATAGAAAAAAATGTCCTAGGCTTAACACAAAGCAGTGAACTATACAGATTAAGCCTATAGCAAAAAGAAAGATTTTTTTCCAATTTTTATTTTTTATAAAGGCAATAAAATTTTCTAAGTTCACGTTTTTTAAATTTTCCTTAACACAGAACATTACAAATTAAGCTCAAAACAAGCAAAATTGTTTTCCCCCAGATTTTCACATGAAAACAGTCTTATTTTCTAAATTTACTTAAAAAAGAGAGAAATATGGTGAGTTTATATTACATAGGGGAAAACACAGCATATTGTTGTGGCACAAGAAACATTTAACATACAGTCTGCAAAAGATGGGGGGTGGCAATAACAAGGAATATTGCACCCTTTTGATTGAAGTACAAAAATTCAAGATGACACATACTTCACACTGAAGTAATTTCATCAGTCTTCGCACACAAACGACAAAGTTTGGTGCTTTTAAGAAAAGCCTGTATTTTTTAAAAAAAGAATCATATCACAAAACATTTTGTTTACAAGGCTATAGATTTTGTTCTGACGTGTCCAGCTCACATGATTGTTCATGAAGATGTTTTGAGAGGTGTAAGAGCAAGGACGCTTTGTGAGTTGGCAAGCAGCAGAAAGATTCAGTTTCTCCATTGCTCTGCTCAGACGAAGCCTTGCTATTGTCTGCCGCAGAAGGTGCATGCCTGCCATCTGGATCCTGCAGCTCTTCAACTCCATTTAGAGGTTCAATGCCACTTAGAGTTTCATCTACTACATCGTCCCTTTTGGGAGTCTCACTGTGTTCCTTCTCCACATTTTCAGCTTCATCAGCTTTGTCGTCTCTGGCTTCTAAGAGTAGTGATGGGGACTCTATCTCCTTCTCATTTGGAGGAAATGGGTCCAAAGGACTCCAGGAGATGATACTGTCACACTCAGTATTATCCTGGATTTCACTGGCTTTATCACTGTCACTGTCAATTGTAATCACAACAGGCGAAGAAAYRGGAGARTAGCCCACYTGGTTTGYRTGTGGCTTCCWKTCCCATTTTCTTTTCCTCTTCTGACGCCTTRTTATGTCCGTGGCTGTCCCTTCATAAATAATCTCCACACTTGGACTTCTTGACGTCTTTTTCTCCTTCTTTCGTGGGATRTCAGCTTCTGACTGACTGTTCAAGAGGCCAGCTGACCTTTTGTAAGGTTCCCRATGCTTTGGYACAAGGTTTTCGRACATGCTRCTTTCTTTTTTAGAAGAYGCAGAAGCAGCTTCCTCACTTCCTCTAGGCATACTCTCAAGGTGRYGGGTCTTGTATKTCCTTTTGCCACTGRGTTTCTCKGATCGCGTTCTGTCTGATCCTCGAGAAGGAGTGCGAGACTGGCTGCTGGACCGACTTCTTGATCTATCCCGTCCATAGTAGTAACTTCTGCTGCGACCTCTTGAAATTTGATTATTGGATCGCTCGTAAAAAGAGCGGACTCCATAATCTGGGCTAGGAGAATGCCTGGAGTACTGATTCCGCCTACTATAAGATAATTCATAATAATCTCGGGAGGCATTCCTGTCATACTTGCTGTGGTATTGGCCTCTGAAGTAATCATCACTATCTTGCCTCCTTGAATTTTTGTTACAATCATTGCTACGAGATCTTGATCGACTAAGTTCTCGAGAGTAGATGCTCTCATTGCTCAGAGACAGAACTTTGCTTTTGCGAGAGAGGCTTTTGTCTCGGGTTTTGGACTTCTTTTTATCCTTCTTGTGCTTGTGTCTGCTGCTATCCCTCTTCTTCTTCCGTTTTTCCAGGCTACGATCCTTGTTCTTACTTTTGAAACCGCGGTGTTCTCGGTCCAATTGTGGTGCGTAGACTTCAGATTTCCTCTTTTTGGTAAAAGCATAGCTGTCATCATAATTGTCCTCTCTCTCTCTAGATGGATTTTGTAAACAAGTACTGCTGCTGGCTTTACTTTTGTCATGTTCACTCCTTTTGTGATTTTGTTTTTTACTCGAGGAGGAAACCTTCACCTTACGACTGGCACTACCATCTCTGGACCCGAGAGAAAAGGGAGAGGCATACCCACTGGCATCTGTATCACTAAAACTCTGGTACTGGATGGGCTTCACTTTTTTCTGAACTTCTTCACATTTCCCGCCATCAACAACAGATTCCTCAGAGTCTGAAGACAGTTCCACAAGCTCGGGTGTTCTCTCTGCCAGCGGCTTCACATAGCCAACAATAACACAGTTTTCAAGGGAATCACAACTGTCCTCGTTCCTCTCCACAGAAGGTGGTACCTGCGCTGGCAACACTGCTGCGTTGGTGGAGGGCTCTTCGTCAGATGATTCCGAAGTATCCAAAGTGGTGGACAGCGTAGCACAAACCTGGTCAGAGCTTGAGTAGGATGGACCAGGAGTCTCATCATCCCAGGGCGCCTGGTCAGTACCGACTGTTAAGGAGTTACGTTCAGCTTCCTGGGAATCAGCCTCATCTGGAGAGATAGTGATGATTGAGGATTCTGATCGACTTCCTTCCTCGTACGAAGGAGCTGGACAGTCATAATTTGCATGTTGGTCGTATGCTTCTATATTAAAAGGACACCTGGCAAAGTTAACAAATTCATGCAAAAAGTGCTCTGTCCGATGTAGCAAAAAGGGTTTAAGTTCATCAGTGAATGCTGTGCTTTCTAGATCATACCTAGTAACATTGCTCATTATGATGTGCTGCACAATGTTGACAAGAGACCCATGAGCTCCAAACAAAACTGTGAGCTCGCGCTTCAGCCATGGAACTAGTCTATGAAGGCAGGCAGGATTCCTGCGGAAAAATTCAGCAGATATGTCTCGGTATCGCCCTCCATCCTCGATGCTTCGGACACGGGTGCCGGAGCGATACAGCGCTCTACGGAAGTTGATGATTTCTTGTTCCTGAATTTGACGCATGGATCGGCCTTCCAAGTTTGCCTGTCGCCTGGACTGAAGGCGCCTAATCATTTGATTGATCTCTGCATCTCGCTGTCCCATTGACTGGCCTGACAGGCCTTCGAATAGGATCCCATTATCAGGAGGTGAGGCAGTTCTTCTAGTGTTGGGATTCCTTCGAGGGTAGGCTGAAGTGCGACGCTCCCTTGTTACAGTCGTTCGGTAACGGAATCTCCTACCGTCAGGGTTGGCAAAGGCATCAGTCTCTGCAGGCTTGACTGTATATACCTTATAGTCATTTTCTGATCTCATACTGTGCACAATTGAGTGAAATGGCTGCTTGCAGAGAGGGCATTCTGCTTTGTTCTTCGACCACTCCTGTACGCACCGGAAGCAAAATCTGTGCCAGCAATGGTCCAAGTAGGATACATTTTCGAATCTGTCCAAGCATATTGGGCACTTAGAGTCTGGTGATGCATCTGATGATGACATTGTTTGGTGCAATTTCTTTCTGCCAGATTTAGATGAAAAGCTATCAGCCATTGAGTGGTTGGTCAGCGGTGTCAAATTCTGAAAATGAAACCATAGAGAGAAAAGTAATCATAATATGTTTAACACAATTTGTGCCAATCAAAACTAGTGTTAAATTTGTTTTCAGTCGAAGTTAAACATGAGATTATACAAGTACCAACCAATATAATACTTTAGCAAAGTGAACAACTAAAGCATTGCTGGACTGTTTATCCCATTAATCATAACTTGAGTTAACAGTGCAACAACATCTTGGGGGGGGGGGGAGGCAGGAAATACGAATTCCTATTCTATAACCTCAAGTAATGCATTTCTTTTTGCAATTGCCTCCTTCCCATTCCTGTTAATTCACACAATAACTAACAATATACTATTAATAAAGAGGGTTAAAGGCAAAACCAAGGGCAAGTCTTTTAACATGGCATATGTACAGCCAACCCTTTCACACTGGCTGAGGTTAGTGGCCCAAAAATACAAAACATGCTTTTGTTTTTACCAGCAAGAACATCTTGCTGGAATTTCCAAGTCTTCCAGCAAAACTCTATGATGAACATCTCCTGTAGGTTGACCTTAGAGTCGCACTAGAGGACCTAGAAATTTCTACAGAAAATATTGACATCAAATCCACAGATAATCAAATCCATAAAAGCCAAAACCAGAAATGTGGAGGGCTGACTATATGTGCCAACATAGTTATGGTGGACAGTTGTACAAGCTGGCTACGCAATGGACTAACTAGCTTGAGTTTATCTGTCTTGTGGACTCTTTGAGCCACCTGAAAGATAGTCCAAGGTTCAAAACGTCTTCTGACTGCATTAGATCTACATGTTATAGAGGTGCTTAGGCAAACAGCAAGGAAAAAGCTCCTGAACTTCAGCATGAAGACAGCTCAGAGTCTAGAAATGTCAAATCAACAATTTATAAACCATGCAAAGAGCCTTTGAGGCTGAAGAATTAGGTATAAATATACTAGGCTCTTGTATCAATTTGAGGTTGATTCTAGGATTTCCCCCCATGGATATCAACATCTGTGGATGCTGAAGTCCCACATGCACAATGGCATAATAAAAGACATAATAAAAAGCAAAATCAAGGTTTGCTCTTTGGATCTTTTTTTGCGCAAGGTGTGTGTGTGTGTGTGTGTGTGTGTGAGAGAGAGAGATAATATTCATACCAAAGATAGCTAAGTTCCTAGGTGCAGAAACCGTGGATATGTAGGTCTGGCTATGCAAACACTATAAATAATGAAATGAAAATATGCTGTACTTGGTTTCCAAAGGGAAGATGAGGTTCAGCGTGCCACAGGTATAGTCCCCTGTGACAAGCTGCTCGTACATCTCTGAGGCTCATTTGAATTGCTCTTTGGGTATATTGTTTTGTGGGCTCTAAGATGGCTACAGCTGTGTTTCCGGCTGAAGAACATCCCCAAACTTGTGGCATTGCAGAGCAAACAGAGGCAAACAGAAGCCACACAACCCTTGTCATTAAATAATAGCACTTTCAGTCACAAATTATCCAAGTCAGTGTTTCCTAAACTCTATTTGTCCAGATACTTTGGACTTCATCCCCAGAATCCTTGAACACTGGCCACAGATCTGCATCTGACCCAGCAAGGCTTCCCCTCTCAACAGTGTCTCGAACCCTATACAGCAGTGTTTCTCAACCTTCATATTGCTGTGACCCCATAATGCAGTTCCTCATGTTGTAACCCCCAACCATAAAATTATTTTCATTGCTACTGTTATGGATAGTAGTGTAAATATCTGATATGCTGGATGTATTTTCATTCACTGGATCAAGTTAGGCACAAATATCCAATCTGCCCAAATTCGAATACTGGTGGGGCTGGGTGTTGATTTTGTCATTTGGGAGTTGTAGCTGCTGAGATTTAAAGTTCACCTATAATCAAAGAGCATTCCGAACTCCACGAATGCAGAAACTGAACCAAACTTGGTACACAGGACTCCTATTACCAACAGAAAATACTGGGCTTGGTGGGCATTGACCTTGAGTTTTGGAGTTGTAGTTCACCTACATCCAGGGAGCACTCTGGACTGAAACAGTGATGGATCTGGGCCAAACTTGGGAGAAAATAGTCCTACTACTTCATCACACCAGAGAATGAATCCACTTTAAAAACCGTATAAACTAGAAAATTATCAGTGTGGACTCAGATAACCCACTTCAAAGCAGATCTTGAAGAATTTTCTTCCTTGATATTCTGGGATATTGGGCTGTGTGGAAGGGCCCTGAGTCCACACTGCCATATATTCCAGTTCAATGAGATCTTGTGGGATTTTCTGCCTTGATATTCTGGGATATAGGACTATGTGGAAGGCCCTCAGGCCCCTTCCACACAGCTGAATAAAATCCCAGATTATCTGCTTTGAACTGGAATATATGGCAGTGTGGACTCAGATAACCCAGTCCAAAGCTAATATTGTGAGATTATCTGCCTTGATATTTTGGGATACAGGGCTGTGTGGAAGGGCCCTCTGACCAACTAGAGTGGAAAAGGGAATGCTGTATCACATTCACACAGGATTTGACTGCCAGAGCAACATGGTTCCCGACCTTTGGCCCTCCAGGGGTTTGGCACGTCAACTCCCAGAAGCTCCCACCATCTGGCCCAACTGCCGGGATTTCTGGGAGATGAAGTCCAAACCACCCGCAGGGCCCAAATAGGGCAAACGAGGTCCTCGAGGGAAACTCCGCCCACCTATTTTTTTCCCCTTTCTCCCAAAGGGAGGAGGGGGAGATTCGAATCCTTTTTGGGAGACGCCGCAGGAATGGCTGAGAGGGGCGCGTGCCACACTCTCACTCTCTGGCTTGCGGCTCGCGCTTGCCCGGAGCCTGAGAGGACCCGGATGAAGCACCGGCTTAAGAACCCATTCGCTCACCTGCTTCGAACGTTGGCGCCGGCGACCGTTGGCGCCGCCGGCCCGGCTCCGCAGCTCCCGCGCGGCACACATCGAGGAAGACGGCGGTGGGGCCTAGCACGCCACGCCGAGGAGGGGTCCACCTCCGCCGGGGCAGCAGCCACCGCCACCGCTTCCCTGGTCCTTGCCCTGACCCGGATGTACAACCCTACCTGGGGTCATGAAGGCCGGCTTCCGGCTCGACAAAAAAAAAAAACCAGAGGCGGCGACCAAACATCCTCGCGGAGTTTAAGGAAACTTCCATATCCGGATTGCAACGGCCACATTCTCCCTGTTTAAAAAAGGGAGGGGGGGGGGATGTGGGAGTTGTAGTCCCAAAATAGATTCGCTTCCGCGATCTTTCCTCCTCCTATTTTCCTATTTTCAAACACATTTCAAGCCTTTCACGCCTATAATAACAACACTTGACACTTGGGAAGTATGCGACGTGTGGTCCAATACAACAGCTAACAGTGATCTTGTTTGCAGTCTACTGATTTTGTTGTGTTTCAGATAATAATATTAATATTTTATTAATAATAGTAGTAATATAGTACCAGAGTGAAGAGAGGGGGGCAGGGGACACATCTTGTCTCCCGTCCTATTCTAATAATATAATGTAATATAATATATTGCATATACATATATTTACAATATAATGTAATACAATATAATAATGATGATATAATTATATATTTTATATTGTAATATTAGTAATATTACATGTAATATTATGGTATAGTACAATATAGTAATATATGATACTGATATTGTACTACGCTAATATGCATTTTATGTATATATACCTTGTAAGCTGCTCTGAGTCCCCTTCGGGGTGAGAAGAGCGGCAAATAAATGCCATAAATAAATAAATAATACAAGCTATGGATTCCCTCAGGTGTTTCTCAGGTCCCTGCTTGAGGCCACTGAGGGAAACTTTGGAAGCTCCCCGGGCAGTTAAAGTGGAATAATAGCGCTATAACAGTGTAGTGTGTAGGTGGGCATCTCCCTTTGTAGCCATAGTCACAATTCCTTCTGGAAAAGCAACTCTGTTTTTGGTTGGATTGATACTGCCTAAAACAGAGTTTCAGAATGCCTTGAACTGGATTATATGACAGTGCAGATCTAGCCAGATAGAAACACTCAGAAAACGGTAATTTCAGACAAGAATAAGTCAGGATCAGCTAACACCTCCAAACACCTCCCGCAGGAAGCAATCAGTCAGACTTTGAAGCTGCAATGCCATTCAATGCTAATCAAGGTGGCCCTTTGCAATATTCACACTTGCCTCAAGTGGATACGTGTTCTTTCTCCCACCCCTGGACATTCCACAGATATATAAACCTCACTTGCCTAGTTTCCAACAAGGTACATAACCTCTGAGGATGCCTGCCATAGATGTGGGCAAAAAGTCAGGAAAGAATGCTTCTGGAACATGGCCATAAAGCCCAGAAAACTCACAGCAACCCAATGGAGGGGGGATGTTTTCCTGATGGCTTTGCTCCTACAACTTCCACATTGAAAACTACTGCACTCGTTGGCTTGGGTTTTGCTTTACGATCAAGAAGCTGGGGAAAGGCGCATGGGATCCCCTCTTTGCTTGGAGATAAATGCCAGCAAGCTTGAAAGAAGTGAGCAGAGGTCAGCAGCCAAAGAAAGCCTCACTTACTTGAGAGTGAGTCCCTGGAGAGCGGCTCTCAATCTTTGTTTCTCCATTGCTTTGGCTTTTTTAACCAAAAGACTTCAACTCCCAGAAGCCTCAGCCAGTTTGGTCAGTGCGGAGGGGTTCTGGGAAATGAAGTCCAGACAAAGAAAATACTTGGAAGATCACAGAGAGCCATTATAGGATATCTGGATCTATATTTTTAAATAATGGGATATGGGAATAAAAGTAACCCTGAATGCGGGGCTGGAGGACTCCCACAATCCCTTTCTTTTGGGTCTGGAGCTCAAGGCTTCTGGGAATTGAAGTCCTTTGCTTTCTTCAGGGAGAGCTTTCTCCCTCTGCCATTGCTAATCAGGAGTAGAGGGTTTTCTTCTCTTTACAAATATTGATTTTTCCTTGCAAAACTTAGGAAAGTTACTATTTTTGGACTCCTTCGCTAAGACTACCCATAACTCCTGCTTGGTGGTGGTTTCTGGGAGTTGAAGTCCAAAAAGGAACTTTGGTAAGCTCCGCCCTTTTCTGTCTGGCCTTCCTACATCACTTCCGGGAGCAGCTGCACGGTTGTAACCAGGAGCAACGCGGAGAGAAATGATCCCAATGAACCGGACCATACAGGAATGGATATACTCTCTGGTAAGGAGGGGGAACCTGGGAAAGTCACACTCTCTCAGCCTCTGGAAAGCAATGGCAAATCGCTTCTGGACAGATCTTACCCTGTGATGGGGTCAGAAAGGACACAACAAAACTCACTTTTCCTCTTTCTTGCAGGAGGATGCCTGATTGAACTTAGTAGGACTTACTCCAGATTAGATCCAATTTTTAAATAGCCACAAAGGAACTGTAACGAAATAGCTAATCATAATGTATGTTTTAAATTTGTTGTGATATGATTTAAATAGCCACAAAGGAACTGTAACGAAACAGCTAATCATAATGTATGTTTTAAATTTGTTGTGATATGATAGGTGCAAGCTAACATTTGCTGTGGTTGCCATAGCAACGTAGACCTCGAAGCCACGCTAAAGGGGCGGAGCAAACTGCCACTGATGGAGAGAGTCAGAGTCAGTCTTTGATGAGAACACCAAAGAGGAAAGTTGGTTCTAGTGTGTTGAGAAACCAAACCAAGGGATTTAAGTCTTCAGCCTGTGTGTTTAGAGCAGGGGTCCTCAAACTTTTTAAACAGAGGACCAGGTCACAGTCCCTCAAACAGTTGAAGAGCCAGATGAATTCCTGTACACACTGCACATATCTTATTTGTAGTGCAAAAAAACACATAAAAACAATACAATAATTAAAATGAAGAACAATTTGAACAAATACAAACTTATTAGTATTTCAATGGGAAGTGTGGACCTGCTTTTGGCTGATGAGATAGGATTGTTGTTATTGTTGTGTGCTTTCAAGTAATTTCAGACTTAGGTTGACCCTGATCGAGGGTCGGGTAAATGACCCTGGAGGACCGCATCTGGCCCCCAGGCCTTAGTTTGAGGATCCCTGGTTTAGAGAGTCAAGTGGACCTGTTTGAATTAACAATTAGCTCGTGAGCTAAGGGGGAAATGAAACCCCAGTAGTAATCCATAACTTCAGTGGGGGTGGCTGAAGGGAGAAAAAGGCAAGCCAGTGCCTTGAATTGTGAGTTAAGGAAAGAAAGATACTTTGAAATGAAATAAGTATAAAACCAGTCTGATGGAAGTAGAAGCCATACTGAGAATTATATTGAAAACTGTTACGAAGTATTTGTGTTAACTAAAGTCAACTGTAACAACATTTAAAGGAATACAGAATAACCATCAAATCTTGTACACCTGTGAATCCTTAAATAAACATTTCCTTGATCAGTTCTTTATAATTAAGACTCATGTCCATTTATTGAGAAGAAGATTTACCTTAGAAGAAGGCGGCTGAAGATATTGAAAGAAAGGATTCTGATTGGGGTAATAAGTTACTCCTTTTAAAAAGTGCCTCAAGTAAAAAAAAAACATTTAAAAAGTCAAGCCTCGGCAACACGCACCACCACTACCTTAGTCTCCTCATCGCCCTGGATGTATGTGTGTGTGTGTGTATATATATATGTGTGTGTGTGTGTCGTTTCAGTCCTCTCTTTTACAATTGGTGGCAGCGGTGGGATAGAAAAATAAGATCCCCCCTGCCACGCGACAGATTTGAGTGTGTTTCAGAGCCATAGTGAGGTATCTACAGACTTGACTTTCTAGTAAAGCTTTCTTAATGTTTGGCTAAGGACCAGAGTTGGAAGAAAGTGTTTGAGGGCAGGATTGTTACTATTATTATCATCATCATCATCATCTTACTGGCTGCAGGATTCTGGGCCTTGCAGTACAAAAATGAGAGGAACTATTTCCCCAAAAGTGCATCTAAACTGTAGAATGAATGCAGTTTGGCACCACTTTAACTACAGTGGACTCCTGGGAGTTGTAGTTTGACAGGGTCTTTAGGCTTTTCTGCTAAAAGCTGCAAATTCAAGCAGTTCCTAGCATTGCACCATGGCAGGTAAAGTGCTGTCAAGCTGTATTCATTCTACAGCAGAGACGGATCCCTGGACTGCTGTTTGCCTGCTGGCCAGACCATCTCTCAGGAAGCATTTCAGGCATTTAGAAGCATTTAGAAGATCCACAAAGACAAGAACATTATCTGAGAAATGTTTTAGGACATTTGAAGGCCAGAATAATTTAAACAATGAAATATGCATTTTATGGATGCACCTAGAGGCACATTTGCCATCCCAGTTTACAGTATCTGTACACTCTGATTCTGTAGGCCCGGGTAGGCCAAATGCAAACTCAGACCAGGAAAGCACATCTATTGTGCTCTCTGACTTTCCTTCTACGCTGCAGAGACACAGATCAAGAGTTGTTTCTCCCACGCTGGGCTTTCCACAGATATATAAACACATTTTTTCTAGTTTCCAACAGACCTCACAACCTCCGAGGATGCCTGCCATAGATGCAGGCGAAATGTCAGGAGAGAATGCTTCTAGAACATGGCCATGCAGCCCGAAAAATGTACAACAACCCATGAAGGCCTTTGACAATACAGTTCCAATGAAGTTTAGCCATCTTTTGACAGGGATGTGGGATTTGCAATCCAACAATGCTTCTAGGAGGTGACACTGCTATAGACTAATTTTCACGCATCGTAATTTGGGGCTTTTTAAAATGAGTATTGTAAACATCTTTTTCAAAGAGGAAATATATCATCCATTTTCCTCTATGCTCTCAAATTTCAAATTATAGAAGTGGGATTTGGGATTATTCTGCGTAACATGATTTGCAGAATAAAACCAAATTAATTAATTTTTAATTGTTTTCATGTTGACTTCTTGTATGTTTTTATTGTGTTCTGATTTCATGTGTAAACCACTTTGTGCCCATTTTGGGAGAAAGATGAGGTATAAGCAAAGATCAGTACAGGGATAGCTCAGATAATAAAGCCTCTGACAAAAAAGCTCCCTTTTACAAAGTTTTTTTTTTTTTACAGGAACCCAGCTGCTTCTTTTCTTGTGTGTATCTGGAAGGTGTTTTTATTTGTTTTTCACAACATTGATATTGGGAATATGAAGAAAGGACACTGGAGAAAAAGACTCAGTGTGGAGTTGTAGTATTGTCTGCAGTAAACAATGCAATACAATTTAACCTGGGAAAGAATGGGGCAGTGTTTTAGCCAATGCTATTGCAACTTCATATGTGCTTATGTACAACAGGATAGATAGACAGATGCCTACAGAATCACTTACTGAGATTTTGTGAGGAGCAAAACAGAAGGCAAATGGGGGAAGCGGATTCACCTGTCTTGGGCCTCTTCCACACAACTGAATGAAATCTCACATTACCCATATTGAACTGGGATATATGGCAGGGCCATATAACCCAGAATATCTGCTTTGAACTGGAATATCTGAGTCCACACTGCCATATATCCCAGAACAAAGTAGAGAATGTGGGATTTTATTCAGTTTGGTGGAGGGGCTGCAGTGTGGACTCAGATAACCCAGTTCAAAGCAGATATTCTGGGTTATACTGCTGTGTGGAAGGGCCCTCACTTCAGGTATCCTGATATGTTGAAAAATTACAGATCTATAGCTTTTGCCACCAAAACAGAAATTAAAAAAATGGAGGTTGTTGAAAGGAAAAAAAATTACCCCAAGATGTATTTCAGAAGAAGCTTTCAAGTATCCTCAGATTCAAAATGTTTACTTAATTAAGCCCTCTTCCACAGCTGAATAATTTCCACAATTCCACATGCTTTAAACTGGAATATATGGCAGTGAGGACTGATAACCAGTTCAAAGCAGATATTGTGGGATTTTCTGCCTTGATATTCTGGCTTCTATGTCTGCGTGGAAGGACCTCAAGACTCATCTCACCGCGTTGTTTCATTTAATATGTATATGATGTTAGATTCGAATGAAAAGTCTACTGAAACCTGTCAAATTCCCCTTTTCTATGGTGTAGAAACCTATCCATTATTTCTGCCTCTGGTGCCAAAGTTTCTCCCAAAAATAAAGTACAAGTGGGTCCTTCCGGACAGGCCCTATATCCCAGAATCTGATTCCAGGTTTTCTGCTTATCCCAGATTATCTGACAGTAGAGACTCATATAATCCAGTTTAATGCAGAAAACCTGGGATCAGATCCTGGGATATAGGGCCTGTCTGGAAGGGCCCTGAGATGTACCAGTATTTGCAATAGGCATTATCTACACTGTTGCCCAGAGCTTCTTGAGAAAAACTATGGCCCTTCTACACTGCTATCTAAAATCCAGATTATCTGATTTGAACTGGATTATATGAGTGTATATAATGTGGATTATCTGTATTTATAATCTTGAGTACATGGCAGTCTACTATCCTTCTTAAGAGACACTGGAAAAACAACTGTCTGAAATGTCATATTATTTTCTTTTAACAGATTCTTCTTACCATTGTGTTGCTTTCATGGGGATATGTTATTTACGCAACACGAATAGCAGCCAAGTGGCATCTAAAGGAGCTCTATCCCCTGCAAGCACAAGATCTTTGAGGAAACCATGGCAGAGTCCTTCTACAGATATGCCAGAGCATTTAGGATAGTTCCAGCCAGTCTTTAAATTTCACAGCAAGGACCCAATATAAAATGAACATTGAGCTTGGAATTAATATCTGCTTTTAAGACAACTTGAATGGAGTAACACCTTTTTCTCAGCTCTTATGCTGATACAGTTTAGAAGAAATATGCCAAATGCTGTCATCCTAAAAGAATTACTCTTAAAAACAACTCCACCAGTCTTGCAAATAGAGCAGTCCATGTCTGAAGATTTCACATTATTTTACTGCTAAAGAAGTGTACTAAACCAACAACCATGCAATAGTGATTTCGACTGAATATTTTGTAAGAAAATTTCATTTATATAACAGATTTAATGCTGAAGAAACAAGAAGTTTTGATAACCCGAGAGAATAAGGATTTGCTGTATTGTATTACCTAATATTTACATGGTTACATCAACAATACAGGGAGAAATTGACACTGAGCAGTGACAAAGCAAAGAATTAAAATGGAATTTTGTTTAATTATAAATGTTATATTGTTTTGTAAACTGTATATTAAACATTTATTGAACTATTTAACATTGAAGTGTAAATTGAGCTTCTTCTTCAAGTCTGTTGTTTAATACAAACTAAATCTGTCTCATTCCATATCTCTAAATAGATAAATTTTGCTATCTATTTACAATTACTGACTTGGCTTTTATTTAAAAAATGATGGTTACAACCTTCTCTTTTTTTTGTATAAAATGTAAGACTAGCTACGATTTCTTTGCTAAATCAGCCATTTCAAAAGTTGCACTGAGTGGACTAAATCTCAATGTTACAGTAGAAATGTTGGATCAATGGGACTCGTAAGAGCTGCCTTAATTCAATGGGCCTATTCTGGCCCAAGACTAGTTCATTAACTGCCTTTATCCAAAAACCCTTCACTCTGTTTGAATGAAGCAGCTACTAATGAAGCAGATTAACCTTGGCTTTCATCTCTGCAGCTAACACATTACTTGACAATTCTCCATTTTTCCATTATGTATTTCTTTGCTGTTTTGAGTAAAAGGGCAGTGCTGCAACAAGCGTTTAGTTCAAAATGAAAAATCCAAAAAAGCAATCCTGAAGCCGAAGCCATTTTTATTCTTAAATAAGATTATGAGTTCAGTAAATGAATTTTAGTAATCAAGACAAATGCCTGCAGGGTTCTGAGTTCTTGAGCATTTAATGATGACTGTTTGGTATTTCTAATGGGGGAACAACTTCATTCGTCTCCAGAATAGTGTCACCCTAAAAAATTAAAGAGATGATGTCATCAAAATCAAGTTACGATAGGAAACATTCTTCTTACAAGACAAAAAACAGCAATTTCACATGCAGAACATTTGGGGGCTATTTTTCTGTGTATAAGTAATTTTTAATATACAGCAGTCTTGTGAGTTTCCTTTTTTTTTTTTAAACTAAATGCTTATTTTATATTACAATACCGTAACCTTAGTTTCATTTACTCATACCAAGGAAAAAATTGCTACTATAGGATTTTGCTAGGGTCCTTCAGGTCTTCCAGCGTTAGCTGGAAGTTGCCACAGAGCTATGGTTGGAAAACTTATTGAATTCCTCAAAAGGATATTTCTCTAGTCTCTCCAATACTATGATATGCTGGGATCACAAGTAAGCTAATTTGGTCATATTTGTGGTTTCAGGTAATTACAGTCTTGCCGGGAAGTAATCACCCACAGGTATAGTAGTCTAATTGTACCCTATTAACATTTCAAATGTGAGGAATAATCAAAACACTTAGAAAAGAACATTGCTCTTAGGTTGCAAACCTGTGGCACTGTTGGCAGGAAATCTACATATTTAATTAGATAAGAAATTTGATTTAATAGATCCTACTTCTCCTTTGCCTTCTACAGAGAATAGATTAAATCAAAGCAATTTAAACAGCATCTAAGACTATTTAATTCAGCAAAAGAAACCCCCGATTTTCCTAATACAGCTTCACCTAATGTTTAAAATGGCACAAATATGTGCACTAAATTTTAGAAGTGTTTAGTAGGGCACAGTGGCTATTCTTCCTGAGGCAAAGTGTGAGTGTTATTTTGCTTCTTTTTCTATATTCTTTCTTCTGCTTTGTTTGGCTAAGCTCCATCCACATGAACAATTTCACTCAGCCTCTGTCTTTGTGTATCATGGAACAAATTTATTGAGAAATAGTCCCAGTACAAGCCCAGAATTAGAACCAAGAGCTGGTAATTATTCTTCAGTTCTAGACTGAACTATTACCACAAGACAAAAAGCTTACATTAATGTCCATGTCTGATGTATGTAACTTAGTGCGTGCATTTGACAGAACCATTACTTCATTCTTATGAGATTGTTTAGCATAGGTTTAGTATTTTTCTTATATTCATTTCATTAAAACAATTAACTTTAAAAAGCTGATTTGTAAAAATGTACTTTTAAAATAATCTCTGCTTATCTACCCTGCTTACATATAACGTCCAACATTGTTTCATTTCTCTACATAATTGACATGGGGGGGGGGGGGATGAAATCAACTCACTGGGAATATCTTGGGCTTGGAAGCAACGACTCCATATGGTTGATACTGAAAATGAAAACATAGAAACATGAGGATTCTGGGGGAAGAAATTGTTTTGATGTATTCATTAAATACTGTGCTCATCTACATCTTTTCATTTACTTGTGGCTCACAAAGAAGACCAGAAGTTATTTAGAGTTCAAATACACATCCAAATGAATGCTTTCTTAATGAACAGGGAAAGTACTACCCAATTTTTGGCATTTAGGCCTATATCAGTTGGTGGTTCACAAGTAATACCATATAAACACAAAAATCCCACACTTTCTCGATGGCAAAGGAAACACTTCTAAGAACAATCTGTCCCTTACATACTCATATATTTATTAGATATTTTACTGGTCTCAAGTTTCATAACCCAAAAATGGCAATGTGGACATAAGGGGGTTGCTGATAAAGTATTGTATCGGTCAAAACACTCATTCACAAGAATTGTCAACGCTTATCTTAAAGCTGGAGATTTGTTTAAGCTGGGCTACTAATTGAAAAGGTGTGTCTTTTTTCTTCTGGTTATGGGAAGGTGTTCAAATCTCAGTCATCTTTTTGAACACCTCAGATGCAATGAAAGAGAAAAAATAGACTTCTGCATGCAGTATCACACTTGCCATATCATGAGATTATTTACGCTTACATACCCTTACGTGCTTTCAAGTCATTTTTGACTAATAGTTACCCTAAGGAAAACCTCTCACAGAGTTTTCTTGGCAAGAGGGGGTTTGTGTTTGTTTTTCTTCTGATTTAACAAAAGATTCAAATGTGCATGAGTTGACTACTCTCAATACAGCCCCCTTCATTCCAAGAAAACTATCTTGGATAGTAAGGCCTTCCAGAATAGCATGAATATGGCAAGGGGAAGGCCAATGAAAGACAATTTCCAAATTTGTCAATTTTCCTCCCAAAACTGGAAGCTCATTCTCCTTGTACACCTTGGGACCAGACAATACATTCTCATTAATAAGAGATTGTAATTAAAATGTGTATGAATCCTCATTTCCAGGTTTTCTAGCCAAAATATAAATTGGGGGGGGGGGGGGTTCCTTAAGGATTCTCTGGCACAAAATAGCACCTTTTTCCGTTGTAATTGGCTTGAACAAAATTGGGAGTCTGATTCATATTGTTTCTGTATAATTCCAGCATTTTTCCTTGCCCAGGTCTATATGTAATTGGCCCCCACATTCAGGATCTGACATCCATGTATTTGACGGTTTCCCAACTCCTGTTTTCTATACGACCATTTAAAATCTTCAGCAAGAGAAAGGTGGGAAGTGTGAGGAGGTAAGCACATTCTGTGTACAAAACATGGATAGCTCCCTGTGTTAAATTACAAAAATGCTGCACAGTATAAATACGTACCAGTAGGTGGTATTTTACGTAGTAGTGAGTAACCCAAACAGGAATAAGTATTCGAGTGAAAAGAAATACTCCAGCATTGTAGGTTTTGAATACCTAAAGGGAAATTATTTTTATGGTTAGTTTTAAAAATCACATTACATTTTACATATGCTATTTTAGAATTAAAACCATTGTTTTAGGTTGCAGACTTTGGACTACTGTGGACTTCGATGGAGAGGCCCTCACTCCATTTTCCAACCACCATTGCTCTAGTCTCTGAGGGACAAGAGAGCAGCCAGCCTCCATCATGTCTTGGCTCAGCAACAGGAAACAGTCCTTCCCTCCATAGTCCAGTTGCCACTGCTGTGGTCTGAGCAGCCAGCATTAGTAGACTTAATACTCTTCATCACTACCATTCCCTTTTCCTTAGGAAGGTTATCTTCCATAATCAGATAACTATGTAGTCTTTATGTGTGTCTATGTGCCTTCAAATAAATTTTAATATTCTATGTTTAATGACAAAAAGGATTAATTGGTTTTTCATTTGTATACTTCTATTTTAATGTGTTTTTGTTGTTTAAATTTGTACTGTATCATTTTTTATTGTATTTCTTGTTAACTGCCACAAGTACCAATATTAGGAGCCCTCAGTGATGCAATGGATGAAAAACCCCTGTACTGGCAGGACTGCTAACTGAAAGGTCGGCGGTTTGAACCTGAGCATCGGGTTGAGCTCCCACCGTCAGCTCCAGCTTCTCATGTGGGGACATGAGAGAAGCCTCCCACAGGATGTTAAAACATCCGGGTGTCCCCTGGGCAACATCCTTGCAGACAGCCGATTCTCTTACACCAGAAGCGACTTGCAGTTTCTCAAGTCACTCCTGACACAAAACAGTCCCTATATTGGGAGGAAGATGGTATAATAATACATTTAAAATAAGTAATTTACTCGTTGACTTATGGCCACCCAATCAATTTCATATGATTTTCATAAGCAAGGAAGACTCAGAAGTGGTTTTACTATTGCCTTCCTCTGAAATATAGCCGAAATCATTTGATATCCTTCGCAGTCTCCCATCTAAGGGCTAACCCTGGATAGAATACAAAATTTGACAGAATCTCATGCCTTACAAGTACAGAAAAAAACATGATGAGCCAAAAAGGTGGGCGGGAAATCACAAAGGGGTTTCAATATTTAACAACTCTTTATTTTTTGTTTTTAATTTATAACACCATAGTATTATATATCATATCTATAAGAAATAAATTTACATTAGGTAAAGGTTTTCCCCTGACATTAAGTCCAGTCATGTCCGACTATGGGGCTTGGCGCTCATCTCCATTTCTAAGCTGAAGAGCCAGCGTTGTCAGTAGACACCTCCAAGGTCATGTGGCTGGCATGACTGCGTGGAGCACTGTTCTCTTCCCATTGGAGCGGTACCTATTCATCTACTCACATTTGCATGTTTTCTAACTGCTAGGTTGACAGAAGCTGGGCCTAACAGCGGAAGTTAACACCGCTCCCCGGATTCATACCTGCAATCTTTCGGTCAACAAGTTTAGCATCTCAGCAGTTTAACCCAGTGTCACTGGGAACTCCAAAAAATTGTACATTTTCATTATATTGTACGTCAAACCCCTGTGTGATTTTGGCCCATCCTAGACATAATGAACCATGGCTTCGACTTTCTGACTTTTTCTCTTCTGCTCTGTAGTTAACCAGAAAAATGCAGACTGGGGTTTTTCTTTTCTTTCTTTCTTTCTTTCTTTCTTTCTTTCTTTCTTTCTTTCTTTCTTTCTTTCTTTCTTTCTTTCTTTCTTTCTTTCTTTCTTTCTTTCTCTTCCTAGCCTGAAAGTCTTGAAAGATTGAACAGCTTTTATTAAGTGTTGGTATTGTTTCGTGCTTTCAAAGAATTGGATGAGACCTTAAGGTCTCATCCAATTCTTTGAAAGCACGAAACAATCAAAACACTCCTGATAGATGGAGACTCCACCATACATATTTCACTGTTGAATAGCTCTTTTTGGGAAGTTCTACCTAATGTTTAAGTGGAATCTCCTTTCCTGCAGTTTTAATCCATTGTTCCATGCCCTCATCTCCACAGCACCACCAGAAAACAGCTTGCCCCCTCCTCAAAGTGACATCCTTTCAAAGGCTGAAACATGGATATCATGTTTCCTCTCAGCCTTCTTTTCTGCAAGCTAAACATACCCAGCTTCCTATGATGCTCCTCATAGGATTTGGTTTCCAAAGCTTTGATCATTTTGGTCACCGTTCTCTGGACATGTTCCAGCTTGTCAATATCCTTCTTGAATTGTGATGCCCAGAATTGGAGACAGGACTCCAGGTGAGGTCTAACCAATGTAGAATAGAATGCGACTATGACTTCTCTTGATCTAGTAGACACTATACTCCTATTGATACAGCCTGGAATCACATTGGCTTTTTTAGCTGCTCCATCACACTGTTGACTCATGGTCAGTTTGTGGACTACTTCTAGATGCCTTTCACACGAACTGTTTTCAAGCCAAGTATCATCCATCCTATATCTGTGCATTTCAGTTTTATTGCCAAAGTGTGGTACTGTACATTTCTCTCTGTTGAAATTCATCTCGTTTGTACTGGCCCAGCTCTCTAATCTGTTAAGGTCATTTTGATTCTCATCCTGCTTCTGGGGTATTAACTATCCCTCCCAATTTGACATCTGCAAATCTGGTCAGCATGCGATCTATTCCATCATCTAGAACTGGACACAGGGTTAGGTTACTGCAGGTGACCAAGGCAGAACAGTGGGACTATTGCAATAAAATGTGATTCTAAACTGCATCCCTGATGCAGCCGAGAATCACAGTAACTTTTTAAGGTGTTGACTCATGTTCAGTCTGTGGTCTACTAAGATTCCTAGATCCCTTTCACATGCATTTTTCTTCATGAATAATTTTTATTAATTATGCAATAAATCTACAGATAAACATTTCATACACTATCAATATAAACTCATCAAATACTGACTAAAGCAATGCTATATTTTTCAGACTTCAAACTCCTTCAGCAGTCTTTCCACTTCCCATCATCTTCCTTGTGTAGTAATAGTTTTCTTAACCACAGACACATAAATTGCTTCTGACTTAAAATAAGGGATTTGTATAAAGAGAACATATATTTTGCAGTATTCTCATTTTCTATTCCACAAAATTCATTTAACTGCTTACAGACTCTGCCCCAGGTTAACCAATTAGAAGTTGGGACCATCAAATTTCCCAATCTCCCATTTGAAAAAAAGGACACACAGGCAATCTCCAAGTTACGAACAAGATAGGTTCTGTAGTGCCCCATCTACATGACCATATCAAAATCCAGATGATCTTCTTTGAACTGGATTATATGACAGTGAAGACTCAATCATCCAGTTCAAAGCAGATAATCTGAATTATATGGCAGTGTAGAAGGGGCTCTAGTCTTTTGTAACAAAAGTCATTAGTGGCCAGTCTTTCCAAGCTCTTTTTAATTAATTGAGCCTGCATCCCTCTGCCAACCTCTTTTTTTCTTCCTCTAATTTCGTCCTTGGTCATGTTCTTCCTTTTCACTGCCTGAATGATCCTCCTCTTCTTTCCCCTTCCAAAATCCAAATATCGCAGGGTCAGAAAGTGATGTGACATCTTCAGAACAGAGACACAAACAGCAAAGCAAACACCACAGGGGTGTTAACGCTTCCCTATAGTAACCAAAGATATAGATAGATAGATAGATAGATAGATAGATAGATAGATAGATAGGAGCTACACTTTTAAAAGTACCTGTTCCGACTTACATACAAATTCAACTTGAGAATAAACTTACAGAACCTATCTTGTTAGTAACTTGGGGGCTGTCTGCACTCAGGTCTTGTTCAGGTCCTTCTGGACCCCCTCCCTAAAGAAATCAGAATAACACCCTCAACTCCTCTCCTTCAAGAAACAATTAAAATCTTATTTCTGTATGCTAGCCTACGGAGAGGAAGAATAGTCTATGATTGATTTTACCATGTCAGGTGATGGTGACGATTACTCTATCCTACTGAAGAACTATATTTTTATACTCTCAAATTGTATATTTTTGTTTTAAATGTTTTGGTTAATGGTGCTTGAACTATTTATTTTTAATTGTTTGCTTCAACGTCTTTTGTGTTACTATATATAGAATTGAACGTTTGCCATTTTTTGCCTTTGCAAGCTGCCCTGAGTCCCTCTGAGGAAGAGAGGAAGGGCTAAAAATTAAAAAAAAAATTGAAACCCAACAAGATGAGTCCGCAGCAAACAAGATCACTGTCCCAGCTGTTGTATTGGATCACACGTGGGACACTTCCCAAATGTCTAGGACTGTGTGATGTATCAGCGAATAATGTGTGCAGTTCCCAGTAAGGTAGCCTTTTGCAGCTGGCAGATGGTAATTTTGTCAGCGCCGATTGTGTTTAAGTGCAGGCAAAGGTCTTTAGGCACTGCACCCAGTGTGCTGGGTTATAATACTAGCCACCTCCTGCCACGCGTTGCTGTGACCCAGTCTGTGTATATGTATTGTGTGTGTGTAAATATGTGTTTATATGTGGCTTTGTACATGTGTTGTAATGTTTTTTTTTTTGGCTTTTTAAGTCTCTTCCACTGTATTTTTGTCACTGGTTGACCGGATAGTTGTGTTGTGTACAAATTTGATGTCAATTTGTCTAGTGGTTTTTGAGTTATGTTAATCCCACAAATGAACAGTACATTTTAATTTATATACTAGCTGTCCCCTGCCAAGCGTTGCTGTGCAGTCTGGTGATCTGGCAAATAAAGTAATGAGAAAGTATTGGTTTCTAATATATGTAATTTCTTGATGCTTGTGGGTAAACAGTATTTCTTGCTGTTTCTTTGTCAGTGTTTATGTGGTGATACATGCAACATATAATTGTCCTTCTTTAGGGGTCCCTTTCAAATCTATGATACTATGTGTGTGTGTGAATCATATATATCTAACTATATCTATGGCTGGATGACTCTTTGTCAGGAGGGCTTTAATGATGTTTTCTTGCCCTGGTGAAGTTGGACTGGATGGCCTTAAGTATTTTTTGTTGCTCATGGGGGTTCTGTGTGGGAAATCTGCCCCAATTCTGTCGTTGGTGTGGTTCAGAATGCTCTCTGATTGTAGCTGAACAATAAATCCCAGTAACTACAATTCCCAAATATCAAGGTCTATTTCCCCCTAACTCTATCTGTGTTCATATTTGGGCATATGGAATATTCGTGCCAAGTTTGGTCCAGACCCATCATCGTTTCAGTCTACAGTGCTCTCTGGATGTAGGTGAACTACAACTCCCAAACTCAAGGTCAATGCCCATCAAACCCTTCTAGTGTTTTCTGTTGTTTATGGGAGTCCTGTGTGGCACGTTTGGTTCAATTCCATCGTTTGTGGAGTTCAGAATGGTCTTTGATTGTAGGTGAACTATAAATCCCAAGAACTACAACTCTCAAATGACAAAAAAAAAAAAGAGTGAAGGACATACATTGGGTTGTTAGGTCTCCAAATTTTGTGTCAATTTGCCCACTGGTTTTTGAGTTCTGTTAATCCCACAAACGAACATCACATTTTTATTTATATAGATTATTATTATATTATTATTATTTCCTAAGTGTACACATGATAACGGAACTATTGGTATATAAAGTCACCAAGTAACAGTGGTATTTTTACACCTTTTACTTGGTCATGTGAAGATGTTACCCATGTGTGCTTCAGACGTATGGCAGCCATCGGGTCAATTGATCCCAGACATTCCTTGTGGAGATTTGTTCAGAGGGCGGGCTGTCCTTGCCTTCCTCTGAGGCGGAGAGAGCGTCGCTTGCTCAAGGCCACCCTGTGGGTTTCCATGGCTGAAAGGGGCCACTAGGTGGATCTTCTCCCCGTCTCTTTGCCCTCCCTTATGGCCTTCTTCCCCTTCGGCCTTTGGCGCCTCACCTGATTCCTCCACAGGCTGCCGGGCTTGAGGAAGTTCTGCCAGAAGCCCTCGACCAGGCCGGGCTTCTGCGGGGGCAGGACGGGCTCCCTCGGGCTCAGCTCCTGGTCCTTGAGCCATCGCCGCCGGAGCTCCCTCAGCTGCTGGAGACGGAGCTTCTCGTCCGGCGTGTAGCCCATCACCGCCCTCGGCGCCCCACCGCCGCGCTCCAGGCCCGCCATCTTGGCCAAGGCCCCGCCCCCTTCTCCTTCCGAGGAGAGCGACCTTGCTGAGGCCCAAGCAAGAATACCGGAAGTGACGTCGACACGGCGGAAGAACTCTTTCGCTGCCATGGCAATAAGTGGAGGCCTCTCTAGCAGAAGATTCGAACGCTGCCTCTATAGAATCAATGCCACGTCACTTCCCTGGCTTAATGCCATGGAGTAATGGAAGCTGTACTTTTACAAGGCCTTTCCCCTGCTCAGCAAAAGACACCAAACTACGACTCCAATAGAGCCATGACAGCTCAGGTGGTTTCAAACTGCATTACTGGTACAGTGTAGAGTTGTTGTTGTTCATTCGTTCAGTCGTCTCCGACTCTTCGTGACCTCATGGACCAGCCCACGCCAGAGCTCCCTGTCGGCCGTCACCACCCCCAGCTCCTTCAAGGTCAGTCCAGTCACTTCAAGGATGCCATCCACCCATCTTGCCCTTGGTCGGCCCCTCTTCCTTTTGCCTTCCACTTTCCCCAGCATCATTGTCTTCTCTAGGCTTTGCTGTCTCCTCATGATGTGGCCAAAGTACTTCAGCTTTAGGTTCTTGTGGGTTTTTTCGGGCTATAGAGCCATGTTCTAGAGGCATTTCTCCTGACGTCCATGTTCTAGAGGCATTTCTCCTCCTCTAGAACGTGGCTCTATAGCCCGAAAAAACCCACAAGAACCTAGTGATTCCAGCCATGAAAGCCTTCGACAAAGTACTTCAACTGTCTCTAGTATCCTTCCCTCCAATGAGCAGCCGGGCTTTATTTCCTGGAGGATGGACTGGTTGGATCTTCTCGCAGTCCAAGGCACTCTCAGAACTTTCCTCCAGCACCACAGCTCAAAAGCATCGATCTTCGCTCAGCCTTCCCTAAGGTCCAGCTCTCACATCCGTAGGTTACTACAGGGAATACCATGGCTTTGACTAGGGATCTTTGTTGCCAGTCTGATGTCTCTACTCTTTACTATTTTATCGAGATTGGACATTGCTCTCCCAAGAAGTAAGCGTCTTCTGATTTCCTGGCCACAGTCTGCATCTGCAGTAATCTTTGCACCTAGAAATACAAAGTCTGTCACGGCCTCCACGTTTTCTCCCTCTATTTCCAGTTGTCAATCATTCTTATTGCCATAATCTTAGTTTTTTTTATGTTTAGCTGCAACCCAGCTTTTGCACTTTCTTCTTTCACCTTGATTAGAAGGCTCCTTAGCTCCTCCTCGCTTTCGGCCATCAGAGATATGTGTCATCTACATAGCTGAGGTTGTTAATGATTCTTCCAGCAATTTTCACCCCAGCTTTGCATTCATCAAGCTCCACACATCGCATGATGTGTTCTGCATACAAGTTAAAAAGGTTAGGTGAGAGTATGCAGCCTTGCCGTACGCCTTTCCCAATCTTGAACCAGTCTGTTGTTCCGTGGTCAGTTCTTACTGTTGCTACTTGGTCCTTGTACAGATTCCTCAGGAGAGAGACAAGGTGGCTTGGTATGCCCATCCCACCAAGAACTTGCCACAATTTATTATGATCCACACAGTCAAAGGCTTTAGAATAGTCAGTGAAGCAGAAATAGATGTTTTTCTGAAACTCCCTGCCTTTCTCCATTATCCAGCGGATATTGGCAATCTGGTCTCTCGTTCCTCTGCCTTTTCTAAACCCAGCTTGAACATCTGGCAAGTCTCGCTCCATGTATTGCTGGAGTCTTCCTTGCACGATCTTGAGCATTAACTTACTGGCATGGGCAAACGTCGGCCCTCCAGGTGTTTTGTACTTCAACTCCCACAATTCCTAACAGTAGGCTGGGGTGAAAATTGCTGGAAGAAACATTAACAACCTTAGATATGCAGATGACACCATTTTGATGGCCGAAAGCAAGGAGGAGCTGAGGAGCTTCTAATCAAGATGAAAGAAGAAAGTGCAAAAGCTGGATTTCAGTTAAACATTATAAAAACCAAGATTATGGCAACAAAGGGATTGACAACTGGGAAATAGAGGGAGAAAATGTGGAGGCTGTGACAGACTTTGTATTTCTAGGTGCAAATATTACTGCAGACGCAGACTGCAGCCAGGAAATCAGGAGACGCTTACTTCTTGGGAGGAGAGCAATGACCAATCTTGATAAAGTAGTGAAGAGTAGAGACATCATCCTGGCAACAAAAATCCGCATAGTCAAGGCAATGGTATTCCCCGTAATAACCTACAGATGTGAGAGCTGGACCATAGAGAAAGCTGAGCGAAGGAAGATAGATGCTTTTGAACTGTGGTGTTGGAGGAAAGTTCTGAGTGTGCCAGCTAGAAGATCCAACCAGTCCATATTTCAAGAAATAAAGCCTACTGCTCATTGGAGGGAAGAATATTAGAGGCCAAGATGAAGTACTTTGGCCACATCACGAGAAGAAAGGAAAGCTTAGAGAAGACAATGATGTTGGGGAAAATGGAAGGAAAAAGGAAGAGGGGCCGAACAAGGGCAAGATGGTTGGATGGTATCGAAGTGACTGGATTGACTTTGAAGGAGCTGGGGGTGGTGACGGCCCACAGGGAGCTCTGGCGTGGATTGGTCCATGAAGTCATGAAGACTTAGAAACGACTAAACGAATGAACAACAAGGCTGTTAGGAATTGTGGGAGTTGAAGTCCAAAGCACCTGGAGGGCCAAAGTTTGCACATGCCTAGTGTAGAACCAATCTCTGTATCCCTTCTTCAAGCAGCCACTTCCAGAAGGTCATACCAACTTGCCATGGCGACTATATTATTATTATTATCATTCATAAATATATTTACAACATGGTGCAACATAGGAAAATGCTGCTTAAAGTTGGCCATATCACCCGGGACTATAGTTGAGGATTTGAACAAGAAGACATAGTTTTTATAATTTTTATTCTTCATTGCTTTAATGGTTTTTAAATGTATTGTGATGTTTTTGCTTTTTATTGATGTATTTATTTTTATACATGGCATCTAATCGTTGCTGACTTGTATGCCGCCCTGGGTTGCCTTCGGGCTGATATGGGTGGAATACAAATGTTGTAAAGAAATAAAAATAAATTTTACAAAAACTATCCAGATCCTCTTAGAAAACCCCAGCTTCTATGCAGAGCAGGAAAAGTAGATGGAGGAGGCAAAAGAATAGTTTACCTCAAACATTCTTGTACTGACTTTGTAGGGGCATGCACTCTGCACGTTCTCAGAAGTCTCCTTCTGACCCGGGATGACAAAGCAGAAGAAACACACTGATGAGTTGAATCTCTCTGAAGGTTAGCTTTAATTTGCCGGCCGTGAAAATGGCGACAGTTTGTGCTCTAGGCATAAAACTAAATAGGCCTGTGGGGTTTTATTGTTTTACAAAAATCCAACCTAGCAGTTCAAAAACATGCAAATGTGAGTACATCAATAGGTACCACTCCAGCAGAAAGGTAACAATGATCCATGCAGTCATGCTGGCCACATGACCTTGGTGGCATCTACAGACAATGCCAGCTCTTCGGCCTAGAAATGGAGATGAGCACCACCCTCCAGAGTCAGACACAACTAGACTTACCTTTACCTTTTCCTTAATACATTGTCTTTTTGGTCTATGCTTATCTAATACGTCTTGATTGGCTCTCTATGAGTAGGCAAACAAACAGGTGCAAAGCAACAGTAACTGAAATATACAGGACTTTTCATATCTCCTCCTGATGTCCCTGGCTCTTGCTGAGATGCGCCCTTAACTCTTTCTTGCAAGTGAAAGCGCAAGAAAGCGCTATGTGATAGTTTAGGGAGTTTAAGTGTGGGAATCATTCTTCTAGCTGTAGTGGCTGCTTTTTTATTTTCTTTGCAAGCATATTCTGGGTCACTGTTGCATATGTGGCAATTTGGGATACTTTTGGATAATTGTTGGGGGGCGTATTTCAGATTTCAGAATTTTAGATAAGGGATGCTCAACCTGTAGTGGTAATGTACATTTTGGGAGCATACATTTGGCATGCAAAAAATGACCTAAGACCTACCTCAACTCCCTGTAAAAGATGGAATATTCTAAAATCAACAAAGCATAGCTTATGTTCATTACTTTAGAAGACAGCTGTAAGAATGACTATTTCAACTAAAGCTCTAATGTGCAGCTTTCCAAACTATGTGTCACCTATAGTCCCTAGGTCTGTCACATGAGAAATGCTCCCCCACCCCATCAGAAGGCTGGTTCTGATCAAGTGTAGGTCTGTTAAAACTTTTACAATGTGCACAGTTGATTGAGTTGCAGTAATTGCCACTAAAATGGATACGTTTGTAATGAAGAAAAGAAATTCTGTTGACAATGATGTTTGTAATGAACCCCATAGAGTGGCTATAGAGGAAACTACACAAAAATCAGCCGTAGGACATAAGAAGTGTAAAAAAAAAATCAAACCTTATTTAAACAGTACTATATAGTATTAAATTCTTATAACGGATTGGTTTAACCTTCGCTTTACCAGTAAAACTGAATTACTGTGCAAAAGGATGCATGTTTAAAAAGTGTGTCACCGACATGAAAACTTTAGAACATACTGCTCTAATGTATTGTGCATTTGCCACTACATAATTTGGTTCAGAGAGAAATATTTATTGGAAGAGTGCCTTCTTCCATTGGACTGGTCAGAACCAAAAATATTCAAACAACTAAGGCTAGTTTACCAGTCTGTTTGCTTTGCATTGAAGGAACTTTCATTGTCTTCATCCGTATTCCTCAGGCAGACCACAGAAGATATTTGTGCATGGTCAAAATATATTGACCTCAAGGGATCTTGGCATAATCATAAATTTTCTCTCTCCATGTTTCCCTCTCCCACCCTCCCCTAGAAAAAAAAACAGAGCAAGTTTTGTGGGCTCTTCACACTTTGCTCAGTACAATGAGTGTTCACATTCCCGTTTTCCTTTATTCATCTTCCAAGATTTTCACTTTTGGCCTTCCATCGAAGGGACTGAATATTCAGGCATATTCCCATGCACTCTGACCCGATAAATGCAGGTAAATTCCTCATTGCCCCAGTTACTTTGCACCTTGAATTTTATACAGAGAAATTGTTTTACGGCTTCCTTCTGAAATGCAGAGAGGGCAAAGAGAGACCAAATAAAATTGAAGCTTGCATCCCTTTACAAGTACAGTACAATCATCCTACATTTGCAATTTTGACTTTTGCAGATTTGGTGATTCATTCTGGAGGACCTAGAGCAGTGGTTCTTAGCCTTTAGTCTTCCAGGTGTTTTGACTTCAACTTTCAGAAATCCCAACTATCTTACCAGCTATTAGGAATTGTGGGAGCTGAAGTCTCCAGGTTCTCCACCTGGAGAACCAAAGGTTGGGAACCACTGATTTAGAGCATTGTACAGAGAACACCTCTCAAGGTATCTCTTGGGCCTCCAATTGTGATTATGTGATCAGCTTCTAGTGCAGTGCTTCCCAACCTTTCTTTTGACCACGGACAACTTGACTAGGCACGACTCTCCAACATTAGTACCAAAAGGATTACAAATTAGCTTTTTGTCTACTTTAGATTCAGTTTGGTTATTTTAGGTGTTGATTCAGAAAACTGCATTGATAGACCACGTCGGTACAGAATATATGCCCTCTAGTAGTCACCATTTGCTTGCCCACAGAAAATCATCTTTAATAATCTAGCGCTGATGTGGTTCATCCAATGCAATTTTCTGAATCAGCACCCCAAATAACCCCAGGAATAGGCTTAAAAATGAAGACAACAAGGCACCCCCGCTTTCTGGCACCACATGGAATGGCTCTGCTCGGGGAGGGAGAAGGAGGAGAAGCAACAGTCAGCAGGCTTGCTCTCATGCCTTTTGTTGGTAGTCCCGACATCCCTGTTTCCTCAGCACTATAAGAAGGTTTTGTGAGACTAGTCACTCTCATTGCAACGGTGTAGTAATGGTGATGCCGTGGACCATATTTTAGTTCTTGGGGACCACTGGTGGTCCATAGACCACAGGTTGGGAATCACTGTTTTAGTGGAAGTCAATAATAGAGTTGTGCTGGAAAAACTAATCCCACTTTATAACTCTCATAATTGTATTATGTGAAAATAAACTACATATTTGTACTTGGTGAGACACTATAGCTTTCTAGCCAGGAATTCTAAATACCTTTCTCTACTGTGAAACCATAACATCTGATATGGAATCATGGTGCCATAATATGAAAGGCTTCCTGTTGCCATTTAACATTGAATGCACTGCTACTTAAGTATGGAAATGAATAAACTGTGGATTTCAGATGCCCCCAGGTAATGTATTTGTGTAGATCCCCCACGGTTCTCCAGAGCAATCCTATGGTATTCTTTTGGCTGAAAGCCTAAGATGTCATTGATTTCAATTACAATAAGTAAATTTTCAGATTATGCAAAAATCATGTTAGAGCAAAGGTTCCTGGAACAGACTCCTCACATTATATGTGAGCCTATTGTATAGCTATATTTATGAAGTATGAAAGGAACCTAGGACTGCCCCTTAGCTGCTCAAAGAGCAATCTCTATTGGAAGACCTCTGTCTAGCACCCCCTTTAGCCCAGCCCGTTGCTGTCCAGAGTTTCTTCAACCACGCTTCCCCACTGAACCCATTTTCAGGGTACCTGCAGCTGGAATGTCTGGATGGTTTCCTTCTCTATATCATACATGAATGTTCCTAACAATGTTTCTTCATTGATTTCATCATCTATCCCCTGGAATTGAAAAAGAGAATCGGCAGTAATCAGTGACAGATCTTTGATACTTCTATGAGGAAGGCCAGAACACTGCTTCAGAGCAACCTTGGAAGCCATGCTTTTCTAAGTCAGCTCAGGGGTCAATTCAGAATCAGACAGGGTTGGTGGCAACCTTCAGTTTAGCAGGAGATGGAGTAAATATGGCGCAAATGGGAGGATGAGTAAAGAGAGTAGCTGTCATCTGGGAAACAGAGTTGCATCTGGGAAGCAAGTTGGAAACACCAAAGACACCTTGTCAGAGCCAAGGAGGGGAGGAAAAAGTCTGGGGAAAGCCAAATAAAGCCTGGTGATCTGCATTTATAATTAAATTAAGAAGAGGAAAATAGATTATCTAGAACAAGGACATTATTGTTCTTTGTAACCCCATACAGCAGGACCTTCCTCGGACATCAAGAGTCCCAGTCCCAGACCTGGCAGTTTAGTCCAGGGGTCCTCAAACTTTAAACAGAGGGCCAGGTCACAGTCCCTCAAACTGTTGGAGGGCTGGATTATAATTTGAAAAAAAAAAAATGAATCAGTTCCTATGCACATTGCATATATCTTATTTGTAGTGCAAAAAACTTAAAACAATATAATAATTAAAATGAAGAATAATTTTAACAAATATAAACTTACTAGTATTTCAATGGGAAGTGTGAGCCTGTTTTTGGCTGATGAGATAGGATTGCTGTTGATGTTATAAGCTTTCAAGTCATTTCAGACTTATGTTGACCCTGAGTAAGGGCCAGGTAAATGACTTTGGAGGGCCATATTCGGCCCCCGGGCCTTAGTTTGAGGACCCCTGGTTTAGTCAATGCCACCCCTTGGATTGTGGTACAGTGAGTACTCCTAGTTGGCATCAGACAAAGTGCCAAGCAACCTTCCCCTTCCTTTAAATTAGAGTTCTCTGGCTATACCCGAGAGGAACAGGTGCATGCTAAGACAGACGTCAATACTCACATAAACTGAGAAGTCCTTCAAGGCGCTGGTGGCTCCTTTTACAGGGGAGACAGCCTTGGGGATATGCTGTACTGTGACTGCAGTTGGATAGATTCTTTCAGGCAGTTTTATGACCACTTGGCCCTCACTTCCATGGAACGCCCAACAGTTTCCTGGGTAAACATCTGGCTAGAAACAGGAAGCAACTCAAGTGAATAAAATACAGCCCCATGACACACATGTGTGTACATAAGTCCACTGGCAATTCACAGAGTTTGGATACTAGCGATTGGTGGCTCCACCTAGCAAATGAGTTTGCTCTGGGTTTTAGTCTGACATGTAAAGGTGGCAATCTGTTTAAAGTAAGAGTAACCATAACCCCTTCGGGTTTCTCTACATGCAATGGAGTGCAGGAGAGATCAACTTGTTCTTGCCCTCGGACGGAATAATGACTTGAGTCAGCACTACTCCTTCTCACTAAGGAGAAGGGTCCAAGGACAAACAACAATCAAATGAGGGCTTTGCCTATCTTTATCATCTTGCAAAGCCACCAGTGAAAATGAGCATGATGGCATATAGTTAACCTTCTGAAATATTGTTCTGAACATATTTCATTCTCTTTTAATCATCAATAAAACACAGTACCTGTAGAATCGTATCAGGGGGCTTGGCTGTAGAAATGAACAAGTATTTATACCAGCAGCTCTTTGGATTTTCAGGCTCATAGCTCTTTGAAGTCCTGCTGTGATCAATAGTGGCTCCTAGAGATTTATATTAGGAAGGAAAGAAAGAAGAATAAAAGTAAGTGCAAACTCTATTCATTGGTAAGGCGTAAGGAAGTTTTTCATAAGGCTCCCCTTATCACTGCCTATGTTACTATCTGTCTATCATTTTCCATGTTACATCAGCTTCTCAAGAAGTACATTGCTGAAAAACAAAGTCAATAAAGAAGACTGTTTCTTTTTTTTCTGGAGGCAAGCAGTAGCTGGGAAATTCTCTCAGATCAATATTTTTTATTTTCAATTTATATTTTTATTTAAAAAACAATGAAACAAATCTACATACATGTATATATGCATGAACCAATGTAATATTTCCTAATGACTATACAATATTTGGTTATGCTCTCCTCTCCTCCCACCCCTCCCAATTTAGTGACTTCCCATCCCTTGGATTGGACACATTCATGTATAATTCCATTCTTTCTTTCTATTACAGTGTTTTTCTATTCTTCCTTCCGGCCTGACATTTAGTATTTATAAATTCTTTACACCTATTCTAACAGATTAAATTATGAAACCTTCTAAAAAACTTTACAAGGCTTAGAAATGGCTTCCAGTACTTGATAAAGTTTTTTTTGGTGTGTTTTTCTTTGTTCATTATTGCTAATTTGGCAAATTTTGCTATTTTAAAGGCATTAACCATCAATTCTTCTATTGTTGGGAGGTGTGCCTTCTTCCAGAACTGTGCGCATACTATTCTTGCTGCTATTATTATTGTGGTTTAATGATTTTGTTTGTTTATTTGACACTCCCAATAAAAGTAATTCAGGTAACAACTGTATCTTTGGTTGAAAAATTTAGTGCAGCGGATTTTGTACCTTGCCCCAGAATTCTCTTGATTTTTTCAGGACCACCACATGTGGAAAAAGTTCCTTCCTGTTTACATTTTCAGCACTTGCTGTTTTTTCCCTTATACATTTTAGCTAGTTTTGCTGAGGCCAGGCATCATCTGTTCATCATTTTATAATTTTTTTCTCTAAAGTTGAAGCACTGAAATTTTCTTTAAGCCAATAATCCACATTTTCACCAGGCTGTGATGCAGCTAGCTGCATTAAATCCCTACTGACTGAGAGTTCAAAGGCAGCCCAGGTCAGAGTGCCATATAATATAAAGTGCCAGTATGGTTTGAGTCACATGAAATAACTTCTACTACGGTCCTATGTGTTTACTCAAAAGCGGGTTTCATGGATTTCAATTCAATGTCATTTTTAACCAGGGGTTAAGGTTTGCATAGGTCTGTAGATATTGTTGGATTGCAGCTCCCATCACCTCTAGACATCCTAGGCAATTGTGAGGCATAGGAAGTGTGGTTCAGCAACTTCCTGACAGCAAGAGCTGTTCTGCTTCTCTGGAATATTTAGAGTATCACCCATTTCCCATCCTTGTTCTAAGTGCATACTTAGGATATCTACCTTACTGGGCTTGCGAAACTGGAAGAAGGAAGGAAGAACACATTAATTCAAAAGCAAGTGTGCAAACAGTCAGCCATTACCTATTGTTTTTTGAGCCCAATCAGGCATTTGTACATGATCCTCATATGTCTTCTTAAAAGCTTGATTAATCATTTCAAGCACTTGCTGTGAAGAAATGGAAAACCCATCAGGTTAGTCTAAAAGGCACGATTATTCCAAATATCAATGTCATATATTCTGTAATGGAATATATATTCTGTAATGGAATAAAAGTGGAAGGTAAAAGGAAGAGGGGCCGACCAAGGGCAAGATGGATGGATGGCATCCTTGAAGTGACTGGACTGACCTTGAAGGAGCTGGGGGTGGTGACGGCCGACAGGGAGCTCTGGCATGGGCTGGTCCATGAGGTCACGAAGAGTCGGAGATGACTGAATGAATGAACAACAACTTATTCTGTAATGTAAATTATGACAAGACCTCTGACTTTAGGAATCAGTACCTACAACTGCTGTGATTCTTACAAAGTGTACTGTCATTTGGTCTGGTTCAGAAAAGAGCTTCTTAAGCAAGAATGCATTATTCAAGGATCGGTCATCACGGTTTTGAAGTTATGCCATAACTGTTAGGGGACCCAGAGCACTACATACCTTTGCTTCATAAATGTAGGATACAGGAACATGACAGGCAAATGCTTCATCTGCACTAACATATAATGCAGTGTAGTAATTGCATTAGTCCTGTGCATCCATTCAACACACACAGGTGAAATCGATTGAACCCAGGGTAAACCACTTAACCTGGTTAAAAGAACACTGGAGGTCCTTCCACACAGCCCTATATCCCAGAATATCAAGGCAGAAAATCCCACATTATCTGAGTGTGGACTCTGATAACCCAGCTCAAAGCAGATATTGTGGGGTTTTCTGCCTTGATATTCTGGGATATAGGGCTGTGTGGAAGAGATTCCTAGAGAGATTCTTTCTAGGTATTTCTAGATCCTCTGGTGGTTTGAATCAAATCAGTGAAAAATTATATCCACAAAAGTGAAACCTGAAAAATATGGAGGGCCGACTGTAATGCCCAGAATCTTTTGCATTAACCAAGAGTTTTTTAATTTAGAAAACAATATATATTCTGAGATTACAATATGTGAAAACCATTGACTTTGATTAAAGAATGTCAGTGGCTTTGAAAACTTAAAGCATTAATATCAAGAAAATTGTGTTAGGGCATGGGAACAAACCTAGTTCAGCCTCTTTTGGGTTTTCAGACATTGCTCAGAAATGATTGCAGAATGCACACAAAAGAGAGGGCATATCCCCATATAAAACAGAAATTAACAAAGTACAAAGAACTCTAAGAATCGTTTTCCAGTTTCCTACATCTTTGTTCTCTCCTGGGATGTCACTTTCCTTGAGGATTTGTTTTACAGAATTTGGGATGCCTTTCTGGATGCGCTTCATCTCAGCTTGCAGATGTGCTGTCTGGTTTTTAATTATTGAGATTTCCTGGATTTGTTCTTGAAGGCCATTTTGAGACTTCCTTGGAATGAGGAAAGGGGAAATGGTAGGGTTAGAAATTAGTCCGTTGGCAGAACTCTATGCTACGATCTGCAGTGCTACTGTCACAGAAGGAAAAAAATCAGCAAATGCTTGTGAATTTCCTCAGATTGAAACTAAACAATACGATATGTATAATTTATAATGCCAAATGTTGTCTAGTTTTCAGAGGTGTGTTCTCTTGAGTGACAAAATATTATGACATTGCATGTGATTTTCCCACAGCTTCTAGAAATTAAGACATATATCTTGCACTTGGTAGATTCCAATGCCCACCAATTTATTTATTTATTTATTTCAAACATTTATACCCCGCCCTTCTCAACCCCCGGGGTTGGGGGGACTCAGGGTGGCTGAGAAATTATTATTCCCAACAAAAGATATCTCCAGGCAGGAATCAGCCAGGCTTTGAAGATGCAAGGCCATTCAACGCTAATCAAGGTAGCCAATTGCAACATTCACACTTCCTTCAAACAGACAAGAACTCTTTCTCCAACCCTGGACATTCCACAGATATATAAAATTCCACTTGCCTAGTTTCCAACAGATCTCATAACCTCTGAAGATATCTGCCATAGGTGTGGGTGAAACATCAGGAGAGAATGCTTCTGGAACATTGCCATACAGCCCGGAAAACTCACAACAACCCTACTGGCTTTGTAACCATTGCCTTTCATACTTTCCTGAGGTCCATGTTTCAGTCCTAATAATAAGATCACAGCATGCGCCCATCCGATGTTTTTTTAAGGTGCATCTACATTGTAATAATAATAATAATAATAATAATAATAATAATAACAACAACAACAACAACAACAACAAACTTTATTTATATCCCGCCACCATCTCCTTTAAGGGACTCAGGGCAGCTTACAAGGCAGTCCAGGGTGCACATATAACATACAACAGGTTAAAATGGTACAAAAGTATAAAACGAGTCACATAAAATTATAACTCCTATCAACACATGTAGCATAAAATCAGAATAATACAGTTTTAAAACAACAGTAGGTACAACTAACTGCATCAGATCACAAGGTGCCAAGTGTCAGCTTCATATGGGCCCATTCAGCTTACTCAGGGTCAAAGCCCTGTCTGAACATCCATGTTTTCAGGTTGGAACGGAAAGACTGAAGGGTGGGGTAATCTAAACTCTTTTGGGAGGGTATTCCAGAGCCGGGGAATACTTGTAGAATACAGTTTGGCACCATTTTATCTTCTATGGCCAAATGGTATGAAATGGTGAGAGTTGTCATTGTACAAGTTCTTTAACTTTCTGTGCCAAAGAGTACTGGCATATCTACAAATTCCATAGCATTGAGCCATGACAATTGAACTGGTGTCAAACATCATTCTACAATATAAATAGTATATGCACCCATAATGTTTTTTCCATGAAGAAGTAATGCCTAGCCTAGTGTAAGCAGGATTTAAGCAGGGTCTTTAAAACCCTCTTACCATAGTGATTTCAGCTCACTTTCATACTGTAGTGCCAGCTCCTGTCAGAGGGAAACAAGAAGATAGATATCACTATTAACAAGATATGGGACTCTTTCAGGGAAAGTGATTCCCATTTCTTGAGGTAGGAATGCTGCTCACAGTATGAGCTGACTATTTATTTGTTTGTTTGTTTATTTATGGCATTTGTAGCCTTACGGTGACTCAAGGCAGCTCACAGAAACATTCAAATCAACATTATAAAAAAGCATATATAAACCATTTAAAAACATATGATCACCGGTGTCATCCTGTTAAAATCATTATCCAGCAGCATGGGTAATTATGAAATTACCCATTCCGTGTTCATTCTTCCTATTTCATAATTATCTATGCCGCTGCATTTCCAAACGCTTGTTCAAAAAGTCAAGTTTTACTCTTTTTCTGAAGGTCAGGAGGGAGGGGGCTGATCTAATATCCCTAGGGAGGGAGTTCCATAGCCAACGAGCCACCACTGAGAAGGCCCTGTCTCTCATCCCCTCCAGGTGTGCTTGCGAGGAAGGCAGGATTTAGAGCAAGGCCTCCCCAGATGATCTAAAGTTTCTTGATGGTTCATAAGGAGAGATATGTTCGGATGGCATTACTATGGCCCTTTCCACACAGCTGAATAAAATCCCACATTATCTGCTTTGAACTGAAATATATGGTAGTGTGAACTCGGATAACCTAGTTCAAAGCAGATCTTGTGGGATTTTCTGCCTTGATATTCTGGATTATATGGCTGTGTGGAAGGGCCCTAGGCTTTAGATGTGTTCTTTCCAAAATGGGTGAGGATGGGGAAAAGATAGCAGGAAGCCAGGAGAGAATGTATATATACATATGTGCCTTCAAGTCCCCTATTCACTTAAGGCAAGCCAATGAATTTCATTGGGATTTCTTAGGCAAGGAATACTTTTGCCAATTTCTGTTGGGGGTGCTTTGAATGTGATTTTCCTGCTTCTTGGCAGGAGGTTAGATTGGATGGCCCACGAGATCTCTTCCAACTTCATGATTCTGTTATTCTTCCTCCAAAATATAGCCTACAGTACCACGTATTTATTGGCGGTCTCTTATCCATGTGCTAAGGAATCTTTCAGGGGTTTTTTTTTTCCTAGCCCAGAAAGTTGCTCACCTGTGATGAGAGAACATCTGTTAATTTCAGGTATTGACAGTAGCAATAAATGCAACCTGTAGAAGATAAGAGAACAATGCTTGTTGATCATCAATAACCATTATCACAGTGGGACAAAATGTTCTTACTTAAAAGGGAAAAAATGCAATCTCTAGCAATGTTTCATTCCCTTCAATTAAATCTGCAGGATTTTAACAAGTGATATTGTTTTGTACTTTCAAGGTGACTCCAATTTATGCCAATCAGATTATATATTTGTTCAGAGGGGGTTTCCCATTGCCTTTCTCTGAGGCTGAGGAAATATGCCTTGACCAAAGTCACCCCCAGTTGGTTTTTGTGGTTGAATGGGGATTCAATCCTTGACCTCCCAGAGCCTAGCACTTAAACTCTCACCAGAGCTTCCCAATCTGTGCGTCATGACATGTTAGTGTGTTGGCTGCAGTGAGTAGGTATATGTAGGTGAATTTAATGAGAAACCTCTATATAAGTGGTTCTCAACCTGTGGGTCCCCAGATGTTTTGGCCTCCAACTCCCAGAAAACCTAACAGCTGGTAAACTGGCTGGGATTGCTGGCTGTTGTAAGTCAAAACACCTGGGGACCAACAGGTTGAGAACCACTACTCTATATGAGGTAAAGGTAAAGGTTTTCCCTGACATTAAGTCCAGTCGTGTCCAACTCTGGGGGTTGGTGCTCCATTTCTAAGCTGAAGAGCAAGCATTGTCTGTAGACACCTCCAAGGTCATGTGGCCGGCATGACTGTATGGAGTGCTGTTACCTTCCCGCCGGAGCGGTACCTATTGATCTACTCACATTTGCATGTTTTCGAACTGCTAGGTTGGCAGAAGCTGGGGCTGATGACACTCCCCAGATTCGAACCTGCAACCTTTTAGTCAGCAAGTTCAGCAGCTCAGTGCTTTAACCCACTTTGCCACCAGAGGCTCTGTATGAAATAAGCAATAAATCATATATTTTGAACAAAGAAATGAAAGATTTTCATGTGATATGTTGTGCACCCATTCATTTTGTTATTACAATTTCTGTTTGTGTCTCTGTGTCTTATAAAGGTTGGTTAAACTTCTGTTTTGCTAGTAAAACTGAATCCCTCTGTTGTAAAATGACGCACGCCCAAAATGCATGTCACCAACACAAAATGTTTGAAAAGCTCTGCACTATGTCATTACTTACTTGCAAGCACTTCAAAATAGGTTATGTTGCCAGAATGAACCTTAGGCCCCTTCTACACTGCCATATAATCCAGATTATCAAAGCAGAAAAGCCACACTATCTGCTCTGAACTGGATTATTTGAGTCTGCACTGCCATATAATCCAATTCAAAGCAGATAATTTGGATTTTATATGACAGTTTAGAAGGAGTCATGGAATTAATTATATAAGGTCAGTGAATGAGCCAGTAAGTTACTTGAATGAAAAACTATGAACACTCACCACAAATGACTGGAACTGCTATTATCAGGAACCTTGAAATTTTTATAAAGTTTGCCATGGTGAATTGGTCTCTGTAGAGGAAACAAGGCAGTGTTGTCATGAAACGGAGAAAGATAGAACAAGTATGGGGAACCAACTATGGAAGGAGTCCTCACAAAAGTGTAAGATATGTTCTGATATCTCTTGAAGAGTGACATTGGACCTAAGATGGAAGAAACAGGTGCTATCATTTTGAGTCATTCATTAGATGTTACATGAGCTGCGCTGCCTTCATCTCTGCCCCTCTCCACCCTTTCCTTGTCTGACATAAAATAATGTTGCATGTGACATCATTGTTCCAAAAAGAAAAATCCTCAAGTGCTGTATTAAACAAAGGTATTTCCTAGTACTGCCTAGAAAGGAACCTGGGACTTTCTAAATGCAAAGCTTGGTGCAGAGCTTTACCATTGAAGACCCAAAGTCACTTCCAAAATTTGTTGACATAACCTTGCAAGTTGAGCATTTCTTATTTTAATCAAATAGAACATGGGAAAGTTATATTGTTGGACTAAAGCTCACCAAATCTCTTAGCCAGTATGCCCTGTAGCTATGCTGTTTTAGGACTATGGGAATTGTAGTTTTTGACAAAAAAATAAAAATCAGATAAGGAGGAAGATTTTTTTTCACGGCACGAAGAAATCTCAAATTGTATTTCATCCAGTAGGGGTTCTGAGATGAATGCTATTGAAAAAGCAAGATACTTTCATGGATCTCACTCACACTTACTTTGTGCAGATGAAGGTTTGCAAAAGATATTTTGGGATGCAGAAAATCACCATTAGCATTAGGCAAGGAATGTTGCATATGGTTTCTGGAAAGGAAAATGAAATAACAAAACATTTAAAAGCCCAGACTACACAAAATGTATTAAATAATGCCAGCAATCCCGCAAGGCCAGTTAGTATTATTATTTCTCATCTTTGAGATAGCTGGCTGGATCCAGGAAAGAGCAATCTCAGATCTGAGATGCAAATAAAGAACTCCGAGGCTGGATCTATACTGCCATATAATCCAGTTTTTGAATCCAGATTATCTGCTTTGAATTAGATTATATGAGTCTACACTATGATGTAATCTTGTTGAAATCATTTTTGAGACAATTCTTCTAGATTTACATATTGTATAACACTTGTATTCTATTTCTGAACATATCAACAGTTCAATGCTATGAGATCCTGGGGTTTGTAATTTGGTGAGGCACCAGCACTATTTGCCAGAGAAGGCTAAAGAAATTATAGAACTACAGCTCTCATGATTCCATGGTATAGAGCTATGGCAGTTAAAGTGGTGTCAAACTACATTAATTCTAGTGTGTAGATGTGCCTGTAGAAGCCAATCGCTGTGGTTGTACTGACTTTAGTGGTCAGTTATTGCATCTCCTCACTTAATGTAGACTGTAGTTGCAGCATCACTGATCAATTCCAATTCATCCTCTGTCAAATATCAACAGTGAGTAAAAGTGATCCATTTTCTAAGGTACTTCACATACTCAGAAAGTTTCTGTGTTAGTGCTGTAAAGCGAATGGCTCCCAGTGATACCAAACAGAAGATGCTGTGCAGCTAATATGTCCTTTTGTTTAAAAGGTGGAAGAAGCAATGGGAAAACACAAATGTCACATGGACACTTCGAATAAACACCATGCATTAGGTAGGGTGATCCACAATCAAAGGCATATCAGGAAAGACCACTACTGTTAAAAGGTGGCAGAATGCATACTTAGCACACTCTTCTGAGATGCTATAGATGACCTTGACAACAAGGTGCTAGAGCTGGTCTCTCTTGCAATGACCTCTCTGGTGAATGCTGTTGGGCATCTGTCCGATGAATGTCCTGTAAAAAAATGTCATCTCATGATCAGTCAGGCATCACTGCATAATTATGTCCGAAATTTAAACATGTTTTATCAGAGGAATGAGTTGTCTTCTCCTTCTGTTTCCCTCTCACTTCTTGTTCTTTCTCCTCTTTATTGTTATACATTGGGTGTTTGTGATCCACCCTATCAGGATTTTGCCATCAATTTAGGAGATAGGGCTCATCTACACCAGGCAAGTTAACCTGATGTAACTCTGCCTTAGAACAACCCTGGATCCAACACAAATGTGCTTAATCTGGGACCACTGTTTAGACCAGGGGTTCTCAAACTAAGGCCTGAGGGCCCGATACGGCCCTCCAGTGTCATTTACCTGGCCCTTGCTTGGGGTCAATCTAAGTCTGAAATGACTTGAAAGCACACAACAACAACAACAATCCTATCTCATCAGTCAAAAGCAGACCCACACTTCTCATTGAAATACTAATGTTAAAATTGTTCTTCATTTTAATAATTGTATTGTTTTAAAGTGTTTTTTGCACTACAAATTAGATATGTGCAGCGTGCATAGGAATTCATTCATTTTTTTTCAAATTATAATCCGGCTCTCCAACAGTTTGAGGGACTGTTACCTGGCCCTCTATTTAAAAAGTTTGAGTACCCCTGGTTTAGACAGTCTGGGAATTCGTCACCTACTGTGCTGTTTATTTATTATTTATTTATTTCAGGTACTTTTACCCTGCCCTTCTCAACCCCTGAGGGGGGACTCAGTGCGGCTTACAGAAAGGCACAATTCGATGCCTACACAAAATACACATAATGTACAAAACCATAGTTAAAACAATTATCACAGCTAAAACGATCAAAACAATCGGTATATAACACATCAATAAAACTATTCTCATGCTCAGCGTTCATCTTTCAGAGTTCCATAATTCCATTCCATTAGTCAGTTCCTGTCCATTGTCAAAGTCCTTCCTTTATCTGCCAGATTGTCCGAATGCCTGGTCCCAAACCCATGTTTTCAATTTTTTCCTAAAGGAAAGGAGTGATGTCGCTGATCTAATTTCTCTAATGTCCAATGGAGACATGTCTCTATCACCACCACTCCTAGCTGGCCATGGAGTTGCATCTAAGTATGTGGCCACTGTGGTTTCCCTGCTGTTGTCAGAATTGAGCACTTGTGTGACCAGCAAGGATGGGGTGATTTCCCCTCCTTCTCACTCAGACACCAGCGAGAATATCATCATGGGGTGACAGATTCGCCCTGCTGCTTCCTCTTTCCTCCCTGGAAGCCCGGCAAAGCAGGATGCTTTGCCATGGAATTATGATGAGGTCCTCAATCAGCTTCAGAGGAAGGCAGTGGAAAAAACCTCTCTGAGGAAATCTTACTAAGAAAACATCTTGATAGGGTTACCTTAAGTCAGACTTGATTTGAAGCACACAACAACAACAATAATAACAAGAAATGTCTGGAAGATTATGTATGCAATGATGTGAAAAGAAGTCAACACATTTGTTAAATCTGTACATGTTGAACTCAGTTATGATTGGCTCCACACATTGTCTTAGTTCAATATGTCCAAAAACTCTGTGTCCAGAAGGTGGCAAACTAACTGTTTAATCTTTTTCTTTCAACTTACCCCCATCTTGTCCCTCCTCATCATCTACAGTCATTTGACTAGATGAAGTCATTGAATTTTTGGAGTAATTTCCAGTGGAGTTGCGCAAGTACCAGCTGGAAGACAAACACAAGAACATATTTGAAAATTTGTTTTTTTTAAAAAAATGGAAATCAAGGCTCTTCTGGACTCTTGGACCAGTTCTCAAACAGCTTCTGGAATGAGCTTTGGTATTCCAAGTAGACTGGAACGTACTTAGTCCTCATCCTTTTTTATAATGGTTTTAAACCATTTCATTGGATGTGTTGCAATAGTAGATTCTCAGATTAGTTTAGTGCTTACACCTTATTTTATTTTTTGGTTATTTAATATTGAATGTTTATTTTCTTAAGTGATATTTGTCTTTACTGTTCTAATGTAGCACAAATCCTATGTAAAATCATACTATGTATTTTTGACATTAATATTGAAATCTGAAATATATACAGAAAGTCTTTACTTTCCAAAACTGCACAGAAATTCAAGAAAGATAGCATGTCCCCAACCCTCCATGGTTCTTGTTGTGCTCTTTTAGCTGCTACTCCTTTCCAATTTCAGTGGTGCAATTCCAATTTGAGTGAATTTCTAGTAGACTCATTGGAGTACACCTATTGAATCCATAAAATCTATATGATTATTAACTTTAACAATGTTCTAGTTATCTAGTGAGTTTATGCAGGCTGAGAGTAAACTGGATTTAGGCCATACAGTCCTCCTGTCATCAAAGTAATTTCCTCCTATGGTTCTAATACTCTCCATTTCATTCAATGTTATTATGGTAATTCAAAGGTCGTAAACACCTTGTTTCAGGGCAGGAATGCCCCATAGAACACCTCTATGGAACACCTCTAGTGGAAATGCAACATCTCTACTTTCTTTATGAGTTAAAGATGTTGAAGAGAGAAGCTCTTTTTTCTTTTATATCTGTCCGTTTTGCGTAATAGACACATAAAAACGTTAACACTCAGCTTCTCTACCTTTTTGTTGGGATACCGCCTGATCCTGATGATCCACTGGGATGATCATCACAAACATCTGAGTTATCTTGAAAGACTTGTTTTCGCTGGTCTGGACTTCTTCGCACAGAACGTTTTCCATTCATTGTTGAAAAGATGAAGTGAGAACTAGTTATATTTTCATAGAAATCTGTTGGGTTCTTCTTTTGTTGGGATTATAGACACCAAAAATCAATATGAAAAAACAGCACACCCAAGAAAAGCTTCACTTTCAATAGACCAGCATCAAGTGATATCCATTGTCTTTCCCATGAATTTCTGCCAGATGTTCAGAAAGTGATGTCATAAAAGGAACTCTGTAGTGAGAGAATTATGATGGCTTCATGACATCACAAAAGAAATCTAGTTAGGATTACATTGTTTCAGAGTTGTGGGGGTTGGAGTATGGAGGGATGGATGTGTTGTTTTGTGGTGTGTGATGTGCTGGGGAAAGCATTTAATTTAAATGTTGTCAAAAGCTTTCATGGCCGGAATCACTGGGTTGCTGTGAGTTTTCCGGGCTGTATGGCCATGCTCCAGAAGCATTCTCTCCTGATGTTTCGCCCACATCTATGGCAGGTTGTGAGGTCCACAAGCTCTGAAGATGCCTGCCATAGATGTGGGTGAAACATCAGGAGAGAATGCTTCTGGAACATGGCCATACAGCAACCCAGCATTTAATTTCATTGTACAATGTACAAAGTTGTTCTATTCTATCCATATATAACTGCTACATGCCTCCTTGGACTCCGTAACAGCATCGCTATCCACATCAAGGAAACCTATTTGTGTCATGCACTTCTGGTACAGAATCATAAACACACGGTGTCGGTTTCCAAATTTTAGGACAGGGATTTCATATTTTGTCTCATCCCAACATTCTTGAACAGCTGTTTAGAAGCAGTAATATAAAGTATGTGCTGCCTTGTATGTAGATGGTCACTGCCTTCGTTGAAGTTCTGCCTTAGTCTGAGAACCTTATTGTATAAAACTGTCGTTCCATCACAGCCACACTATCATAGATACTATGTAACACGATTTTTCTTCTTGAGTTATAAATGCCATTTCCTAATTGGTTCTATCATTAAAACATGGAAAAGGTTTATTAAACTGAAGAAACACTGTTGTTGTGAAACATCCTGCAGCACATTTTGCTATAGTTTTTCAATGAATATTTGGTGGAGCAGTGATTCTCAACCTGTGGATCCCCAGATGTTTTGGCCTTCAACTCCCAGAAATCCTAGCAGCTGGAAAATTGGCTGGGATTTCTGGGAGTTGTCGGCCAAAACACCTGGAGTTGAGAACCACTGTTGTAGAGTCTCAACCAATTCAACATAGTTTTTGGCAGGCACAAAAACGGAAGTTTCTGGAGTATAATAACTATTTTCAAGGTATGTGCTACCCTATTAAACAGGAAATAACATTTTCAAATCAGGAAAAAAAATATTTCAAATTTTGTTACATAGTGAAATGCAGTGGTGCCCAACCTTGTTTTGATCTGGGACCACTTGAAAAGAGGCCACTCTGCAACATTAGTACCAAAAGGGTTACAAATCAGTTTTTGGTCAACTTTAGATTCGGTTTGGTTATTTGGGGTGGTGATTCAGAAAATTGTATTGGATAGACCACATCAGCTCTAGTTTCTGATACAGAATATAGGCCATCCAGTAGTCTCCATCTGCTCACCCACAGAAAACCATATTTAATAAGCTTCAGCACTATTGGAGCGTTTTGCGAGACCAGTCACTCTCATTACAATAGTGTAGTAATGGTGTGGCCGCAGACCATATTTTAGTCCTTATAGACCACTGGAGTTCCATGGACCACAGGTTGGGAACCACTGGTGTAATTGATACATCCTAGGATGAGCACCTGTCATACTACACCTCTTTCAGTTCATCAGTTGTGATGCTTTGACAGTCTGTTGTCAATGCAATCATACTTCTTCCTTCATGCACTTCCACTGCCCTATTATTTATTTTTTATTTTTAGAGCATTTTCGGCAATGAAACAGCAACAAAAAGGGATATATGTGTGTGTGCGTGTGTATATATATATATATATCTGTTTGGAGCCCCCCACTGTGGGTTAAAGTGCTGAGCTGCTTAATTTACTGACACTGAAAGGTCACAGGTTCGAATCCAAGGAACAGTGTGAGCTCCCACTGTTAGCCCCAACTTCTGTGAACCTAGCAGTTTGGAAACATGGAAATGTGAGTAGATCAATAGGTACCGCTATAGTGGGAAGGTAACAGCGTTCCATGCAGTCATGTTGGCCACATGACCTTGGAGGTGTCTATGAACAACGCCAGCTCTTTGACTTAGAAACTGAGATGAGCACCAACCCCTAGAGTTAGACATGACTGAACTTAATATCAGGGGCAAACTTTTATGTTTATATATCTGGTTTTTGTTTTTTTTAAAAATCAAACAGGAAATAGTGTAGGAATAGTGAGTGGGGAAGGGGGTGATAGAGTTGAAGACAAAGAGAATCATGCCCTTTGATGTTTCTTTATTGCTTGCATGCTGGCACAGAAGCAGAATGGACCCATTGTACCAACACAGATGACAGGAACATTGCAGAATTGTGAGTTATTTGAGGGTTTTTCCATTCTATAGGAAGGGACTGGTAAATCCAGGGGACAACACAGACTGGCAGTGGGATGTGCATCGCATTATATGATAGAGACTGTCATCAAAGCTGTTTTGCCTACATCATGTGATGAAATGCCAATTTGTTAGCCTCATGCAATAGTCTGATTTTAAAAAAAACTTTTGGTGCTCTTCATTGATAATTTATTCAGAAACTCTAACAACAAACCAACAAAGAAACAAAAAAAAAGCAAGAAAATAAGCAAGAAGTCAAAATGCAAAAACAAAAACAGCATGGATACATTTCTTAATATAAAAACATATTATTATTACATCCACTAGAATCTGCACCACTAAATACTAACTGCACACAAATGTAGTATTTAGTCTAAGGGTTTTATATACTCTGCCTGATGCCCCCCCCCCCCCCGCGCAAACTTTCCATGCCCATTAAAAGAAGAAAAAAACATTAATACACCCTTTCCCCATTAGATGGGGAATTCAGGTTGAGACATGGAAGTCTGTTAAGATGCTGCTTTTATGCAAGAGCAAAACTGCAGCATCTCGGTGGGAATGTCACCAATTCCTAAGCTGTTGCTGACCTCTAGTGGAAATAAGGGAATATTTCTTTCTACTACTTTTGGTCTGATGGTTCAAAATATTGGAAAAAACTCCTGTCTTTTATTTCTTTACTTTTATGTTCACATATTTTGTTTGCCAAATCCACATAAACAAAACCTCCTTATGGTTTAAGCCATTGTGAAAATGCTACATTTATATGGCCCAACGGCCACAACAGAGCTAAGCTTATCACAGAAGTATTATATATTGCATTTTTACATAATCGGGTTGTTCATTCATACATGGATTTATTACATTTGCATTTCATTTCCTTCAACAAAGGGGATTCAAAATGGCATTTCTTGCCTGACTTCCCAGTTTGTTTCCCTACCCCTGTGAGCTCATTTACAGTGGCTTACTCACAAGAAGGTATTATTTCAAAACAAGGAGTGAAATATCAGTGGATTTGTCATACAGAGGGAGCATATATGAGCAGGGGTGGCTCAACCCATTACGCAAAGTAAGCATTTGCGGTATAGTTGATTTTGCCCAGGGGCGCTCTTGGGGGAAAATAGACCTTGACATATGCGAGTTGTAATTACTGGGATTTATAGTTCACCTAAAATCAAAGAGCATTCTGAACTCCACCAATGATGGAATTGAACCAAATATGGCACACAGAACTCCCATGATGAACAGAAAATATATATCAGTGATTGGTTGGGGACAGGGTGCACCAAAATACTGTTTGCTTACCATTGAAAATTACCTAGGGCCACCACTGGGGGGGGGAATACTGTTTGAATTACCGTTGAAAATTACCTAGGGCCGCCTCTGTATATGAGCATAAAAGTAATAAAAAGCATAAAATAAAGTAATAAAAAGCATAAAAGCATAAAAATACTTTCCCCCCCAATACATTTAACTGTCAGACCAAAAGCAGTAGAAATATTTCCTTATTTCCACTAGAGGTCAGCAACAGATTAGGGATTGCTCTCTCGCCTATACTAGAAGCAGCATCTTCTCTGACTTTCAAGTCTCCTGAATTATCCAGCACTGTTGCTGATGTCAGGCAGCAAATACCAGCAGTATGTCCAGAAAGTCTGGATGACAGTAGTTGGCATCCTGTTTATGAATCACCGTAGATAGATACATAAAGTACAGTCTCGCTTATCCAACATAAATGGGACAGCAGAACATTGGATAAGTTAAAATGTTGGATAATAAGGAGGGATTAAGGGAAAGCATATTAAATGTCAAATTACCTTATGATTTTACAAATTAAGCACCAAAACATCATCTTTTACAACAAATCAACAGAAAAAGCAGTTCAATACAAGGTAGCATTATGTAGTAATTACTGTGTCTATGAATTTAGCACCAAAACATTGCAATGTAATGAAACAGCTGTGGATCTGGGCGGGAGGCAGACTAAGGGAATCCGGGCATCAACACTTTCCACTGTGCGATGGAGAAAGTGGCCATGCAGGGGATACGGAGCATGGGCCGACTGTTTCACTTGCTGCCTGCCGGATTCGCCACGCTGCCTGGTGGATCCCCTGCCTAGTTCAGAAAATGAAAGCCCTTTGGGTTATTTTACAGTTAATGTATTTATTTATTTATTTGCCATACTTGTACCCCGCCCTTCTCCACCCTGACAGGGGGACTCAAGGTGGCTTACAATGGCACAACGCCATGCCTCAACATAATCACCTAAACATTTAAAAAATTGCAACATATAAAACAGAGTTAAAACAGATTTAAAAAGTTAAAAACTTAGAAAACACACCATACAAGTTCATGGTCTGAGTCTGTTCCAAGGTCAATTGCAGAAGGTTTCGATTCAAAAATACTGCATTGCCTTAGTTTCCAAAGGCCTGCTCACAGAGCCAAGTTTTGACTCTTTTCCTAAAGGCGAATAGAGAGGGAGCTGCTCTGGTGTCACTAAGAGGAAG